GGAGTAGTTCCTGAGTATAGAGCCAGGAGTAACCCCTGAGCATCACCAGATGTGACCAAAAAAAGCAAATTTTTTTAAATTTATTTTATTTTTCGGTTTCAATTATACAATGATCAAATACCCATCCCTCCACCAGTGCCCATTTCCCACCACCACAGATCCCAGTATAAGCAAATTTTTTTAAGTGAAAAATTATCATAAAAACATCCTGAAACATTGATACATCATGTTCTTCCTGCCGTATTTAATTTCCCATCTCTTTGAACATTTTGTCTAATGCAACTGCCAAGGATTGAGGACCTCAGAAATCCCAGTCGCCTGCTCCCCCATCATTTGTGGTTGAGAGTTCAAGCATCTCTCACCTGACTGAGAAGCTCCCATACCTGATGAGTTTCCATCGCCTCCCAGGCCAGCTGCTGGATCAATGAGGCTAGCAGGCCCCTGTGCTAGTAGAGTGCCTCGTCACAGAATACTTATTTCTGCATAAAGGGGTAAACTCTTCCTCTGCCATTCCAACCTGACCCCATGCAACCATTCCAAACCCAGACTATCATTTCCCTCCTACATTCATATACATGTTGTGATTTTGGGGTAATATTTTGGGGGAGGGGGACATAGCTGTGATGTTCAAGGCTTACAGCTGGTTCTGGCAGGCTCGGAGGACCATATGGGGTTCCAAGGATCAAACTTCACTCCCATGCAAGGCAAGTACCCTACCCATTGTACTATCTCTCCATTCCCATGAGTGGTTCTTAACTCAGTGCATTGTGCAGACTAGTTTCTCTAATACAAATAACTTTTCTCTGCATCCCCAAATGCCTAATTCTTCCCGTTTTTCTTTTTCTCTTTTTTTATATATATATTTTTTTAATTTTTTTAATGGATTCACTGTGAGAGAGACCTTGTAAAGCTGTTCTTGATTAGATTTCAGTCATACAGTGTTCCAACACCCATCTCTCCACCAGTGTACATTTCCTAGCATCAGTGTCCTCAGTTTCCCTCCCATATAACCTAAGTTATAGTTTCTGCTCATAAGTTCCCATCCTGCCTCTGTGGCAGGCATCTCTCTCTCTCTCGCTCTCTCTCTCTCTCTTTCTCTCCCCTCCCCTCTCCTTTCACTGTCCATCTTCTTGATAAAAATCAAAACCCATAGAAAGGGTAAAAAGGAAAGTGCTTGCCATAGAGGCGGTGAACGGGGGTGGGGTGGTTGTGGCAGTGGCAGGAGAGATACTGGGGACATTGGTGGTGGGAAATGTACACTGGTGGACGGATGGGTGTTCGTTCATTCTATGACTGATACGCAATTATGTAAGCTTTGTAACTATCTCACAGTGATTTAATTTTTTAAAAAAATGAAGAAGAATCAAAACCCGACTTACTTCAGTGGACCACAGACCACTGTTGGAGTATAGTTCTAAACATTTTAGGTTTAACATTGGTTAGCCATTTCTTCTCTGACCTTTCTCCTCCACTGCAAGGAGCTTAGGTTTACTGAGTAATACCCATCACAATTCTCCCAAAGCACTCCCATTTCCTCCATATTCATCTTTAAGTTCTCTTTTATGCTCTACTTCCTCTTTCTGTTAATCCTCACTTCCCCTAACCAGAGCCTGTGACTTGTAATGTAAAATTCGTCAGAGAATTTTGGATTTGGATTTGTAAGTACAAATCCCTACCACTCTCCACCCATCCGGACATGTGGAGAGTGCCCCTTCCTCCCCCCTCTCCCCGCCCCGAGCCTGGCTGTCCTCACTGGGGCCCCTTGGAAGGGGGAGGGTTGAGTTTCTCTCCCCCCCTGTCCCGAGCAGAGCCCCAGCAGCTGAGGACCTCCGGAGCCAGCCACGACCATGCTGGGACCACTCTCCACATGTTCGGATGGGCGTCATGCATGAAAGATCTGGCAGAGGAACCCAGGCATGCAGGTCCCGGGGCTGAGGTCTCCAAGCCTACTTGGATTGGGACTGGGCCTTCTCCACTCAGACCCCCCATCTTCCAGTAGATAGGCGTCACATCCACCAGCTGCAGCCAGCGCCAGGTTGGTCCCATCAACGGCCAAGATGCAGAAACCCAGCTCCCGGAGGAGTACAGTGCAGAGTCTCCTGCCCCCATGCCTGGCCAACATATAGAGACTATAAACTAAAGCTCCCGGGAGAGAGCAATGCAGTACTTCCTGGAGCACATGGCTCCATTCTCAGCCATGCAATCTCTTATTCTCCAGTCCACTCACGTACCTAAAGCAGCACACGTTTGTTTGGTGTTAACATACTTGCTTGTATTCTCTTATATACGGGCTTAAATGGATCCAGAGTGAAACACAACAACCTCCCCACACTTCCCTCTTACTGCGCTGGGAAGATGCTCGCTGGTGGGGTGGGTGTTTGAATATTATCTGAATTACTGTGAACTACTTTATGAAAATAATGCTAAGGTAAAGGTAAAGGCCCTCCCGTTGATCGTCGATTTGCTCGAGCGGGCCCAGTAACGTCTCCATTGGAGACTTTGTTGTTACTGTGTCTGGCATATGGAATACTCTCGGTAGTTGGGAAAAAATTAAAATGGAAAAATAAATAAACCGGAGCAAAGCCGGGTGTGGCCCAGAAACAATAAGCAGAGGGAGGCAAGGACAAGAAGGGAGCTGGAAACTGATGGGGCCTGAGCAGTAGTTCAGCAGGTGAAGGGCTTGCCTTGCACGCGGCTGATCCCGGTTTGATTCAGCATCCCACCTGGTTCCCCCGAAGTGATTCCTGAGTCAGAAGTAAGCCCTAAATATTGCTAGGTGTGCCCCCAAAAGCAAAAACAAGAGAAAAGAAAAGAATACTGAGAACAGAATATCGACTTTTTTTTTCTTTTTGGGTCACACCCGGCAATGCACAGGGGTTCCTCCTGGCTCTGCACTCAGGAATTACCCCTGGCGGTGCTCAGGGAACCATATGGGATGCTGGGAATCAAACCCGGGTTGGCCGCGTGCAAGGCAAACGCCCTACCCGCTGTGCTATCGCTCCAGCCCCAGAATAGCAGACTTTTGAGAAGAATTCAAATGGGCCATAAACTGAGAGGCAGCTTTGGTGCATGCAGTGAAGGAGGAACTGACAGCCCTGAGCAGCCACTGCTGGAACAATGAACAAGAGCAACCTGCAGGAGAGCTAGACCTAGACGTGCAGTGAAAGCCCCGCTGTTTACAGGCAGGAAGAGGGGAAAGGGCAGAAAAGCCAGGCTGCTTGGAACCACATCCATGTTCCGCACTCGCTCATAAGTTACCGAAGAGTGAGTGCTAGGGCCTGGAAAACCCAGCTTGGGATTGGGAACGTTTAGGTGAAGTCAGCAGCAGAATCTGCTCTAGTGTGTGTGGCACTTAATAGGCACTCAAGAAATATTTCAAACATACGAGACCAAAGAAAACCAACCAGAGAAGACACAAAGAAAAATCTGAGAAGTGCTTCTACAAGGAGAAAGGCACCTAGTGGAGTACGTGTTCAATAAATAAATATATATATATGGGCTATATATATATATATATATATATATATATATATATATATATATAGGCTGGAGCAATAGCACAGCAGTAGGGCATTTGCCTTGCATGCAGCCAGCCCGGCCCAGCCGGGTTCAATTCCTCCACCCCTCTCAGAGAGCCCAGCAAGCTACGAAGAGTATCTCACCCACATGGCAAAGCCTGGCAAGCTCCCCGTGATGTATTCGATATGCCAAACACAGCAACAGTAACAATATGTCTCAAAATGGAGACGTTACTGGGCCCACTAGAGCAAATTGATGAACAACAGGAAACAGTGTGTGTGTGTATATATATATATATATATATATATATATATATATATATATGGGCTGGAGTGATAGCACAGCGGGTAGGGTGTTTGCCTTGCATGCAGTCGACCCAGGTTCGATTCCTCCATCCCTCTCAGAGAGCCCGGCAAGCTACCAAGAGTATCCCACCCGCACGGAAGAGCCTGGAAAGCTCCCTGTGGTGTATTTGATATGCCAAAAACAGTAACAACAAGTCTCACAATGGAGACGTTACTGGTACCCACTTGAGCAAATTGATGAACAATGGGAGGACAGTGCTACAGTGCGAGAGTGCATATATATATATATATATATATATATATATATATGCATATATATACACACACAGACAAATATACACATATATACTATTTTCATTTATAATTGTTATAAATAAATATATATGTATATACTTACAATTATATTTATATACCCAGGTTAATATATATGTGTATAAATACATATATCAGTTGTGTGTGTGTGTGTGTGTGTGTCCCAAGAGAAGCCTGAGGAGTTGTAAAAGGTTACCTGTTATGTTTCCAAAAGGGCCCCCAGCCTCTGATTTCAATTCTCAAAACTCCCTGGGGAAGCCATGGGGTCCCCTCACGGGACACTCTTAAGAACACGTTCTTCAATGTACCACAAGGGACAAGTAGTTTAGACCATTTTACAATAGATGGAGTTGAGGTGGAGAGGCGATATATATAGCCAAGTGAACCTGAATTATCAGTTGTAATTCCCAAGGAATTCCCTCAGAAACTTACCCTCCCCGTGCTCCCCACAAAACTGACAGAAACCCCTTGCCCACTGCCAAACATGGATGGCCCATGACTGGGAGGGCTTTCAGGCAGGCCTGGTTAAATTGTACAGCCTTTATTTCATGGAGAAATAACCCACAGAGGACCCGCTCTCAAACACGCATGCAGAAAGCAAAACAAGAAGCTGAGGAGATTATCTGTTCAGAATTTGCTTTAAAAGAGCCTGGGCAGGACTCATTTATTTTTTGAGAAAATATATGATTAACCATAGTTAACGATGAATTCAGATGTTGTGCATCAGAGCAGCTCCTCAAAGTTTGAGAGCATTTAATATTATATATCGCTGCCATTTGGACTAAATTGTTTTTTTAATGTACACAATATTACAAATTTAATTTGAGCTGTTTGAATCAGTCTGTAAAAAAGATTTGATTATACCTGAGTGTTCTGGCCGCAGCTTCTGTGTATCTCAGTAATCTTGGCGGTAATTGGCTGATTAGGCGTCTCACACTCTATCTTTGCCTCAGTTTCCATGGTAATGTTACAGGAGCTATTATAGATGAGAACTTCATCTCTTTCCACTTTAGGGCTGAAACGAGAGGGGAGGTTAAATGGGGTGTCATCAATCTTAATGAAATGCAATTATTTTTACTCTTATTAATCATTGCAAGCCATTAGCTCATGGCAACTACAGGCCACCATTTGTCAAATTTTGCAAATTTCTGTAATTTTGTTTCCATTCTTTTATTGTTTATTTGTTTTCCCTTTATCTGCACACCCTGCAATGAAAATGCACATGGTAAATATCTTTCACTGAGGCCTTTCTCTTCTCCAAATCTATGAGGAACCTTAGCAAACGGTTCTGCAGTCCCAACGTAACAAGTAATGCATAGTCAAAACTTCTCGTTCCAAAAATGGAAGCAAATGGGGGTGGGGGTGAGAGGGTCTGTCCCCCTTTTTCCTTTTCCTTCTTCCTGTTCTTACTCACACTTAGTGTTGGGGTGGGGTGGGGGGAGTGAATTGCCTGAATCCCCCCAGGGCAGATGGAGAAATTGGAAAACCCACACAACTGGCTAACTGGTCCCTAATTCCAACTGTGAAAAAATGAGCTCATTTAGGCTTTCAATTCCCTCTCCCCAGCTGATGGCAATGAGGCTCTGTTGCTAGCAGTGGAACATTAACTTAGTAAATTAATTAAACTTACTTAACAGCCCAGACTAAGGAGATTCGATATATGTGCCAGTTATACTACCAGCCAGTCACTTTAAAAGTCCTCTTGCTTTAAGGGGAGAAGCCAGACTGGCTTGAAAATGAAAAACAGCAGTGTAGCATTACAGAAAGTCTAAAAATATGCAGTGTGGAGGAGTTGAGGGCACAGATATGCAGGGCATTGTCCCCAACAGGTGTGAGATTTATTCACGAGTAATACCGGCTTTGGGCATTGTTTCAACTCAGTCAAAGATTATTAGTAATAATAATGCAACGGAATTTTACATGTTTCAACAGTTTCGTATGTGTGATCGCGTTTCAACTGGTAAATTTGGTAGAGGGCTAAACTTTATAAGGCAGAGGTCAGGGAATTTATATGAAGGCGAATACAAAGATGGACTCCTACAACAGTGCTCTCACTTTTGAGATGCTGCTCAAGCCTCAACGGCAAAGAGATTCCAGACCCCAAGGGAAGAGATCAGGAAGGGTGGTAGAAAGGGAGAAAGGCCACTGCTTCTGAAAATATAAATCAGGATAAACTTTTCCATTTTTTTTTTTTTGCTTTTTGGGTCACACCTGGCGATGCTCAGGGGTTACTCCTGGCTCATGCACTCAGGAACTGCTCCTGGCGGTGCTCAGGGGACCATATGGGGTGCTGGGAATCGAACCCGTGTCGGCCATGTTGGCTGCGTGCAAGGCAAACGCCCTACCCGTTGTGCTATCGCTCCGGTCCTAAACTTTTCAAATTTTAATTTTCAAATTGATTTTCAAATTGAGCCCTTGACATTGAACCTCTGACATTGAATCAATGTCAAATGGTGTCACTTATGATTGACTAAAAATCACGGGAACTACTACATCTCACATCTTACTTCATAATTGAGTATTCTCAGTTCCTGCCCACACTCTACCCACTGTCTTCTAGACCAGCATTTCTTTTTTTTTTTTTTCTTAACCAGGGCTCATGTGGACCCAAATGGTCTCCCAGAATATTTCAAGGAGGCCACAGGGGAAAAATCACATAAACAGGATGAAGGCACCTAACGGGTAAGTGGGGTCCTCCTAATGGGAGGACCACGGGAAAGAAACAAAGGCAGAAAAGAGATGGCACAGTTGGGAAAAGTTGAGAATTGCCGCTCTAGGCTTCTGTCTGGAGATCACCAATATTCCACATGTGCTCCCCAAAACTGATTACACGGTTTGGACCAAACACTGAACTTTGGATCCTCTTTGACTTGAGTCCTCCCTCCAATGTTGGCACAGAACATGGTGTTGGACTTGTATCCCACTTAATGAAGATGCTGGTGAACTCAGGATCTCACAGCAACAGTTTCCTGAGGATTTCACCACGCTCAACTGGTTTTCTGAGCCTCATGAGCATGTGGAGGTGAGATTTGGAGGCAGAGCAGTGAGAACTGAATCCCCAGACAGATAGTTCCCATCTTTCTGGCATGGTAAAGACATTACCCATGCGGAGTTTTGACTTCCGCATTTATCAAGTGAAGTTGCAATCATTATTCTATAGAGCTTTATAGGGAATCCTCCTTTTATAGATCTATTTAAGGAATCCAGGAAAACAAAGCCTACAAAAAACAACTCTGCTGAATCTGGTACACAGTAAGTGTCTAATAAAGGCAGCGCCCATTCCAGTGTTCGGTACTATGGTGTCCCTGGAATCATTGTTGCTATGTAAATGTGAGAATTTACATTCCTTGTAGCTCCATGTCTTCTGACATGGGTGCACTGCTGTGCTTAACTGCATTTTGAAGCCAGGGCTTGTAAGAGAGTTGCAAATCCATTTAGCAGAGCCATCATCCAGAGGGGCAACGGAGCCACAGGAAAAATACAGCATTTACTCCTGGAATGTCAGTTGTACTTGAAGTTCCAGAAAGAAATGGCAACGCAATTTCACTTTTAAATGAAACCGTAATTGTGAAGGATAAATATGAATATGCAGTGGACTAGAATGCAAAATGCACATGGACTTTTCAAAACAAAACAGCTGACTTCAAAGCCACTTGTGGCCAGCCATGAGGGTGTTGTTTGCGGCTAGAAACATTCTTTGTCTTTATTGCTTTAAGTGGGAGGTGGAAAAGTTGTGGCGGGAGGTGACGGGGGGACAGACTAGTCAAAGAAAACCCTGTTTTACTATCACCACTCACTTATTATCCATTAGCAAGGAAACAAGATGGGTTTAACCTTTAGGAATCACATTCACCTCCATTTCTAGAGGGTGCCAACCCCTAGAATGGGTAAGCTGGCCATTCTAGAGTGTTGGCAGGAGCCGTGCCAAGTTTCAGTGTCTCATTGAAATGACTGGTCTCAGTGTGGAAGCGCCCCTATTTCTCTTCTGAGGTGAATGAGGGCACCTTGGCCCAGGCCAGCGCTCTGTAACCTCTGCAGTGGCTCCTTAAGCCGATGCATGAGTAAGTTTTCTGCACTCGGCTCATGTGGCCTGGGAGAGACTTGGAACAGGACAGAAGAGCTGAATCCCTTCAGCCTTTCTGGGCTTTGGGCTCCCACCCTCCTAAGCACGCTTCTGCCCTGTCCTCACCAACCAAGGTCAAGATGAACTGGCATGTTTGCTCACCATCTTTTGCTTCGTCCCCTGCATGCCACTGTCTCTGCCCTCCGAGTCTTGCTTGCACAGGGGCAAAGCCCCTTTCTGTTAGCTTAGACTTTGCTCTCCAAAAGTTCTGATTCCTATTTCTTTTTGGATTTGTTCCTATTATCTCACTAGAGATTTTTTTTCCCAATAAAAAGCCATCAGGGACTGGAATGATAGCATAGCAGGTAGGGCGTTCACCTTGCACACAGCAGACCGGGGTTCAATCCCCAACATCCTATATGGTCCCCTGAGCACTACCAGGAGTAATTCCTGAGTGCATAACCAGGAGGAACCCATGGAGGAACCCATGAACATTGCCAGTGTGACCCAAAAAGCCAAAAAAAAAAAAAACGTACCATGATGGGAATTAGCAGAGACATGAGGATATCCAAAATTGGCCAACACTGGCAAAATTGCCAAATTTGTTAATAGTACTATCCCACATTTCCTTCCACAAGAATCCTTTGAATTTGGCAGTGCAGTTGGTCAGATTTAAGTAGACATGCATATGAATATAGAAAAATGCATAGCTTCAGACATAGCACACACAAATAATATTTTCAGGGAACATGGTTAAAAATATTGGGGTTCACAGGGTAGCATAGAGAGTTCTAGAACTTAAGATTCCTAGAGAGACTCCTAATACCTTGTCTTCTCTGGGACAAGGAATAAAAACACTTGTAGTCATTTCGTCTCCCTCACTAAGTCTAAAATTTTTCCTACGGCTCTGAAATCTTACTGAACTACACAGCTGTGTCCAGACTCCTAGATGAATGGTAAGTGCACCGCAAATCAGAAACCTGCAGTTCTCATACAGACACTGACAAGGCTGGACATTGAGTTTGGGAAGTTACTTAACAAAATCCAAACTCTCTTCTATGGCTTTCAGGGCCTATATTACGGCCCCAGGCTCATACGAAGTCACTCTCTTCCATATTCCTCTGCTCCTGCCCTCCCGGCTTTTTCTGGTTATTCAGAAAACTTCGTGTGTCCTTTTCATTCAATGTTCACTGCCCATGCCCCCCCACACATATACACACCTCTCGTGAAAGACAGTTCTTCTCTTTAACTCAGCATCATAAGAACTTCCTCATGGAAGCCTCCTCTGATCCTCTGGCCAGAGTTCTCATTATTTCCTATCATTTTATGGCTCTCTTCACAACATATGATCATTTTGTTTCTTCTCTGCCTCCCTTTTCTACCCAGAAATTCACTGATTCTGCTCTAAAGTCACCTGGAGTTCACCAGGACCTAGAATCCGATAGGCACTTGGGGTCAGAGAGAGAGCTCAATAGGATGAGCAAATGTATTGTACACAAGAGGCCTGGGTTTGATCCCTGTCACTGCATGGTCCCCTGAGCACCACTGGGAGGAACTTCTGAGCACAGAAGCAGGAGTAGCTCTCAACTCTGCAGGGCATTACCAAACCCCAATCCCCAAAGGACAGACACTCCGTAAAAATTGGAAGGATGGATGGGTAAATGGGTGAGTGGATTAATAGGATATGGCAAGATGGATAAATGGATAGATAGAAACACTGAGCATGTTTTTACCACAGATGTGCATATCTACCTCGCCAAATGAACACCAAATCCATAAAGAAGTGGTTGACAGGGGGCAGGCGGGAGGCGGAGAGGGGAATAAAGCATTTAACCAAAATTGGTTCATGGCAAAGACAGTGGTCTCTAGGTTCATGATATTTTTAGTAGCTAGTATTGAAAGAGAAATATATATATTTATATAAATATAAATATATATTTTATATGAATATAAGTATATATTTATATGAATATAAATATATAAATATAAATAAATATTTATATAAATATAAATTTATATTTATATAAATATAAATGTATATAAATATATATATGTCCGACAAGCTACTGAGAGTATCCTGCCCACACAGCAGCCCCGCAAGCTCCCTGTGGCATATTCGATATGCCAAAAACAGTAACAATAACAGGTTTCATTCCCCTGAGCCTGAAAGAGCCTTGTTGGGAAAGACAAGTAAGGAGAGGTCAGGGCTGGGACGAATGGAGACGTTACTGGCGCCTGCTTGAGTAAATCGATGAACAATGGGATGACAGCGATACAGTATTGAAAGAACCAAGGTAAATCATTAGGCACAAGATCTGATTAACGGCCCTAGTTTAATCTATGTTTTCTTGTTATCATATGCTTATCAGAAAAAAATATAACTGTAAGATACAGTATTATCAGTACTCCAACCACCTACAAATAGAACTATTGATGTTCTTGAACACATAATCTGATTCTGCTTTACTAATCACAGAATATGTATGTGTACATTATATACAACACTGTAGCTAAACTGATTGTTTTATGCCTACACATTCACTTCCCACTTTAGTGTAAACATCCTCCTTTTTGGTTAAATATTCTATCTTTAAATCATCATTGTTTAAAAAAATGTTCATTGTCATTTGAATGTATAATATTACTAAAAAATCTTAATTTTTGCTAAACCAAATTTTTCTTGTTTCATACTCAAAACTTCAAAGAACACTCTTCTTTTTAAAAAATGGTGCATACTTCCGACAAGCTTCTAAACTAAAATCCAGGAGATGAAATTACTGGGTCAAAGAGTATGGAGAGGGCCAGAGCAATAGTACAGCGGGGAGGGCACACGGCCGACCCGGGTTCGATCCCCAGCATACCATACAGTCCCCCGAGCACCATCAGGAGTAATTCCTGAGTGCAAAGCCAGGAGTAGGCCGTGAGCCTTACTAAGTGTGACTCAATAAGAAAAAAATAATTAAGAGAATAAAAAGTGTTTTTTTTCCTCTTTGTTTTCGGGGGGTCACACCTGGGGATGAACAGGGGTTACTCCTGGTTTTACACTCAGGAATTATTCCTAGCGGTGCTCAGGGGACCAGATGGAATGCTGGGACTTGAACCCGGGTCAGCCGCATGCAAGGCAAACACCTTACCCGCTGTACTATCACTTCAGCCCCGAGAATTACAAGTTTCTTAACGAACAATGCCAACTGTCTTCAAAGACAGGACTGACTCCTCTTGTTGGCTTTGGCTCTCTCACACAACCAACAGTAAGTAAAACTTAGTTGAAATCATAGATTGCTCATTTTAACTCCTTCTCAAGAAATCACCATGCCTGTTGTGTGTGTGGTCTCATAGTTTGCAAAAGTACTGAAGTGTTTTTTTTTTCTGGGGGGGGAGTGTCACACCCAGCATTGCACAGGGGTTACTCCTGGCTCATGCACTCGGGAATTACTCCTGGCGGTGCCCAGGGGACCATATGAGATGCTGGGGGTCGAACCCAGGTCGGCCTCATGCAAGGCAAACACCCTACCCACTATGCTATTGCTCCAGCTCCCTAATTGGTTCTTTTCCAGTCCCAGAACACTGTCCCATCAATTCCTTCTTCAAGATCACCTCTACTTCTGCTAACTGTGGTGTCCAGGCAGTTCAGAACACTTTTCCACACTCTATCCATAGATAGTAAGAGGCTTGGTAGTCCCCCTCCGCCCCCCGCTTTCTTCTAAGAAGCAAATTCCTTGGGTTTCTAAAAGGTCAGCCGAAGTCAGCTGGCAGCCGAAGACCTCCAGAACCAGCCACAACCATGCTGAGACCACTCTCCACACACATGAAGGTACCCGCAGAAGAACAAAGGCATGCGGGTCCTGGGGCTGAGATCTCCAAGCCTGCTCAGATCAGGGCTGAGCATCCTCCACCCAGATCCTCCATCTTCCAGTAGGCAGGGGTCACACCCACCAACTGGCCTCCTGGTGTAATCAGGGGTAATTTATAGTCTGTGGGTCTCGGCCGTGTAATCCCATCAACGGCTGAGACCCAGAGACTATAAAACCCAGCTCCCGGAAGACATCTTATTATCTCATTCTTACTTTGGACAACCTGGCAGGCTACCGAATGTAACCTGCCCACACGGCAGAGTCTGGCAAACTCCCCGTGGCGTACCCAATATGCCAAATACCAGTAACAATGATGGGTCTCATTCTCCTAACCTTGAAAGAGCCTTGAATATGGCACTTTTTAAAATCTCAGGGCTAGGATGAAGGAGATGTTACTGGTGCCTGCTCGAGGCAATTGACGAACAACAGGATGATCGTGATCGTGATCTAAAAAGTCATTCTGGAAATGAAGCTCAAAGCCTGCCTTTCTGTGGAGCCAGGAACAGCGAACATGGACTTCTGGGTGTCCAGTCCAACTTCTTGGATGTCTGTTCAGTCCCACTTGATATTTACCTAAGGAGAACCTGCAGAAGCCCATTTCCTCTGTGCCCCGCTACAAGAGTTGCCGTGCCCTTCGGCAAGACAGCTAGCTGAGGATGCTACCCTTCCTCCAGAAGCCCTAGGCAAACCCCTGGTGGCAAAGGCATCCTAAAACGCAGTGTCTCAAGACATCAAACAGGCAGGCTGACACGAAGAAAGCTGCTTATCTCTTTCATTCTGGGTAATTAGTCTTGTTGAGTTTATTTTTAATGGGAAAATAGGCCTTCATTAAATAATCAGATGCAACCACTCTATCGAGATAAGCAATAAAAAATGCGGCACCACGCTACAACATCACACGGCAGCGGACAAGAACTAAATGTGGAAATTAAGGCCCAGAAGAGTTAAGGACATGCTCCCAAAGCTTTCTTTGTTTGTTTTGTTTTTATTTGTTTGCTTGCTTGTTTTATTCGAAAGGAGATTTTTACCTGGGAGGTTGTGCTATTTGTTTGCTTTTTAAGCCAAAAAAAAAAAAAAATCCCACATAAGCTTGTGGCTTCCAAATCCTAGATCTACAGTAATTCCGCAGTGCCATCCCGTCCCACCCCGCCTCCACCACACTCCTTCTTTTGAATAAACATTGTACAATCTGCTGGATTTCTCTGTGACTTTTTTTCATACTTGTGAATCTGTTTGGAAAGAAAAGAAAAAGGAAAGGGGAAAAGAGCCTTCTGTTTTTCATAATGTCTAATCTTTCTCCCCATTGGCATTCACCAGATGTTGCTTTGGATCGGAAGATAAATATTAAAATCTAAGCAAGAACAAAGTGAGCTGTTTACTGGGCAGATTTTTCAGATGTTCTCTTGAACACTTGAAAAGACAGGAGATGCTTTGATATGCAGCCTGGCTGGAATCCACAATGGAATGGTCCCTTCAGTGAATGCTCTGGGGGCCCCGGGGCCCCAGGCAGAGCCCACAGTTCCTGATGGCTGCCTAAGTCTCCTGCTCCTGCATTTGTGTGGAGGCTGGGGTGAGAGAAGACAGAATTACCTGATGAAGAGTCCTGAGAACATCGGCGAGACCGACTCTGTCCAGCGAGCTGTAGCAAAGAAGCGCTGGGAACTTCCTTCACAGACGTAGAGGTAGGACCAAGATTCTGACAGCGTGCTGGTCCCCAAGGCGACGGTTAAATCACATTGCACAAAGGTTGGGGAGGGATTTTCACAGTCTTCCTCCCCCAGCTTCAGGTCACACAGGAAAGCCAAGGAAACTGCAGGGAAAGTGCCCATGAGGTTATATAACAACATAGGAGCGACCTAAAGTTCCCATAGGGTTACATAAGTGCCATTCATCATTACCCCTTAACCAAGAAGAAAAGGAAGCTACCCTTCACTCTCCCAGAAAAGAAAGGGTCATAGAACCATGTATGTGGAATGCAGGCAAATGACTGTAGCACTGTCCTCCCGTTGTTCATCGATTTGCTCCAGCGGGCACCGGTAACGTCTCCATCGTGAGACTTGTTGTTACTGTTTGTGGCATATCAAATACACCAGGGGGAGTTTTCCAGGCTCTGCCGTGTGGATGAGATACTCTCAGTAGCTTTCCAAGCTCTCAGAGAGGGACAGAGGAATCGAACCCGGGTTGGCTGCATGCAAGGCAAACGCCCTACCCGCTGTGCTATCACTCCAGCCAGGCAAATAACATGATGGCAAAATCTATATCATTGAAATGGAAGAAATAGATTGGGAATCTACCAGCCAAGAGACAGTCTAAAAGCAATCCCATTCTGCACAAATCCACATGCCCCATCACCACGGCCACCCCTAGCTCCTCATTCTCTGAAAGAACTACACGCTTCGTTTTTCATTGGTTTTTCCACATGGGTTTGTATTCCTAAATAAAAGATTGTTGAAACGGACCCGTGTGAAAATTTCTCACGGGACATCATGTCCTCCTTGGACCTGTGGTTTTTTTTTAATTAGTTTTTCTGTTCTCAGGTGAATCTTCTCTGCATATAGTAGCTATTTCCACATTTTTACTGCTGCTCAATATTACGTTACGTGAACTAAGCATAAAGGATGTATCTGTCCTCTTTTCCATGGATGTTGGGTATTTTCCAGTTCCTTGCTACTATAAACATGCACAGAATTTTCTCTGGGTAAGCAGTTTTCTATCTTTTTTACACCTGCAGAGTGGCGCTGATCCACACCGTTGAAAACCACTGTTCTAGGGAATGTGCCTTAAAGAAAATTGCCTTTTCCAATTTACTGCATAGCACCGTCTCGATTTCATACTGACTATGGCATTTCACTTTCCCATCTGCTGTATTTATGAATCCCTGTTACTCCACAAACTTGACAACACTTGATTTTATCAAATTCTTAATTTGGGCCAGAACAATGCATATACTATGAAATTTCACTTAGCCTTAATCTGCGTGTTTTTTTTTTTGATAGAAAAGTTGATTTATGGTGATGTTTCAGCAGCTTATTTATTTGGCTGATTTTTTTTTAATTTTATTTTTAATAGTGAGACATCATGAGGTACAGTTGTAGACTTACACATTTTTGTGCTTGGGTTTCAATTATACAATGATCGAATACCCATCCCTCCACCAGTGCCCATTTCCCACCACCACGGATCCCAGTATCCCTCCCACCCCCCATCCCCCCATCCCACCTTGCCTCTGTGGCAGGGCATTCCCTTTTGTTCTCTCTCTCCTTTTGGGTGCTGTGGTTTGCAAAAGAGGCATTGAGTGGCAGTCGTGTTCGGTCTAGAGTCTACTTTCAGCATGCTTCTCCCATCCTGGGAGGATCCTCCCAACACCCTTTATTTGGTGCTCCCTTCTCTATCTGAGCTCCCTTTTCCCCTAGCATGTGTGGTTGGCCTCCAAGCCATGGAGTAAAATTCCTGGTACTAATCTGCATATTCATCCTTTATTAGGTACAACCATTTTTTTTTCTGCTTTTTGGGTCACATCCAGCGATGCTCAGGGGTTACTCCTGGCTTATGCACTCAGAAATTACTCCTGCTGGTGCTCACGGGACCATATGGAATGCTGGGAATCGAACCCGGGTTGGCCGCATGCAAGGCAAACGCCCTACCTGCTGTGCTATCGCTCCAGCCGCAGGTGCAATCATTTTTATATGTTCACTAATATCTCAATTTTCCTCTTCAATTAAATTGCTTCTGCTTCTTGCTCTCTTTTCTATTGGAGTGTCTGACTTTTTCTTATTGATTTGTGCTCTTTATCTGTTCTGAATACTAATCCCACAGAACTTGGATGGCTAGCAAATACAGCTCCATATTTATAACTGTCATTCTGGTTTTTTTTTTTGTGGTTGTTGTTTTGGGGGCCACGTTCAGCAGTGCTCAGGGCTTATTCCTGGCTCCGAGCTCAGGGATATATCCTGGCATGGCTCAGGGGACCGGATGTGGTCCTGGAGAGTGAACCTGGGTCAGCCAGGTAGAAGGACAGTGCCCTGCCCTCTGTACTATCTCTCCAGCCCCCCATTTTTAACCTTTTTTTATGAAATTTCTTAATTAGCATAAATTCCCTTTATCATGCAATTGTAACTCTTAGCATTTCTTAAAGAAGAAAAGCAATTATGTGAAGCTCTTTGACCCATAGGCCATTTCATTTCTTTCTGGGCCATGAAGTACAATATACAAGACCATCAACAAAGTGGATGGAAAATAACCTTTAACAGGAAGAGGATCAAACCTGCACAGGAGATGCCTTTGGAGTGGCGGTTTGAAAATTTCAATAAAATAAGGAAGGAGAAAGAACAATTTCTCTGGCCTTCTGTTAGCTGCTCTGTAGCAAAAGGCATCGAGAACTGTAGACTGAACTCTAAGTGGCCCTACCTACATCCCGTGGTTAGTGTTTTTAGATCACAAACAAATATTACTGTTTTCGTTACATTCCAAAATGCTCCACGGCATGGTAGTCTGTAAAGTGTTCAGATGAATTGTGGCAATTAAGGTGTCTGATAACAGAACTGTGATACAGATAGACAAAACAGGAGAATTTTCTAGTTAGTCAGCCCTAAGGCAAATAAAAACAGGCCCAACACCTATGAAATAATGAACCTGCTATGAGCAATTGGGTGAATACAAATTGACAAATGGATTATGAAAAGTACCCAGGGCTGGGAATCAGAATCCACGGGTTTGATTCAAGATTCTGCCACAAAAAAAAAAAAAAAACCTGCATGTCCTTAAGCATTTTGGCTTTCAGGGCTGCATGCAAAAGTTCACGAAAAATGTCATGTGGTATATAATTAAGGTATAAATGCAAGAAATCTGAAGATCAACTTTCTTACTGATTTTATAAACATAGAGTGTTTGTTTCACCTAAAAAGATGTTTTAGCCACCCATCCTATGAACAAAATAAAATGCTTCTTTGGGAGAAATCCAAACCTAGGAAGTGGTAACGATAAATGACACCAAATGTCGCAAAAGAACTTTTGTAGAGCTGACTTAACTGACTCCCTCACTGACAAAGAGAAAACACCTTAAGCACTGAGACTTTAGAACAAGCGAAATAATAGTTAGGAAGGTTGGGAGTTTCTCTAACCTCGCTTGTACTCTGGAATGGGAACCATCACTCTTGCTTTTGTACAAAGTCAACCTAAGAAACAAAACCCAAAGCAAAACCAGCGTTTGAAAGGGACCTTGAAAAATAAGAGAATCTTAACAGAAATAAGCAAAAGACTGAATGAAAAGAGTAAGGCAGTAAACCACAGAAGTAAAAAGGAAAATAAATAAATATATGTGTGTGTGTGTGTGTGTGTGTGAGTAAAACATGTAGCTGCATATAACTCCGTCTCTGTCTCTGGTCTCTGTCTCTGTCTCTGTCTCTCTCTCTCTCTCTCTCTCTCTCTCTCTCTCTCTCTCTCTCTCTCACACACACACACACACACACACAGACATACACACACACATACACAGAGATATACACACTCCATGGTATAAGAGCAGGCAACCAAAAAAGACCAGCAAGGCAGAGTAGTCATTTTTAAAGCCTGAGATCAACTGACAGACGGGCACCTCACAAGGCTATCCAATGGGTTCTAAATGGGGTCTACCTGAAAAACTACATTTGAAAAACTACAATCATATACTCAAACTTGATGGCCAGTTCCAGATTTTGATAGAATCCTTAAATCTCATACTGAATCTATAAAAAAATAACCAGTTCAATTAGATATCATTGAGGACTTGAGGTTGTGAATGTAAAAAATCTGAGGGCTACAGGAGGAGAGAGAGAACAGGGGGGAATGCCCTGCCACAGTGGCAGGGGGGGATGGGGGGATGGGAGGATGGGGGGGAGGGATATTATCCTGGTGGTGGAAAATGGGCACTGGTGGAGGGATGGGTATTTGATCGTGGTATGACCGAGATCCAAGCACAAAATTTGTAAATCTACAACTGTACCTCATGTTGTTTCACTAATAAAAAAAAAAAAAAAAAAAATCTGAGGGCTAGAATAAAAATGTCCAAACTGTTACTTGTTGGACAGAAATCAGTAGCTCCCCCCGCCCCAAATTGACATTTTTAACAAATGCTATTCCTGCTCTGGTGGCAACAACAATCAAATTATATTCTCAACAGTTCTTAGTTATAATATCATAAAAACCACGATGTGAGAAGGAATGGGATTGTTTGACTTGTCCAAAGGACTGCCCATTGACAGATTGAAAAGGACAGAGGAGACGTGGTTCAGCACAGCCTGGGTTACATCCTGCCTGAGCTTAATGCCTGACATAGAAAACAGAATTCTTTTTGAAGGAGTGCAGTGGCATCTAAATTTAGCGAAAAAAGTAAATTTATCTAAGAATGGTAACTCCGAAGCACTGGGAAGGGTTGCTGTTAAGAAATTATTCTCTTAATATAATTTTCAACGATTCATTAAATTAGTTATATGAAATCCTATGTGAGAGTGGGAACTACTATTAGTAAGTTCTCAATTTTAGCAAACTTCCCATTTTAATTTAAAATTTTTTGATCCCCAAGCATTTGTAAGACGCACTCCATTCAACCATACGATGTTCATTATAGATAGACATTCATACGTGTGTCTGTGTGTGTGTGTCTGTGTGTGTGTGTGTGTTGGGACGGGGGGAATGAATGGAGGGAGCAAATCCAGAGAAATACACAATCATATACTCAAAATTGATTGCCAGTTCCAGATTTTGATAGAATCCTTAAATCTCATACTGAATCTATAAAAAAAAATAACCAGTGCAATTAGATATCATAAGTTCCTCTCCATATCTATACACTGTAATTAAAAGTATTTTGATACACTCTATTATGAAAAAGTCAAATAATCCATATGCCTAGAGTAAACGAAAGGCTCATGCAAAAAAAAAAAAAAAAAATCAATGAGTGTTTGGTGACACCTAGTGGCAATAATAGCACACTGCACACTGTAGCACACTGTCTTCCCGTTGTTCATCAGTTTGCTCGAGCAGGCACCAGTAACGTCGCACAACAAATTGTGAGACTTGTTGTTACTGTTTTTGGCATAGCGAATATGCCACAGGGAGCTTTCCAGACTTTGCCATGCAGGCGAGATATTCTCGGTAGCTTGCCGGGCTCTCCGAGAGGGGCGGAGGAATCGAACCACAGGCGGGTCATGTTGGCCACGTGCAAGGCAAACGCCTTACCCACTGTGCTATCGCTCCAGCCCAAGTGGCAATAATAAAAATTACAATTCTCAGCTCGTGGTTTCTCTTAAATATGAGTCCTTTCCTACATCTTAATGAAATTTTGTGAAATATGGGAGTCGGAATGATAGCACAGTGGGTAGGATACTTGCATTGCATGCAGTCAACTTTGGTTAGATCCTCAACACCCCATGTGGTTCCCCGAGCTCTCCACGAGTGATCCCTGAGCACAGAACCAGGAGTAAGCCCTCAGCACAGCCGGGTGTGGCCAAAAAAGCAAACAAAAAATTGTAAAATATTCCTACAATTTCTCCTTTATGCATTGTGAAACTCTCAGTATAACAATTTACCTGATTTTTTAAAAATTTTTTTAATTATTTTTATTATTATTATTTTTTGCTTTTTGGATCACACCTGACGATCCACAGGGGTTACTCCTGGCTCTGCACTCAGGAGTTACTCCTGGCAGTGCTCAGGGGACCACATGGGATGCCGGGAATCGAACCCGGGTTGGCCGCGTGCAAGGCAAACGCCCCACCCGCTGTGCTATCTCTCCAGCCCAATTTACCTGATCTTTAACCTTCACTGATTTTCATTTTGAAATTCTCATGGAAATTAGACTGAAATTATACTTTTAATTGTATTAAAAGACACGGTAGTCATATCAAGCATTTACGTGTGTGTGAAAGTGTTGACAAAATGTAGCAGTATTTTTAATAGTAGAAACATATACGTGTAGTCTTGGGTTTTCATATCTTGTTTCCCAGTTATTTCATTTATTTTTTCTTCTATATTGTTGAGCCCGGCAAGCTACCGAGAGTATTCAATATGCCAGACACAGTAACAACAAAGTCTCCAATGGAGACGTTACTGGGCCCGCTCGAGCAAATCGACGATCAACGGGAGGGCCTTTACCTTTATATTGTTTGTGTATACTGCACACCCGCACACCATACACACACACACACACACACACACATCCCTCAGCCCCGCTCCCAACTCAGTCACGTGGCTCAGTTCTCCATTAAGCTGACTCTGCAGCTGTGTTGCTTCCTCATTGTGTATCTTTAAGTCCCACATATCAGAAAGATCATTCTCCCTGAAGAGAGAAACATCGCCTTCCTTCTGACCAATTTCACCCAGCATGATCCTCCACTTCTATTCGTGTTGCTGAAACTTGCATAATTTTGTTCTTTCTGAGAGCAACACAGTATTCCATTGTCTCTATACACCATAATTTCTTGATCTGTTTGTCTGTAATTGGGCAATTGGCCATATGTTGGCTGAGTACAGTGATGACCATAGGGAGGCCTATATCCTTTCAAAATAATATTTTTGTGTTTGGGGAAATCGATTCCAAAAAGTGGTATAGTTGGGAGTTCTATTCCTATCTTTTGGAGAAAGGTCCAGATTGCTTCCCATGGAGAATTAACCAGACAACATTCCCACCAACAGTGGGTAAATGTTCCTTTCTCACCACAGCCCTGCCAACGATGGCTATTTCCAGGGTGCTTAGATTCTTAGAGCAGATACACGCATACACAGGTGATGGGTGTAATGTTGGAGTTATGTCCATCAGAATCCATTATTAACCAAAACAATTCAGGTATAAAACTACGCCCAATGAAGTGGGGAGAGAAGGATTAAAATTACCATTGTCAAAATGAGAGAAAAAAGAGATTGTCTTTACAATAGCCAGAATGTGGAAAAAACCTGAGTGCCCGAGAACAGATGACTGGTTAAAGAAACTTTGGTACATTTACACAATGGAGTACTACTTAGCTATTAGAAAAGATGAAGTCATGAATTTTACATACAAGTGGTACCACATGGAAAGTATCATGTTAAGCGAAATGACTCAGAAAGAAAGGGATAGACATAGAAAGATTGCATTCATCTGGGGAACATAAAGGAACAAAATAGGAGACTAATACCCAAGATTGGCCGAGATAAGTACCAGGAGGTTCACTCCATGGCTTGGAGGCCAACCACACACGCTAGGGGGAAAGGCAACTCAGATAGAGAAGGGAGCATCAAATAAAGGGTGTTGGGAGGATCCTCCCAGGATGGGAGATGCATGCTGAAAGTTAGACTATAGACTGAACATGAGTGCCACTCAATGCCTCTTTTGCAAACCACAGCACCCAAAAGGAGAGAGAGAACAAAAGGGAATGCCCTCCCACAGAGGCAGGGTGGGATAAGGAGGTGGGGAATGGAAGGGATACTGGGATCCGTGGTGGTGGGAAATGGGCACTGGTGGAGGGATGGGTATTTGATCATTGTATAATTGAAACGCAAGCATAAAATTTGTAAGTCTACAACTGTACCTCATGGTGTCTCACTAATAAAAATTTAAGAAAAAAAAGAGATTGTATATTCCCAATGCCAGCACTGAATTTTATACAGGAGGTAGAGGGTGAAACAAACATTGGAATGTATAACTCTTCTACTGTTTATTGCACTTCCTGTATATTGCACTTCCTGTTAGGAATAGGAGACCCAAGGTCTAGTACTCACGGATACTCCAGTATTCCTCCTCCTCCTCCACTTCTTCTCCTATTTCTCCTCCTCCTCCTCCCCCTCCTCCAAGACAATCCAAATAAAGTGCCAGCTCCATTCCATAGCATTGTCCTTTATGAATTTCTGTCCAAGCTAATGGAAAGTGGGATTTTTATTACCTTATAAATATGTTTCCCACCTTCAGGAAGCACACATAAAATAGGAATATATCTTTAAAGCACTATACAGAAAATGTATGCAAGAGTACATGATCTAGGAGATTATTGCAAACAAGGTAATTGCCTAGCTAAGCTGGCTCTCTGATAATTATGGTCATTTCTTCCTTGTACCTTTTCCCCTGAAGTTTAATTGGTAATTATAAAATGTTATAAAGTGCATCATGGGAATACAAAGCTTTGCACTTTTTTTTGAACCTCTCCATCCCAGGAAAACATAACTTCCTACATCAATACCTACTTAATGACTTAAGAATTTTAAGTGGGCCATTTCTCCTCAGAGAACTCCATGTTCTCCCTTCTCTATTAAATCTCTCTCTCCCTCCCTCTCTCTGACTCTTCCATCTTTCTTTCTGTCTCTCTCTCTTTCCTCTGGGAAAAAAAATACTTTTCACTTCTAAAAAGAGTTTAGAATAGTGAGTGATCACAATGCTTTATTGAGTCACTGGGGTCAAGAAACTAACTGAATATTATCAAATAAGAGGATAATGTGTGCTTAATAACTCAAGAATGCAAAACAGTCCATCTGCAGCTTCGTGGCCAAATAAACACTATGTTCCTTCAGTAAGCAGCCATTCTCTACAGCATTGTCGCAGATCACAACAAGATGTGTAGATTGTCATTGAAATGAATGTTTAGAACTACTTTCTTAGGCTAGGCAGGTAATTCAACAGGCCAAGCAGATATTTTGCATGCAGGAAATCTATGTTCAATGCCTAGCACCCCATGGTCCTCTCCCTGAGTGCCTCCTGGAGCACTCTCACAGCACTGAGCCACGTATGACCCCTGAGTACTGACAGACGCAACCCAAAAAGCAGAAAACAAAGCCTCGCTAGTTTGTACATCATCCTGTGACTGCAGTCAAAATCTTTTTTTTTTTTTTTTGCTTTTTGGGTCACACCCGGTGATGCTCAGGGGTTACTGCTGGCTCATACATTCAGGAATTACTCCTGGCGGTGCTCGGGGAACCATATGGGATGCTGGGAATCGAACCTGTATCGGCCATGTTGGCTGCGTGCAAGGCAAACGCCCTACCCGCTGTGCTATCGCTCCAGCCCCCAAAATCATTTTTGATAGCGTCAAAAGAAATTGAATTGTGATGCTTCTTCCTTATTCTTTCAGCAGCGACCTATTCCTATGACAAAGTTATGCTGACAAAGTTACTTCAACACTCAGTCCCTGACCCTAAATATCATTTCTTATGAGTAAGGATGTTTTTTTCCCCACAGTTGCCTGGAAAAAGTGGGGCTCAGCCCAGCATTCATTGCAAACGTGCATTGAACCAAAGAATATTATTCTGATGCTTATGAACTCTATGATTGTTTTTACATACCATCCAGGGGCAGAACCAAGCAGCTGAAAGCTGACACTGTCGCGTTAGCCAGGATCTGGCAGGGAACGCCACAAATGGTAGCGGACATGTTCCCTGGGGAAAATCCTACTCCAAACACATGCACCAGCTTTCCTCCGAGGCCCCCTGTAACACAAAGTGCAAGAATCCATCACAGATGCCCTTGACTCAAAACTGAAAACCTCCTGCTTGCTTTCTGTTCATCCCTCTTCCCTGCCCTGCAGAAGCTTAATTTCTCACACCCTCAGTTTCTTCTCCAGACCAGAATCCCTAACTAAACTGTCCAATGGCATTTACATTTCCCAATCTATTTTTTTAAATGCAATTCTCTTATATAGCAATTCATATAACTATAGTTATGAAACATTGTACACAAACAAGTATAAAATAAAATTTCTCCTAATCACTTGTTTCACTTCCCATTTTTTCTAGAATTTTCTAAGCAAGGTGCTGCTACAGAAAGAATTCATGCCTTTTTTTTCTACAACTTTATTTTTTGATAGCATAGCGGTAGGGCGTTCGCCTTACAAGCGGCCAACATGGCCGACCCGAGTTCGATTCCTCCACCCCTCTCGGAGAGCCCGGCAAGCTACCGAGAGTATTCGATATGCCAGACACAGCAACAACAAAGTCTCCAATGGAGACGTTACTGGGCCCGCTCGAGCAAATCGACAATCAACGGGAGGGCCTTTACCTTTACCTTTATCTTTAATTAGAGACACTTTTCCCAATTCCTAAGTTGTCATTCTAATGGCAACCGGGTTTCCCTGTTACCTGAAACTAGAACATTGCTCATGGACATTCCTTCAAAACTTAGAAATTGAGTTTCCATATGACCCCGCAATACCACTTCTGTGAATATATCCCGAGGGTGTAAAAAAGCACAGTAGAAATGTTATCTACACCTATATGTTCATTACAGCACTGTTCACAATCGTCAGAATCTGGAAACCCTGAGTGCCCGAGAACAGACAACCGGTTAAAGAAACTTTGGTATATCTACATAATGGAATACTATGAAACTGTTAGGAGAGATAAAGTCATAAAATTTGCAAATAAGTGCATGAACATGGAGAGTATCATGCTAAGTGAAATGAGTCAGAAAGTGAGGGACAGACATAGGAGGACTGCACTCATTTGTGGAATATAAAATAACATAATATGAGACGGACACCCAAGGTCAGATTCTTGGACACACAAGGGCCAAAAATATTGCTCTATAGCTAGAAGCTGTCTCATGAGCTGGGGAGAAGGCAGCTGCGATAAAGAAGGGATCACTAAGTCAATGATGTTTGGAGGAATCATTTGGAATGGGAGACGTGTGCTGAAAAGTAGACAAAAGACCAAACATGATAACCTCTCAGTATCTGTATTGCAGACCATAATGCCCAAAGGTAGAGAGAGAGTATGGGGAAAATTGTCTGCCATGGAGACAGGGGAAGAGTTGGAAGAGGGGGGTACATACTGGGGACATTGGTGATGGACAATGTGCACTGGTGGAGGGATGGGTGTTTGATCATTCTATGATTGAAACTCAATATGAAAGCTTATAACTATCTCATGGTGATTCAATAATAATAAAAAAAACTAGTGCATTGCCATGAAATGTTTGCTATGTCAAAATGCACAGTAAAAATGCAGTGGTAAAAGTATGTTGGTGGGGCTGGAGCGATAGCACAGCGGGTAGGGCGTTTGCCTTGCACGCAGCTGACCCGGGTTCGATTCCCAGCATCCCATATGGTCCCCCGAGCACCACCAGGAGTAATTTCTGAGTGCATGAGCCAGGAATAACCCCTGTGCATAGCAGGGTGTGACCCCAAAAAGCAAATTTGTATGTATATATTCTTGAGTTATATATATATATATATATATATATATATATATATATATATGTTGGTATTCTCCATCCCAAAAAGTAAACCACCAAATCATACCAAATAACATAGATCTAAACTAACACCCTCACATAGATTAAAAACAGGAGTGATATGATAAGCACTCAAGTTGTATAAAGTCATTTCCTGAGGAAGGAGCTAGGTGGTACTATTTCTGAGCCCTGCCTTTAGACTAGCTAGAGCAAATTAACATGGGATGTTGTTCTCACTTTTTGCCATTTATAGTAAATGCAAATTCCACTAAATGGCTCCCATTTATTTAGCCATTTTCCCATTAATGAATGCATTCTTTCTCCTGTGATCAATGATGCTACAATGAACTATACATTTTTATGAGTAAAGTGATTGCAAACTCTGAGAAGTGGAAAGACGAGCACTAAGAAAAGGTGACTTGTTCATTTGGATACACAACTGCTCCATTAATCAACAAAATAGCATACTAGTTTACATTCTAAAAGCACTGAATGATTTTGCTCTGTCTAGGCAAAAGTGTGATGATTCCTAAGAGACAACAATTTGACTGCAGCTTCAGAAACAACCAAGGCTGTGTCCCCCAAGACTTTTAGGCATGTCCTCTTAGGCAAAACCTCTTAGTTTCTAAGACTATCACCTTCCTTTCAAGACAAGACCTGACAAACTCGGGAACACAGTACACTTCATACCTCTGACCACAAAGAATCATGGAACCTTGTGGATCTAGAAGACATACAACCTAAGTCTTCTTATCAAAATGGGATGGACAGGACAGGATGTGGAGAGGAGGAAAAGGAAAAGAAGTTACCCACAATATCACTTAGAGCCAGAATTCCCATAGCATTTTACCCAAGTGACACAGGACAAATTCGTTCTAGAAAATGACTTGCTAATATTTCATCTAAGATTTTGCTCACATAATTTCCTAGTTGTAGCATCACAATCTGATCTGAGCCATCTTAAGTGGAGCAAAGCCTTAAATGAAATCAACGCCATCATTGGAAGAAGAGTTGGGTCAAAGTTCCATCTGTCTATAAAAAGGAAAGAGGGGGAGAATGAAGATAGTACAGTGGGTAGGGCATTTGCCTTGCAGGCGGCCGACCCTGGTTCAATCCCCGGCATCCCATATGGTCTTCTGAGCACCGCCAGAGTAATTCCTGGATGCAGAGCCAGGAGCAACCCCTGAACTTCGCCAGATGTGACCCAAAAAGCAAAAAAATAAAATAAAAAAAAGGAAAGAGGTTCATTCACTGTGTTGTTCTATGAACTGAATTATTATCAGTAGAGTATAACCTCCTGGATTATAATAGCAAGATAAAATTAACTATATGTAATAAATAGAAAGCAAATTAATTTGTTACAGTGGTGTAATGTTGGACAAAGCCATTTTCTTTCTATTCAAATGTTCCATTGATGAGCCCTTATAAATGATATTAATTTCAAACAAATTAGAGACTGAAGAACCGCACTTGCAGTGATGTGTTTGCCTTGCACAAGGCCAACCCTGGTTTGATCCCTGGTACCACATGGTCCCTTGAACAATTATTTTTTTTTCTTTTTGGGTCACACCCAGCGATGCTCAGGGGTTACTCCTGGCTCTACACTCAGAAATCATGCCTGGCAGTGATTCAGGGGACCATATGGGACATTGGGAATCAAACCGTGGTTGGCCATGTGCAAGACAAACGCCCTACTCGCTGTGCTATCATTCCAACCTCAGAGCACAATTCTTGAGTACAAAGTCAAGAGTTACCCCTGAGTACTGCCAAGTATGGCCCCAATCTCTCCCCCCAAATAAATAAAAAGTAAATAAGTTAATGCATCAAATTCAAATACAACCTAGCACATGGGGAACAAACATCCATCAATTCTTTGATAAAATAACAGAGCATGACAAAGACCAGTTTGAGGAGGAAACTGACGCTAAGAGGCCAGTTACCCTTCCATCCTCTCTGGGCTCTGGGGTTCCTGTTCATCACCTGACTCAGTCACTAGAACACCATTCACACAACAGCCTGTGTGTCTCACTCCACTTACCAAAGTTCTCGGTCACGGCCGTAACAGCGGCTCTGGATGTGAACACCAGGGCAGAGGACACCCATCCCCTTCTGCGGTCAAAACTCCTGACCAGGTACTCCCCGGCAGGCAGGGCTGGAAGTGGGCACTGCAGAACAGAGTGGTTCCCAGAGATGCCCAGACACGGTGATGGCCCTATGAAAATGTCCATATTCTCAGCTCCTGAGATGCGGGCCACCTCCAGGGTTAAGACTTCCTCTGTCCAAGAAATGGAGAGCAATTCTGGGGTGAAGGCAGGGCTATAGTCGATGACCCCCATCTGGAAAGAAATTCCATCCACCTCTAAGACCAAGCTCTGGGTACCGTTTCCAGCAGGAAGCACGCACTGAAGGAGCACGGAGCTGATGCTCACGGTCAGGCAAGCCCGCTGGCCCACGGACACTGAGGTGGAGTTCTGGCCTCTCAGAGTTGAGCCCTCCACCGTCAACAAGTTCCCACCGAGCAGGCTGACGTTCTTGGGGAAGTAATGAAACACTTGAGGCCAGATGTGGAAGCGTCTGGAAATGTTGCCAAAGCAAGCATCCCCATTTCCAGGGTCAAACACAGAAACGCTGTGGGGTCCAGGGCTCAGGTCGCTGACCTCACACGCCACGTGGCTTCTATTCCAGAAAGTTGTGGTGCACGGAAGGTGAGTGTCCACCACCACCTGCAGTTCCCCGGGGGCCCTGCCTAAGCGCTGGCCCCAAATCAGCACCGTGGTCAGAGCCCCAGTGACCTGGGCCGCAAAAGCTTCCACCAAGGGCGTCGCCTCTGGGGAGAGAAGGACCGTGCAAGTGTCCAGACAGTCGCTGGCCAGCCCACCCGCCAGCAGAGTGATGTTCAACACGTGGGGGGTGTCGGGGCGGGGGTCGCCCACCGGCTTCACCTGGCAGAGGACCATCTGGTCCCCCCAGCTCAAAGGCTCACAGGCGAAAGGACCAGAGGGGCGCAGGTGGACGGAGCCCGCGAGGGGCCGCAAGGCCCATCCCCGCACGGTGATGACTGTCCCGCCGCAGGCCGACCCGTGCCTCGGGGAGATGGACACGATCTGGGGGGTCACCACGAAGCGTGGGTCCACCGTGGAGAGATCGGCCCACCCCAAGTGCTCGTGGCGCGCCTGGAGAGGGTAGGCGCCGGCGCGCAGGCCGCGGAGAGGGAAGGAGCACGAGGCCCAGCCGGGGTCCCTCCGGGGAGGCCCGGTCCCCAGCCTGCAGTCCAGGTCCCCCAGACTCAGCACCGCGCCCACGACGTGGATTCCCAGCACCGAGAACCGCAGGCTGCCGGCCACAACGGTGCCCTGCAGTGCGGTGACCACGGGGGTCGCAGTGGCTTCGTAGGTGAAGTTGAAGCGCTTGCCCATCAGGCCTGGGGACAGTCCACAGGTTGAGGGTCCCAGGCCGGTGCAGATGTCCACCGCGACCGTGAGGGCCACAGCGCCCGCGCCTGGCAGCGCAGGGGCCGGTGGGGTCTCACACCAGATGCTGCTGTCCGTGGAGGTGACCAGGGCGCAGGAGCTATTGCCCACCAGGACCCGGATCAAGGCGGTGTCCCGACTGAACCCTTGTCCAGAGATGCTGAGGATGGTTCCGCCTAGAGCAGACACATGGAAAACCAAAGGTGAGAAGTTAAAATGCAGAGCCAGAATCTGGAAAAAAAATCTGAGTGCTTGAGAATAGATGACTGGTTGAAGAAACTTTGGTACATCTACACAATTGGAGTACTACGTAGCAGTTAGAAAAGATGAAGTCATGAAATTTACATACAAGTGGTGGAAAGCAGCCTGCTAAGTGAAATGAGTCAGAAAAAGAGGGACAGACATAGAAAGATTGCATTCATCTGGGGAACATAAAGTAGCAAAATAGGAGACTAACCAAGAATAAGCCAAGATAAGTACCAGGAGGTTTACTCCATACCTTGGAAGCCAGTCGAACACGCTAGGGGGAAAGGCAGCTCAGATAGAGAAGGGAGCACCAAGTAAAGGGTGTTGGCAGGATCATCCCAGGATGGTAGAAGCCTGCTGAAAGTAGACTATAGACCAAACATGACTGCCACTCAATGCCTCTTTTGCAAACCACAGCACCCAAAAGGAGAGAGAGAACAAAAGGGAATGCCCTGCCACAGAGGCAGGGTGGGATGGGGGGATGAGGGGAGTGGAGGGCTACTGGGATCAGTGGTGGTGGAGAACGGGCACTGGTGGAGGGTTGGGTATTTGATCATTGTATAATTGAAATCCAAGCACAAAAAATTTGTAAGTCTACAACGTACCTCATGGTGTCTCATTAATAAAAATTAAAAGAAAAAAAATAAAATGCAGAGCAAGGAGCAGCGGGGGCGGGGTGTGAGATGCATCGTGAGAGCGTGAGGGTTTCACCTGCCCCTGCCCATGTGCAGTGGGATCACTGCGGGGACCCGAGGGGCTGAAACGCACCTAACAGGAGCAGTGTGAAGGATTATAGCGGGAGAAGTTTATTATATTTAAGACAATTTTCAAGCAAATGTATGTCTTAGAAACCATCCTATCAGGGGCTGGAGTGATACCACAGTGGGTAGAGTGTTTGCTTTGCCTGAGGTGGACCTGGGTTGGACCCCCAGCATCCCACATGGTCCTCCGAGCACTGCCAGGACTAATTCCCGAGTGCAAAAAAAAAAAATAGGAAAGAAAGTAACCATCCTATCAATCAACTCAAACATGAATACTAAACTCCATCTGCTATATCATCTTATGTTATTTTTATGTCTTTCTCTATTTTATTTATTAGAGTGTATGTATATCATCTGTATGCATATATAACATATGTTAAAGAAAGATAAACGTTTCTTTGAAATCTGCCAGATCTGACATCATCATTTCATGTGATTCCAGTTATTCCAGGTATTTTATGTGTAAATATGGCATTCAATACATATTCAATGTATTCACTAATGAAAAATAAATTTATTAGACTTTTCTGTTATAATCTATACTACTCTATAAATAATCCTTAAAGTAGTCACATGTGTATGTGTGTACGTATATCCTATGGTGTGTGTGTATATATGCATATATAAATTATGTGTATGTAAGAGGCATAGAAACATTAAAAACTATTTGTGATGCTGCGATATTCTTAATCTTTGTCTTACTCTCTTTAATCATCAGTGGGAGACCACGAAATACCGTTATGAGACCATGATTAATACAACATACCCTGTAGCATTACTGACTCTGTGATATAACTGAAGGATTTCACCATACTCAAACAGTTAAGGACTTATTTTTTTTTACATTACCACAATGATTATTTACATGGAAAAATACAACTGTCAATTTTTAATTTTCTAGATTTCTCTGTGTATCTTGTCTTTAGATCACCCATATCAGTGGGTACTGGTATTTCTAACACTGAGTCCTTCATCCCGACCCCCAGCAGAAGGAAAAGGCCCCAAGATTTCTTCCTCTTCTCCTCTTTCAAGTATAAGAAGAGGAAACGATAAATGCAAAATCTCTTGATTCGCTGTTATCCACTCATGTTGCATTCCCAATTAAGCAGTTCAGCCTCTTTCCATGGGAAAAGAGAAACCAGGCACAACTCTTTTTGATAAGAATTCTTTGATTTCTTGAGATTGTTGTAGGGATAACTCACTGTCACTGTCACTGTCCTCCCATTGTTCATTGATTTGCTCGCGGGCCCAGTAACGTCTCCATTGTGACACTTGTTACTATGCTTGGCATATCGAATACGTCACGGGTAGCTTGCCAGACTTTGCTGTGTGGGTGAGATACTCTTGGCAGCTTGCCAGGCTCTCCGAGAGGGGTGGAGGAATCGAACCTGGATCAGCCAGGTCGGCTGCGTGCAAGCTAAATGCCCTACCCGCTGTGTTATCACTCCAACCCCATAGAGATAACAAATCATCCAAATTTTCACACCCTTCCAAATACAGCATTTGGTTCCCCAATAACTGGAGTTTTCTTTAGAGAGAAAATAAATACAATTATGTTGCCCTGTCTGTGGCTTCTTCCAGTTAATTCAAAAACAAAATCTGAACATGCAATGAGTAGACTTGCCAGGTAAGTGACATGGTCTCATCAGAGACACTCACCCAGAAGGGACCCACAGCATGGCTCAATGCTGAAAACTTCTGTGATGTATTGAATATGAAGATCAATCCTACAGAAATAGGAGAGTGCTGTCAAATAGATATAAAGAGAGGTAGAAAAGGAGAAAAGAAGACCGAAGTGTTGATCCTTGAATTGGTTCACTTATAAGCAGATTTCTAAACAATATTAACATACACACATAGTTCTATCAAAGTATTTTATCTTCCTCATGATTTTTTAAGTTTTCCTCTTGCTTTATTATAAGAGCACAGTATACAATTAAACAACACAAAGCGATAGTAGAGTGGGGAAGCAGGATTCTTGTCTTGCACTCAGCTCGCCTGGTTCAATTCCTGGCACCCAATATGGTCTTCTGAGCCCTGCCAGAAGTGGTCCCTGAGTGCAGAGCATGAGTAAGCCCTGAGCACTGCCAACTGTGGCCCCAAAATAACAACAACAACCATGTAACATTTAAAAAGTGCTTATTTCGCTGATACTGGTGAGACTTTTGGTCAATAGAAAACTATGAGTAATTAAGTTGTGTGGGGGATGTCCAAAGTTTTATAGACAGATTTTTGAATGCAAAGAAGAGTTAGGGACCCTATGTCCAAGGGTGAAATGTATTTTGGGTAGAATCAAAAAAAAAAAAAAAGAAGCGTGAATTGTGAACAAATTCAGACTAACAGAGAAGAAAGGAAATGGTTGAGAGATGTGTCATACGTTTTCTGACATGAGTATCATGTGGGAATATCGGTTCCATACAGTTTAGCTGCTTTCTAAATGAATAGAGGTAACCTCTGGAGAAATAGAGGTAACCTCTGGCAAAGAAATTCAGGGCAATGAGGATATGAGCTTTACTGGTACAATAATTTTAAGCCACCTATACAAATCTCAATACAGTATTTGAATCCCCACCCAAACCAAGAACTATGACATTTTCATTCCAGGAAGTTCTACTTTTCCTACTTTTAAATCAAAAATTTCCTAGAATTAGTCTTAAAAATAAACTCTTCGACAGGTTCTCTAAGATGATTTCAAGTTGCGTGATACTTGTGTATTTGTCCCCGAATTTCTGAAGAAGAAAAAGAGGGAGGAGAAGGAAAAAGAAAACCCTAACTCTAAACTGGAAATCTTCAACCAAATCACGGACTATCAAACAGAAATAAAATTAATAAGAAGAATCCACCCACCCTTGTGAGCAAATGCTGATGCCATTAATGAAGACAGAGATATTGTGGAGACCAGCTGGCAGTGCAGGCAGTGCCACCTCCAGGCCCTGGGATGTCAGTGCAACGATCCGAGCTGGGGTATCCTGGATATAGACCTCCACGTCCAAGTCTGTGCAGTTCGGCAGAAGCATCATTCCAATGAAAAGGGTCTCACCTCCTGTATTGAAGATTCTGTTAGTCCCTGTGATGTAAGTTTGGGGCTCAACTATTTAATTCTAAAAATGTCTTTAAGACTAAATACAGTCAGCCTTGGGCATTACACTTAAATTCAGAGTTTTAATGCCAACTGAACTTTGTCACCATGAGTTTCTTGCAAGTTTTTAAATAAAGTAACAGTGTTTAATCTCCAGGGCATAAAAAGCAAAACTGTACTCAAGAGCTACAAATGCTAGAACAAATCAAGAACTAGTTTGGGGAGCTGACAGTCTTCAGAACTTGCAAACAGCATGCCACGTCCATTTATTTCTTTTTTGTACGTTTTTTGTCTTGGCTGTGTTTTCTGGGTCTTGTCTTTTTCTGTTTTAATTTGGTGTCACAGCCAGCAGTGCTCAGGATTTACTCCTGTTTCTGTGCTCTGGGATCACTCTTGACAGAGCTCAGGGGACCATCTGCGGTTCCAAGGATCAAACTCTGGTCATGCATGTTTAAGGCAAACACCTTAACCATTGTACTATCTCTCCAGTTCCAATACTTTTTTTTTTGTAACTTTCACTTTTCTACTGAGAGCACTCTGAAGCTGTATCTCAATGCCCAGTGACCTCTACAATAATTTTATCTCAGCGGTAGGGTGTTTGCCTTGCATGCAGCCAGCCTGGCCAAGCCGGGTTCGATTCCTCCACCACTCTCAGAGAGCCCAGCGAGCTACTGAGAGTATCTCACCTGCACAGCAAAGCCTGGCAAGCGACGTGTGACATATTCAATATGCCAAACACAGTAACAAGCCTCAAAACAGAGACGTTACTGGGCCTGCTCGAGCAATTCGATGAACAACAGGAGGACAATATTTCACATGTGATCCCATTTGATCCCCAAACTGTCTTGATCACATATCCAGGGCAGTTAGTAGGACTGGCATTTTGCTTTTTAAACAAAGGTATTTGTAATTAGCCAATGGACATGGCAAGGCCTGAAAAGCTTGGCATGTTCATCATTAAGAAGAAACAATTGTCCCTAACAGCGGGGCCGATTTTGTCCCTCTCCCAGGTCAGTGAAAAATCGACCCTAGGATGCCACCTTCCCTGCTTCCAGTCCCCAGGTGTTCTCTCAGACCCTGGGTCGCCCAACCTCCCCAAGCGCCTTCCTGTGCATCCCCAATGCCTCAGCCACTTTTCTCCCTCTGCCAGGTATCCTTAGGGGGCGTGGCCTCTGGAGAAGTGGGCATGGCCTGTTTGGGGACTGCCAGGTGCTGACATGGCCACAGATAAATTACCCAGACCCAGCAATCTCATGTCACATCTCAGTCTTCATAACACCACCACAACATGAAGAAACAGCACAAATCCCCACCACGAGGAGAGGATGATGAAGTCAGAGTCCAGAAGCTTCAACAGGCATTACTCACAAATGTGAGCTCTCCAATAAAGAATTCAGAGATGAACTATTGAAGATATTCAATGAACTCAAAGAAACGGTAGGACAGATATCCAGTAAATTAAAGGAGGACATGGAAGAAACAATGGATCAGAGAATCAAGAAATTACAGAAAGAAATGAGAGCAGAAGTTGAAAAGCTATGCACAGAAGTTTCACAATAAAGGATTCGGTAGATGAAATAAAAAAAACTCAGTGTGTGCCCTCAACAGTAGAATGGCTACAGCCGAACACACAGTGAGCTGGAAGATGAGCTGCAGGAAGACTACAGGAAACAACAAACCATGGGAAGAGAGCTCAAAATAGCTCTAGAGCGAATCAGAGTCCTAGGGGATGATTTCAAGAGGAACACATTAGAATCATTGGAGTACCAGAAGGTCAGGGAAGCAATCCCAATGAAAAAGCCACAGTTAAAGAAATCATTGCTTAAAAGTTCCCAGAACTGGACAATACAGGCATCCAGATTCAAGGAGCCAGAAGGGTGACAGCTAAAAGAGACCCTAACAAAAACGCTCCGAGACATATCATAGTTAAAATGATGGATGCCATGGATAGAAACACAATACTGAAAGCAGCAAGGTCAAAGAAGGATATCACACACAGAGGAGTACCCCAGAGAGTCACAGCAGACCTATCAGAGGAAACCCCCTAAGCCTGAAGGCCATGGTGGGATATAGCGAAAAAACTCAGTGAAATAAATGCTTCACCAAGAATACTTTATCCGATTAAACTCTCACTCAAACACAAAGGAATGGTACACTATTTTGTGGACAAACAACTGCTTAGGAACTTCATAGACTCAAAACGAAACCTAAAAGAAAGACTAGAAGGGCTACTGTAAGACAAGACAAACCCCTACAAGCACAACAAATCCTTACAGAAAGATGACACAAAACCCCATATCAATAATCTCAATGTCAACAGTCTAAATTCACCAATTAAGAGACACAGAGTGGCAAAATGAATTCAGAGACAAAACCCAAAATTCTGCTGCCTACAAGAAACACATCTGAACAGTTGGAACAAACACAGACTCAAAGTCAAAGGATGGAAAACAATCTAGCAAGTAAACAATCCCCTCAAAAATTCTGGGGTGGCCTTACTAGTATCAGACAACATAGATTTCAGGTTGAAAAAGATTACAAGGGCCAGTGAAGGCCATTTTATATTAATCAAGAGATATGTACAGCAGGAAGAAATCACACTTCTAAATGTATATGCACCCAATGAGGGACCAGCTAAATATCTACAAAATATGCTAACAGACCTTAAGAAGGACATTGTGAGCAACACAATAGTACTTGGAGACTTCAACACCACCTTATCATCTCTGGATAGATCAAGAAGATTAAAATTCAGCAAGGAAATAATGGCTCTGAAGGAAGAAATAGAAAACAGAGGGCTAATAAATCTATACAGGACTTTATATCACCCCCAGAAATAATACACATTCTATTCCCATGTAACATTTTCTAGAATAGACCATGTTCTGGACCACAAAAGCAACAAAAGCAGCCCAAACCAGGCAGAAGGAAAGAGATAATAAAACTTAGAGCAGAAATCAATAACATGGAAACCCAAAAAACAATTCAAAAGATCAATGAAACCAAGAGCAGTTTCTTCGAGAAAATAAACAAAATTGATAAACCACTTAGCAAAACTCACAAAGAAAGAGAGAGAACTCTAATAAACCGAATCAGAAATGAAAAAGGGGACATCACAACACAAACTAAAGAAATTCAGAAGATCATCAGAGACTACTTTGAAAGTCTGTATGCCATGAAACAAGAGAACCTAGAAGAAATGGGTAAATTCCTGAATTCCTATAAAATTCCAAAGTTGAGCCAAGACTATCTGGAATACCTGAATAGACCTATTAATGTGGCTGGAGTGATAGCCTAGCGGTAGGGCATTTGCCTTGCATACAGCCAGCCTGGCTGAGCCAGGTTCGATTCCTCCGCCCCTCTCAGAGAGCCTCGCAAGCTACTGAGAGTATTCAGTATTCAGTATGCCAAACACAGTAACAAGAAGTCTCACAATGGAGACGTTACTGGGCCCGCTTGAGAAATGTCAAGGAAATTAAAACTGTAATAAAAAGTCTTCCCAAAAACATAAGTGCAGGTCCAGATGGATTCACTAGCGAATTTTTTCAAACATTTAAAGAGAACCTATTGCTAATTCTTCTCAAGTTTTTCCAGGAAATTGAAGAAACAGAAACCCTCCCAAATGGTTTCTATGAGACTCATAGCTCTTTAATACCAAAAGGAAACAAAGACACCACAAAAAAAGAAAACTACAGGCCAATATCCCTGATGAACATGGATGCAAAGATTGTCAACAAAATACTAGGTAATAGAATTCAACAACTCACCAAAAAGATCATACACCATGACCAACTGGGATTCATCCCGGAGATGCAAGGATGGTTCAACATTCGGAAATCAATCAACATAATCCATCATATCAACAAAAGATAAGATAAAAATCATATAATCTTATCAATAGATGCAGAGAAAGCATTTGACAAGATCCAGCACACGTTTATACGTTTATGATAAAAAAAAAAAAAACCCTCGCCAAAATGGGTATAGGACTTTCCTCAATACAGTTAAAGCCATCTACCACAAGCCTATGACAAGAATCATCCTCAATGGGGAAAAACTAAGAGCCTTCCCTGTAAGATCAGGGATGAAACAAGGATTCCCACTCTCTCCACTGCTGTTCAATATAGTGCTGAAAGTACTTACAATAGCAGTTAGGCAAGAAAAAGTTATTAAGGGCATTCAGGTAGGAAAGGAAGAAATCAAACTCTCACTATTCATGGACGATAAGATACAATACTTAGAGAACCCTAAAACCTCTACCAAGAAACTCCTAGAAACAATAGACTTATATAGTAAGGTAGCAGGTTCTATAATCAATACTTAAAAGTCCCTGGCTTTCCTATATGCAAATAGTGAGAGAGAAGAAAGTGACATAAAAAAACAACCCTGTTCACAATCGTGCCTCAGAAAATCAAGTACCTAGGAATCAGCTTAACTAAGGACCTAAAAGACCTGTACAAAGAAAACTACAAAACGCTACTTCAGGAACTAAAAGAGGACACTTTGGAGCCTTGTGTGGCCCACTGTTTATTTTATCTTTGACCTGCGGAGGGTGGGCGCAGTTTTTCCTGTAAATGCGGAAAGGGTCTCTCCAAAGCTAAAATTCTGCTTAATCGGGACCATATTCAAAACAACTGGGTGGGTAAAGTTTGCTAGTGACAGCTTTGAGCTAACCCAAAATTCAATATAAAGAAGTTAACGTGGCTCAATTTTATATTATTCGGTACCTGATGGAATGATATAATGATGGAATGATATAATGATATCCAACTAAGCAATTATTGATTGCTTATTCCATGTTAGTTCCTGAGCTAGATTTTGCCTACTGAATCTCAAATTTTCACAATATCCTTGAAAGAATTATTCCCAACTAACAATTAAAGCAACTTAAAATAGCACTGTGCACTATCTGTAGCACTGTCCTCCCGTTGTTGATCGATTTACTCGAGCAGGCACCAGTAACGTCTCCATTGGCAGACTTGTTACTGTTTTTGGCAGATCGAATATGCCACGGGTAGCCTGCCAGGCTCTGCTGTGCAAGATACTCTCGGTATCTTGCCGGACTCTCTGAGGGGGATGGAGGAATCGAACCCGGATCGGCCACGTGCAAGGCAAATGCCCTACCCACTGTACTATCGCTCCGGCCCAACTGAAAGTAAAGAAAGTTAAATATCTTGCCCAAGTATTGGTTTCATTGGTATTTATTCAGATGTGATTTTAAATGGAAAAAAAAACACATTTTTAATAGTTTCTTATGTCAAATACTATTTTCCCTTTTCCTTCTTCTCCTCTTTCACTTTGTCTTGCTGTTCCTTTAACCTCAGCTTTATTATTTCCTATACGGAGAAATGTAGGAAACTGACTTTCGAAAGAGTCCTTCCCAATAGGTTAACACCCTTTGTGGATTTTATAACTTGTTCTGCTTTATTCTGCCTGTACAGAGATTTAAATGCAAGTGCAAATTCTGCAAATAATGCATCATGTTGTATATGTCGATAACATGAACTCCTTGGGCTCTTGGTCAATTGTCAAGCTAATCCGAGATGCCTCTAAGGCACTGATGCAATGTATTTATTCTTTTCATTATAGGTAGGAAATTTTATTAAAAGCCAAAATCACTGAAATCTGAATAGAACATGTTGCTCCCTCCTCCCTTTCCGACTTCGTTGGGAAGAATCTATACCACTAAGGAAGTTTACACACTTTGGTTGCCTGAGGCAGCAAATTCTTCTTCTGCACTATCTGAGCTGAATAATATTGAGAAGCTAAAGGACACTTTCATTTATTTATGTACTCTTGAGCAATATAAAATGAAAATAGTACCAGAAAAAATTATCCAGACTTTCTTTGGAAAATTTGATGTCCTCTGATAATAAAATATTAGATATGGCTGCCATAAACTGTTATTGGGCATTCAACTAACCAGAAAGATGTATTATGTAGTATATTTCCAAATCTACATTGGTATGGGCTAATAATAATCCCACTGTCATGCTATTTGAACAACCAAAGACTAAATTGCTACAGAATTCATGGTTTTTACAAAAATGATCTTCTTTTTGGAATTTTTTTAATGAATCACCATGAGATACAGCTACATATTTATAACCTTTCATGATTACGTTTCAGTCATACAATAATCGAGTACCCATCCCTCCACCAGTGCCCATTCTCCACCACCAATGATCCCAGTAGCCCTCCTGCCCCACCTCTGCCTCTGTGACAGAAACATTCCCTTTTACTATCTCTCTCTCCTTTTGGGTGTTATGGTTCGCAATACAGGTACTAAGTGGCCATCATGTTCGGTCCATAGCCCACTTCCAGGACACATTTTCCATCCTAAGCAAGCCAAAACTTATATTTTAACCAAGAATGTGATTCCTTGTTTCTTGATACCATATCTCTAATCACATAAAATAATGCTATAATAAAACCATATGACCCTAACGGCATTAAAAGGTAAACTATAAATAACTAAGAGTTTAGAATCTGCAACCAGAAACTTGAACCGAAATCCCAGCTCTGTTACAAATCAAAGTCAATGTTCTAGATGTATTCTTTAGTTTCCTTATCCATACACAAAAGCCAAAGAAAGATAAATGTTTACTTTGTGTCAGCACTATTATTAACATCTAGTAGTTGTTCAATATTCCCCACATCATTTTCTTTTTAAAATTTTTAAACTATTATTTACTTATTATGGAAATCAGTTTTGAAGAGATTCTCTTCACTGAGAGTTCATTAGAGAAGTACATATTTGTGCGTTTTATTTATTTGCAAAGTTCTTTTTGTACCCACATTTTATTTATATTTCTGCATATCAGCTATGCTAACACAATACTTTGCCTCCAATTCGTTCATGACATACCCAATTATGTAACATCCTTATTTAAAAACTGGTGATTTTGACTAAAGTGAACAGTGCATTTGATATCTATGAATATGTCCTGGCATCTGATGCTTTATTAAGTTGAAACTTAAATATATTTTTTGGTAAAACCTCACAAAACCTTCATACACATATAAAATTTCAAAAATGTTATAACTTGAGCTACCTTCTAATTCATACAATGCTTCAATGAAATGGTTTTAAGCAGAACAAGGAGGCCTATTTTCTCAGAAACAAATAGGAGATGATAAAATTTAAGGAGCAGAGTGGTACAAAGGTGGGTGCTTGCCTTGCATGAAGCCATTCTGGATTTGATCCTGACACATCAGTTTTGTGATGAAATCAGAAGTAGGCAAATTTATTCAATGATTGCTAAAATAAAAATACTAGTTTTCATAAAATAATAAAAGGCCCTCCCGTTGATCATCGATTTGCTCGAGCGGGCCCAGTAACGTCTCCATTGGAGACTCTGTTGTTACTGTGTCTGGCATATCAAATACGTCACGGGGAGCTTGCCAGGCCCTGCCATGCGGGCGAGATACTCTCGGTAGCTTGCCAGGCTCTCCGAGAGGGGCGGAGGAATCGAACTCGGGTCGGACATGTTGGCTGCATGCAAGGCAAACACCCTACCACTGTGCTATCGCTCCTGTCTTTGTATTCAAATATACATTCTTCAATAAAATTAAGTACCTTGCTTGTCTTTTGTAATATCAAAGATGTAAAATTTAAAAGATCCTCCAAATTCATAAAGTTTACCTGCCATGCTGCTTCTATTTCTGCTTAAAGAGGTAATCACTGGATTTAAAGAGGAGACATAGGTAAATGACATGGGAAGAACTGCAGAATGGTCCCCGATCATCACCGTCACATTCACAGTGGCACCATCTTTCTCCTACAAAAATTTAAATTCTTAAAATTAAAACTCTATATAATACTGACTCTGGTTAGTTGAAATTTCAAAAAAAAAAAAATTTTGGAAGGCATCTTTGCTACTTGTAGGTCTCTCTGTCTCTTCTTTACACCCAAACACACACACACACACACACACACACACACACACACACACACACAGAGAACGTTCTTAGATCTAACAACAGTTATCCACGTAATACAGAAGAAGTGCTCTACAGCGTCAAAAAGAGTGATTGACCATTGACATAACAGATCAAACTACAAAATAACCATAGTTTCGAATAAACATCTATACCCAACTAAACGGGGCTGGAGCGATAGCACAGCGGGTAGGGCATTTGCCTTGCACGCAGCTGACCCGAGTTCGATTCCTTCATCCCTCTCAGAGAGCCTGGCAAGCCACCGAGAGTATGGCACGGCATACTCTGCCCGCATGGCAGAGCCTGGCAGGCTACCCGTGGCATATTCAATATGCCAAAAACTGTAACAACAAGTCCAACAAGTCTCAAAATGGAGACGTTACTAGTGCCCGCAGTAGCAAATCGATGAACAACGGGAGGACAGTGCTATAGTGCTACCTAACTAAGCTACCCATCAAGTCTAACAATACTTTGAGACATACGGACATTCAGAAAACTTCCCTCTCACATATTACTTCTTAGGATTTTTTCAAGGCTATGATTTATCTCATAAAATAAACAATCACAAAAAATTAAAAAGAGAGATATATAGACTCTTTAAATACATATATCTACTCCAGAACATCATTAGTGAAGGGAAGTGCTAGAATAAAAGGTATAGAAAATACTGTTAGATTGAAGTTATAGAACAGAACATCAAGGAAAAAAAGTAACTGGTATAATGGAATTGTTTTAATATAAAAGATTTTGATTATATAGAGGACTTATTAAAATGAGATGCTTTAAAGTTAAAAACTATAAAGAAAGACTATATTAACTGATTCTGTAAATAGGATTTAAATAGTTATAATAATGTAAACAAATTCTTATTAGTGTAGCCAAACAATGCTATTATAACTGTATTCAAAAGAACTAACAACAGTAACGTAAGAATAGTAGTGGAAGGACATGGATACTTTGGTAATGGCAGTCTTTGGTATTTTGTACAAATTATACATGTTAGCTTTAATATTGTACTTTTTCACATCAATACCTTAAACTTCAACACCACGTATAACATTATCGATACTGAACCTAAACTATAATTTAAAATATATATATTAAAGGAAAGTAGAAGTTCAAAAAAAGTAAACTTAAAGAAGGGAGAAGCAAGATTTAACAAACATAATTATTTTACATTTCCCTTTTAATATCCGCATGTATCACTTTGGGCAAAATTAAAAGCTTGGTTTTTAAATATTTGTTCTCTATAGAAAATAAAATCTATTTTTAAATGTGTCTAATAGATTAGTTTACATACAAAATTATATAATCTAAAAGTCACGATAAGAATATAAAAGAACCATCAAGAATCCAGGGCTTTGCCTGTTATAATAGCCCAGATTAATTTTTCTGTATGCAGATAATTGTCTTCAAAGACAATTTGAAGAAATTGTATAACATCTTCTCTCAAAAGCCATTCTCTGCTTTTCCACTGTGGAAAAGCCCATGTTCTCTCTTTTTCACCCTCCACATTTTCCTAAGTAAATTTCTTTACTGTCACTGTCCTCCCGTTGTTCATCGATTTGCTCAAGCGGGCCCAGTAACGTCTCCATTGTGAGATTTCTTGTTATTGTGTTTGGCATATTGAATACTCTCAGTAGCTTGCCAGGCTCTCCAAGAGGGGCAGAGGAATCGAACCTGGCTCGGCCAGGCTGGCTGCACGCAAGGCAAACGCCCTAACACTGTGCTATCACTCCAGCCCCTAAATTTCTTTAAATAAAATTATTTTAGGGGCCTCGTCCGGGAGCTGCATTTTGTAGTCTCTGAGTCTTGGCCGCTGATGGGATTACACGGCGCCAGGGGGCCAGGTGGTGGGTGTGACCCCCGCCTACTGGAATTTGGAGGATCTGGGTGGAGGATGCTCGACTCCAATTCGAGTAGGCTTGGAGGTCTCGGCCCCGGAACCCGCGTGACTTTGTCCCTCTGCCAGTACCTTCATGTGTGCGGAGAGTGGTCTCAGCATGGTGGTGGCTGGTCCTGGAGGTCTTCGGCTGCCGTAGTCCTGGTCGGGGCGGGGAGGAAAGCTCAACCCGCTCCCCTCCAAGGGACCCCGGCGAGGAACAGCCAGGCGCAGGGGCAGGAGACTGACTGACATCTTATCAGAACATCTTTTTATGATATCTCATTATCCCATTCCTACTCTGGACAAACTTGCAGGCTATCAAATATAGCCTGCCCACAGGGCAGAGTCTGGCAAACTCCCCGTGGCGCACCAAATATGCCAAATACCAGTAACAATGATGGGTCTCATTCTCCTAAAAAGCCTTGAATATAATCTCAGGGCTAGGATGAAAGAGACGTTACTGGGGCCTGCTCGAGGCAATTGATGATTAACAGGATGATGAATGATGAATGAATGAATTTTAGGGGCCAGAGAAATAGCACAGCAGGTAGGGTGCTTTCCTTGCACATGGTCGATCCAGGTTCGATCCCTGGCATCCCATATGGTCCCCGAGTACACTCAGGGGTAATTCCCGAGTACAGAGCCATGGGTAACCTCTGAGCATCACCAGGCATGACCATAAATAAATAAATCTATTTTACTTCAAAAAATAAAGAAAATGAAAGATATTTCATATGTATGTGTGATAATGCCCAGTGTTTGTCTAAATTTCCAAAAATCAAGCACAGTGATAGTGAGAAGATCATTCATTAATTAAAAGGGAATTTTGGGCTTAATCTTTAAGCCTATGTTCTCCCATGAGCATGTATCTTGCTTGCTTGTTTCACGGTCTCTCTGCTTGCTTTTTCTCACTCTGGAGAAGCCTGTGTCCTCTCTTGAACATGTTTTTTTTTCTCTTTCTGCCCCTTCACGTCTATCTTTCTAAATAAGTTTCATTCAATAAAAACTATCTTGCTTCAGCAAAAAAGAGGAAATTTTGGATATTTCAAAACTTTACACCAAAAGATTCAGAATTGGATTCATCTCCAGAAAAAATAATTTGTTCAAAAATATAGTTATTAAGTTTATCAAAGTTCTTTTATTTAAAATAGATAATATTGCTATAATTAATCTAGATGCCTAATAATAGGGTTAAGTTAAAGAAATTTCTATAGTTATTATTTGAATTACATGCAGTTTGTAGATGAAAGCTTACATTTCATAAAATTCGAGTAACTAGGTAAGATAAAAGTGATCACGGGTCTTTCTGAGCCCTCTTTTGCAGAATTCATTATTTATTCAGTTAGACAACCATCTTTGAGTTCATGGATATCTAGGGGAGTCAACAGCTCTAAAACCTACTTTGAATAGAAAGTCTAACAACGGCTATGAACATGATTCTCACCAACAGCTCCAGGGAAGGGTCTGGATTCTTAGTGGGTTATAAGATAGAATTGAAGGAGAAGGAGAAGGCTAAGAGGCTAGATTTCAATGAAGGGAAGAAAGTAGAAGGGAATAACTGGGAAGATAAGTAATAGGAACCAGAAATTCTAGAATTCTAAACACCACCCTTCATATGCCCAAAACAGAATTGTTGGTGCATAATAAATTTTTTGTTGAGGGCTACAAGTTAGACAGATTTTGCGATCCAACATCCAATGTGTGCACTACGTGAACACATTTGTTCTCTAGCAAGGATATGCACTGAGACAGTGGAGCCTGGATGTCTTTGTCTTTGTTTAAAAAAAAATAAACTGCGGTTAACTCTGAGCCCTTTTTGTGGAGTGAGTTTCCCACTTTACAGCAGAACACACACTATAAACAACATTAAACATTCTCTGATGATGTCAAGCTCCTATCAGTTCATTTACCCTCTAAGAAATGATTCACTAAAAGGTCACATTACATAGCAACAACAGTCACTCATCCAAAGAGAAGGAGATGCCAACAGAGTCCACTTACCCTGGGTGGTACTTTGCATTTAATTCTTCGTGAATTGCTTAGGGTGCTGTTGATGGCACACGACTGAGATCCGAATAACACTAGACTCACATCTTCCAAATTAGAGCCTTGGATGGTCGTCCAGGTCCCTCCTATAGCAAAAGCAGCCATTTCAGTTGGGATTCGTGACCAATTAGGTGGGGGCAAGGGACAAGGGAGGGAACAAGCGTTGTTCACAAGAAAAATAAAATTAAATTATGAGGTTCCTAATCTAAATACTACAAGACATGCCTGAAGTTCAGGGGAAAAATTGAAGTTAAATATAGATATACTACGAAGAGGGAGAAATGTAGAAGTACCAATGTTTCCCGGAAATACTGAAGAGTACAACACACATTACTGCCACAAGTCAGAGACGCGATGTACATGGTGTCTGGAAGAACTAGCCATAGAAGTTCATGAAGCTGGGGGCAGCCAGAAGGACAGTACTGGGATGATAGCATTTAATCTACATGTCATTGACACTGGTTCAACTTCTGGAAGCACAGATGGTCCCCAGAGCACTAGTAAAATCCTTAAGCACAATCAAGTGTATGCCTCAAGCACAGCTGAGTGTGACTTAAAATTACTTTCCTCTCCAAATAAAAGTCCAGGAAGCTATTTGAACACCCAAATTTCCAAATGCAGAAAGATTCACACCAATATATATCTTTGTTATGTTGCCAAAGGTCAATAGTAAAGGAAAATCAGTAAAGGAAAAAGAAGATAACATACAGAGGCAACTCAACCAAGCTGTTATTAGACTTCTCTGGAAAACTCTACAGAGTACTTGAGAATGGAATAACAGTCACGATATGGGAAAAACAAAAACAAAAATTACACCCAAGAATACTCTTCTCTGAGAAATTATCAATATAATGGTGAAATAAACATTTTCCCATTTAAATATTTATCGAAATTTCCACCACCAGACCTGCACTGCAAGAAATATTGGGAACGGGGCTGGAGCAATAGCACAGCGGGTAGGGTGTTTTCCTTGCACGCAGCCAACCCGAGTTCAATTCCCAGTATCCCATATGGTCCCCTGAGCACCACCAGGAGTAATTCCTGAGTTCATGAGCCAGAAGTAACCCCTGTGCATTGCCGGGTGTGACCCCAAATCCAATATATATATATACACACATATGTATATATATATACATATATATGTATATATACATATATATATACACTAGGTGAATGAGACCAGTTGTAGTTACTGATCAAGAATCAGGGACGCTGTCTCATTTGCCAAGGTGTCAAAAATCAGATGGGCTGGTCACGTAATGAGATTTAAAGACGACCGCTGGACTAGAGCTGTTACCGACTGGATTCCACGGGATGTCAAAAGACCGCGTGGCCGCCCACCTACCAGATGGTCAGACTTCTTCGTCAAGATGATGAACGATCGGTTTGAGGCTCTTCATGTTCCCAGAGCGAACAGATGCCATTGTGCTACACTAGCATGCGACAGGGACAAATGGAGACGTTACTGGCACCCGCTCGAGCAAATCGATGACTAATGGGAAGTTAAGTGATTAAGTGATATATATACACACACATATGTGTGTGTATAGAAGAGTTCTTTTATTAAAAAAGCAAAAAAAAAACAATCAAATGGAACACAAAATCTCAGGCATGGTACTAAGTGATACAAATCACAGCCGTAAATAAGAATGAGACCAAAAACAAACATTGCATAGGACAGATTCTGATCTCTAAAGATAAGTCAATACTAGCACACCAAAAGAGACTATCTCAAATACAAAAAAAATAATAATTATAATAAAGCAAAACAAAAATCTGTTACAGTCCTCAGCAAATCTTAGAATTAAAAAATGAAGCGAAGAAGGAAGTGTCTTCTAAAGTAATTCTTAGTAGAGACAAGAGCCAGGCGGATTGCTCCATGGTTTGGATGCCTGTCTCATGTGCTGGGGGAGAAGGCAGTTAGGAAAGAGAAGGAACCAGTAAGTCAATGATTGTTGGAGGGCTCGCTCAGGAGGGGAGATGTGTGCTGAAAAGTAGACAAAGGACCAACCATGATGGTCTCTCAGTATCTGTATAGCAAACCTTAATGCCCAGAAGTAGAGAGAGAGTAAAAAGGAAAGTGCCTGCCATAGAGATGGGAGGGGGGTGGGGGGGAGGGAGGAAGGGATACTGAGGACATGGGTGTGGGAAATGTACACTGGTAGAGGGATTACGACTGAAACTCAATCATGAAAGCTTTACAACTGTATCTCATGGTATTCAATGAAAAGAAAATAAATTCTGGGCTGGAGCGATAGCACAGCGGGAAGGTCGTTTGCCTTGCACGCGGCCGATCCGGGTTCGATTCCCAGCATCCCATATGGTCCCCTGAGCACCGCCAGGGATAATTCCTGAGTGCAGAACCAGGAGTGATCCCTGTGCATCGCCGGGTGTGACCCAAAAAGCAAAACCAAAAAAAGGCTAAAAAGAAAATAAATACTGTCTTCTGAAATTAGAAATTTTAAGAGTTTATTGCAGAGCTAGAGTGCTAGTCCGGCACACAGTCAACTTAGGTTTGATTCTGGCTACATATGGTCCTCCGAGCCCTGTCAGGAGTGATCCCTGACTATGAAGATAGGAGCAACCCGTAAATATCATCAGGTGTGCTGGTGTACACTCCCACCCCCCAATAATAAAATAAAAGAAATTAAGCATTAATAAGGTAACCACCAATAGTAGAGAGTATTCGATATGCCAAACACAGTAACAACAAAGCCCACATCAAAAAAGAAAAAAAAAACTCAAGCAAATAACCTAAGCCTACTGCTTAAGGAACTAGAAAAAGAAGGACGAATGAAACAAAGTCAATAGAAGAGAGAAAATAATAAAACTTTGAGTGGGGTAACATAGAAACCAAAAAGACAATTCAAAGGAATAACAAAGCTAAAAGTTTGCTGTTAGGAGAAAATAAAATTCAGAAACCTGTAGCTAGGCTAACTAAAGGGGAAGAGGAGGGGAAGACCAAAAAAAAATCCCAACTTGGAAAATTCAAAATGAAAGAGACAAAATTTAAAAAGCTATCACAGAAACACAGCAGATATTAAACCCAAGAAAGATCCGATGTTTTCACTTATGAATTCTAGCAAACTTTCAAAGATATAAAACTTCTCCTCAAACTCTTCAAAAATATCTAAGAGGGAAGGGTGCTCTGGAATGCATTTCATAAGACCAAAATTCCCCAAACCAATTAAGGATAACACAGAAAACAAAAACAGTGAAATGATAGACCAATATTACTGATAAACATAAATGCAAAAATCCTCAACAAAATCTTTGCTAACAGAATCTACCAAAAGATAGCTAGCAAAAAAACAATATATCATAAATTAACAGGGATCACTATAGGGATGCAAGGACTATTCAGTATATAAGAATCAATTGTAACACGCCACATCAATAAAAAATTTAAAAAAACAGTCATATCAGTAGATTTTTAAAAAATATTGCATGGCATCTGAATCCTTCCTTAACCCAATGAGAAATAGAGGCAAACTTGTTCAGTTTTACGTGCAAGAACTGTGGCTCTCCATAATTCATTCATGTAGGCAAAAATATGGTAAAAAAAACAAGATGCTCTCTTACACAATAAATTGTGATCTGCAATTGTTGCCTTAAAAATAAGTGTTCTGGGGCCGAAGCGATAGCACAGTGGGTAAGGCAAGTGGTCAACCCTGGTTCAATCCCCGGCATCCCTTATAGTCCCCCAAGCACCACCAGGGAGTAACTCCTGAGTGAAGAGCCAGAGGAACCTCTGAACATCCACTGGGTGTGACCCAAAAAAGCAAAAAAAAAAAAAAGTGTTCTAAGCCCACAAATCTTTGGTCAACAGAATAAAGATAAAAGTCTAAGACAATAAGTAAAAGAGTTTAGTCTTCTAAAAAAAATCATACATTAACACATGTGAGCATAAATTTTCCCGATCTTCTTGCATTCTAGCTGGGTTGTTATTAACTGATCATGTCCCTAAGAAAGTCTAGAATGATCTTTATTTCCATGACACAAAAGACCCAACTTATGAAGCAGATCCTGACAAAGCCCATAGTCCTTTGCACATACCATCATTCCAAAGGTGAGTGACTTTGAACGCTAGCCAGGTATCCAAGTCAGTTTACAAACACTTGCAAATATCCAGGATGTGTCATACACCGTGTGTGTGTGTGTTTGTGTGTGTGTGTGTGTGTGTGTGTGGTGGGTGGTGGGTGGTGTTGGGGAGAATGAGGGGCGGTTTGTACTTCTTTTTCATTTTCAAGAAATTTAAAATACCTGTTAGCTCATTTAAGTTTCACAATGATCAAGAATCACTAGACGCTTGTAGAAAGGAAAGCATGGTCCAGCAGAAAAAGTAGGAGCTGGACCATCCGACCATCCCAATTTGCATCCTAGCTCTCCACCTCCCATTGGGAAGTCTCAGACAAACCACTCCACTCTAAGAACCACCATCATCTCACCTAAGAAATGTGGACCAGAAGACTTCAGTGTCTGTGACTACCCAAAGCAGTATTAAGTCAATAGTACATTGCCTTAATCATCATTCTTTGGAAAATACACAAAGCTAACTGAAATTTCTAAGGTCACACATGTGAAACAAAACCCAGACTCCTGCCCTAATCCCCAGTCTAGTTCTGCTTCCTCTAGACAAAACTAATCCAATGACTCAATGGCTGACCCAACAATGCCTGAAACCATCAGTCAGCTGTGATCCTTCATGTGGCCATCAAGCTCACAGAAGGGTCCAAAAGTCTGTTGCTCATTAGAGGAGATGCCAAAGGTAGAAAACAAAAATCAGTGAATCTTAGCAATGCTGAGTTCCTCACATGACAGGACTAGATTCCTGTACCCCTCCAAGAATGCAAGCTCTTGAGGGTCAGAAACTACATGAGGTTGTCCCAGGTTACCAATCTCTGCAGCTCTGGAAGGATCCACAGAAGCCAGTTTGGGTTGCACGTGCAGGAAGAGGCCTCCTCCATCGGCACTGATGGCAAGACCAAAGGGTCTCACCATCATCAGGACCCGATGCAGTCCAACAGGAAGCAGGCTCACCCGACAGACCACATTTGTGAAGTTTGAGAAAATGACTTTGCAGCTTGTTTCGTTCACTGTAACTTGCAAGGACTGTGAGTCCCCAGAGAAATGTGTCCCAGTGATATACACCAGCAGGTCAATGTCCCCATCTGAAAGGAGGAACGGAATAAGAATGAAATTATCTCTCAGCTAGGGCACTCGATCTAAGAGAACTCTTCCTAACATCAAATGTCCATTTCCTTTCACCTCACTCACCCAAAACTCAGTGTTGTACACTGACTCAAATCTGAGGTATCTGCTTCATTGTGGTGACATACAACTGCTATCTTAAAGTTTTTGCAAATTAGCCTAAAAAGGAAGTTGTGGGGTTTTTGTTTTGTTTTGTTTTGTTTGTTTGTTTGTTTGTCTGTTTTCAGTTTGGGGGCCATACCCACAGTGATCAGAGCTTAGTCCTGGCTCTGGGCACATTGATCACTCTGGTAGCCTCAGGAGACCATTTGGGGTGCTGAGGATCAAATCCTGGTGCGCTGTGTGTCCAACCTACTCTTACCATCTCTCCAGCCCTTAAATAAGAGGTAAAGTCTTTAAAATAGAGCCATGGTGAGAGAGCAAAGAGCTAGTGTACATGCTAGTGATGCAAGATCCTGAGTTCAATCACCAGCATCTCATAGTTCCCCAAGAACCACCATGAGCAATACCAGAGCACTGGTCCAGGAGCACCATCATGTGTGGTACAATAAGAGCAAAAAGAAGAAATAATAAAAAGGGTGTCAAAATTAATCGCATTTTAAACTAAATGCTGAATATATGAAAGGTACAAAAATCTACTCGTCTTCATTTCAAATCAGCTAAATATTATTGTTTTTTTATATTCACTCACTTAATCACTTCCAGTTAGTCGTCGATTTGCTCTAGTGGGCACCAGTAACGTCTCCATTTGTCCCTGTCGCATGCTAGTGTAGCCCAATGGCATCTGTTCGCTCCAGGAACATGAAGGGCCTCAAACCGATCGTTCATGATCTTGACGAAGAAGTCTGACCATCTGGTAGGTGGGCGGCCACGCGGTCTCTTGACATCCCGTGGAATCCAATCAGTAACAGCTCTAGTCCAACGGTCGTCTTTAAATCTCATTACGTGACCAGCCCATCTGATTTTCGACACCTTGGCAAATGAGACAGTGTCCCTGATCCTTGATCGTCGACGGATGTCAGAACTCCGGATTCGTTCTCTCATTTGAGTGAAACGTGATATTCCAAGCATAGCTCTTTCTATTCTTCTTTGGGAGACCTGAATAGCGTTCTCATCTTGTTTGCGTAGGGCCCAGGTCTCTGAGGCATATGTTAATGCAGGAAGAACAGTGGAATCAAAGAGATGTGCCCGGAGCCGGAGGTTTTTCGTCCTCTTAGCTATTTCTTCGACGTTCTTGAAGGCGTTCCAAGCCGCTCTCTTCCTCCTGCGCAGCTCGGGTGCCAGGTCATTTGTCATGTTGACCTCTCGACCTAGGTACACATAGCTGTTGCATTCGGAGATGGTTGTTCCATTGAGAGCGAATGGGGCGTCAGGAACGAGGCTGTTTCTCATAAACATTGTCTTCGTAAGATTCAGCTGTAGTCCTACCTTTCCACACTCACGGTCAAAGTCTGCCAGCATTTGTGCCGCTTGGCTGATGTTTGGTGTTATTAAAACAATGTCATCAGCAAAGCGGAGGTGGTGTAGTTGCCGACCATCTATCTTCACTCCCATTCCTTCCCATTCCAGTCGTCGCATGATGTTCTCGAGGGTGGCACTGAAGAGTTTCGGTGAAATGGTATCACCCTGCCGAACCCCTCTCTTTTTATATTTTTTTTAAAAATATACTTTCTGGCACATTTTTTACTCCTCACCCCATGAACTGATGTACCTTCCACCCACCCATCACCAAGTACTCAGCCTCTAACAAACTACCCTCAGTCTAAAGTTCTAATTCATTTCTATGCCCAGTGAGTGTCTTACCGAGTGAATACCACACTGAATGGATGAGGGGAGTCGACCCCTCGAGGTATTGAAAAGTACAGGAACCTGAGCAATGAGCTGGTATGTCATTCACTTTGACAGCCACCTACAGGGGAAAAAAGGCAAAAAGAATGAGAAGCAAATCTGTGTATGCTTGAGCACTTGGCAAGCTAACCCAAATTAAAATGTGTTAATGATTCGCTGATTCTCTTTCCTTCTTCTGTTTTCCAATAAAAACAAAAACCTAAATCAGAATAAATCACTGAACACATGTTTTTATAAGGAAGGTAAATAGGCAGAAATCAAATGTTTCTACAATTTTTGCTAACTCTTAAATTTCCCTTCTCATAGAAGTATCACTGTATCACTGTCTTCCTGTTGTTCATTGATTGCCTCGAGCAGTCCCCAGCAGTGCCTCCTTCATCCTAGCCCTGAGATTTTAAAAAGTGCCACATTTTTGGCTCTTTCAGGGTCAGAAGTATGAGACCCATCATTGTTAATGGTTTTTGGCATATTGAATATGCCATGGGGAGATTGCCAGACTGTGCCATGTGGGCAGGATACTTTTGGTAGCCGGCCAGGTTCTCCAGAGTAAGAACTAGATGATAAAATGTCCAGGAGCAGAGTTTTATAGTCTCTGGGTCTTGGCTGTTGATGGTATTACACGGCGCCAGGGGCAGTTGGTGGGTGTAACGCCTACATACTGGAAGATGGGGCATCTGGGTGGAGGAGGCCCCAGTCCCAATCCGAGCAGGCTTGGAGATCTATGCCCCGGATCCCTCACACCTGGGTTCCTCTGCCAGTTCCTTCATGCATGATGCTCGTCTGAACGTGTGGAGAGTGGTCTTAAGCATGGCTGTGGCTGGAACCGGAGGACTTCAGCTGCTGGGCTCTGCTCAGGGTGGGGAGCGTAACTCAACCCACCCTCCTCCAAGGAGCCCCAGTGAGGACAGCCAGGTGCGAAGGCAGGAGACTCTGTGCTGTTCTCTTCAGGTAGCTGGGTTTTGGCCATTGATGGGATTACACAGTGCCAGGGGCAGTTGGTGGGTGTAATGCCTACATCCATAGAAGTAAATTTAATAAAATCCTAAGTGAATGAGAACTTTTTATCACTTATTTTCAACTGGGTACCAGCTTCCTTTGAAATGCCCTTCCTTTAGGGCCAGAAAGATAGCCTAGGAGGTAAAATTCTTTGCTTCAAGCACAGTTTGAATTGACCACATCATGTACGGTCTTACAGGGGTCATTTTTGAGAGTAAAGACATGAGCAGGCACTGAGTCCAATTGGGTATGACCCCCTTCCCAGTTACTGATTCCTCAAAAGCTTTTCCCATGCAAATAAAGTTGGCCCCTTGCTTCTACTATTACTAAATGTATATAGAACTGATTAAACTATATTGGACTCTTGATTTGGCATCTTCTTTGTCTTTGAATGGCAGAATTGCGAGAAGTACATATTTGCAGACCCAAGGGATGACTCAGTATCCAAAAGTACCTATCTCACCACAAACTGCCCCCAGTGTCATGTAATCTCATCAACGGCCACGCTCCCGGAAGAAAGCAACACAGAATTTCCTGACCCCGTGTCAGGCTGTCTTCATTGGGGCACTTCAGAGGGGGGTGGGTTGAGTTTCCCTCCCCATCCCAAGCAGCACCCTGGTAGCCAAAAACCTCCAGAACCCAACTACCACCATGCTCAAGGCCACTCTCCACAAACTCGGACGAGCCTCACCCAAGAGGGAACCAGCAGAAAAACCCAGGTATGAGTGTCCCGTGACTGAGATCTCCAAGCCCACTTGGATCAGAACTGGGCCGGAAGAGAGTGATACAGAATTTCGTGGAGCACGTGGCCACATTTGCAGCCATGCGACCTCTTATAGTCTAGCCCATTTCCATACCAAAAGTAGCATGCGTTTGTTTGGTTTTAACATCCTTGCTTGTATTCTCTTATAAAAGGTAAAAAGGTAAAGGCCCTCCCGTTGATCGTCGATTTGCTCGAGCGGGCCCAGTAACGTCTCCATTGGAGACTTTGTTGTTACTGTGTCTGGCATATCGAATACTCTCGGTAGCTTGCCGGGCTCTCCGAGAGGGGCGGAGGAATTGAACTCGGGTCGGCCATGTTGGCCGCTTGTAAGGCGAACGCCCTACCCGCTGTGCTATCGCTCTAGTCACAGTATTCTCTTATATATGGACTTAAATGGCTCCAAAATGAAATATAAAAACCTTCACACACTTATTGTGGTGGGAAGGCGGTTGGTGGTGGGATTGGTGTTTGAATATTGTCTGTAATGAACTATTGTGAACTACTTCATGAAAATAAAATATACAAAAATTACAAAAAAATTACCTGTCTCATAAGTCTTAAACTGTGAGATCAATCTTTAGTGCCATCCATATGCCCTGAGCCCAAATTCCAGAGGCTCTGCTGTCTGGGACCTCTAACATGACCATAGAAATTTGCAACTAAAGTATGTGACCCCCCCAGCAATCACCGCAGCCAAGAACTCTATAACCAAGACTGGTATTGATTATGCTGGAAGAAAGTCATGAAGGGAAAAAAGAAACTGGGACTTCACCTCCCCAAGAGACTGTTAATCTAAAAGAACTCTACAACACTTGAATATAAGAAAGAGGGAAAAAATCTGACTCACTTGAATCTCCACATATGGGTTTAACACACACACTAAGTGATCATACATGCTTACAGAGAGGAGGATTACTGAGATGTTATGAATACATACGTGATAAATACGTCCATCTTATGTTATATTATTCATAAGGACTAAAATAGTGCATGTATAAAAATCGTGGATTAATCGTGGATTAAATACCTGGATATACCGTCCACAATATATTATAATATCCAGGTATTTAATATATTATTCTTCATAGTTTTGCATTTTTATCCAATTTGAAGTGAACAACTTATAATAGAAATAATGGCATATGGGAGAGAATAAACTTTTAAAGGTAAAGGAGTAGACTTAAGTAATTCACTTCCTAATGCCACCATGCAGAGATATAAATCTCTATATACCTATAAGTTTCTGAAATAATAACAACAATAATTATAATAAGAGGTTGCTACATTGCAAACTATTTTTTTCAGAGTACATTTCATATGCTGAGGAAGTAGAGAACAATAAAGCTTGTTCCTCTTCTCTAGATTGGGACCCTTGGGATCTGTCCACATTACAAATCAGGGGATAGCTGAGATAGACTTGAAACCAGTCTTTGCTTTGGGAGTGAGCCAGCATCTCTCACCTGAGTGTGCTGATGGGCAGTCAACAGCATGTCTCCAAATATAGGTCCCAGGAAAACGCCTCCATCATAGACCACACGGATGGTGACAGCAGGATTCACCCCAGTTAGGTTTTCGTCAGAGACCTAAGACGGTGACATCTTTTGGCGAATTGCCTCATTTAACATAAAGCTAATCTGGGTTAAAATTAATGGGAAGAGATCTTTTCATAGTCTGTTTAAGAAAAACATAACCTAGAGAGTAAAAATGGAGCAACGGGGACTTCAAGACCTGAGAGCCCTAGATGATAGAAGAACATTTAATTCAAGGTAGGGTTGTCCAAAAAATCATAACAAATCAATATCCTCCCCTAGTCTTGAGGTCTTTTTCTCCATGTGCTTTTATATATTATACGTTTGCAATCAAGTATATTTAAATAAAGTGTGAGGATACAGCTATAAAAGGACTTTCATCCTTCCCTTTTCTCTACCCAAGAACGCTGTTTGAAACCCAGATGACCCACACTACCATCTAATGGAGATAAAATTTCATGTTGGGTTTCATTCTATAATAACCAAATGCTAGATGATCATTAGATTATTTTTAAGACCCTAAATATGCAAGAGCATCTGGTTTTGTCATTATCCAAAGACAGCAAATCCTTTTCAAAAGTTCCTTCTGTTGTACCATCTGCCACCATGATAATCTAAGTCAATCACATCTGCTTAAATTATCCGATAACAGATGTAGGATTGTTGTATGGTGGACACTGACCAATAACTTCTCCACCAACATTAAGTAAGAAAAGTAGATGTTGGGCTTCAAGTCTTTTATCAGGAATACAAAGTACAAAATCTGTCTTGGAAACTTCCAGAAAGAAGTGTCATAAAATCGCTGGACCTGACAGGCCAACAACTTAGGAATTCATAGCAGTTTTCATTCATATCATTCTGAGTTTCAAAATTGCTCCATGACACTTCATCCATACCATTAACTGGGATATCATACATACCCTGATGAAATTGGGCAAGTCTCCAACCTGGGTGGTCCAGGAGAGGGTCCACACATGTTCATAGCAAGATTTTTGATCCTCAGTCACTGTGAAGTCACTGGCATTGAGGTACCTGGATGTGAAGTCATCAGCATTTTTCTGTAAGAGTATTTGAAGGTGATGGGCTGAGATGTGTGCAGGGATACCTGTGGGAGAAAGTTTGGGCATAGAAAATACAAAAGGTGAATCCTCCAGAAAATTAATGTCAGAGTGCTTCTTAAATACACAGGAGAACCACCCCCCACCACCACCAAAATTCAAACTATGGCTTTAAGAAGACTCCTTGCCCTATTAAACTACCGGTTTTCTAAGACAAATACAAGTCAATGTCCCCTTTTCTGTACCAGGATAGGCTTCATCCAGTTGCACCCTCCCCAGCAAACAGAGAGCCCCATCACATCAGAACTCTCATCTGTCAACTCAAAATGTAAACGCCAGACACTCTGGCTATGCCTGAAAGTCTAATTAAATGTTGAGTTTTCCCTGGAAAAATTTAGCTGGCCCTATGAACAGAGAAAAGTTGGCCTCTCTCACAGGGAGTCGGGGAGGCACTCGGCAGCTGACACCCATAAAATGTAGCCAAGCCAGCTGAGAAATGCTGCCATTAGACTTTGGTTTCTCTATTCGAATTTCCTTTAAGCCCAACCACCTGCTTCCTTATTCCCCAGCCCCAAAGAGAAATAACAGCACTCCCCTTGAATTCGCCTTGTGTTGGAACCTTTGTCAGGCTTTACCAAAAGTTTCCATTTCATTAACCACTCCCAACCGCACTGTGAGGTGGGTCTCTTGAGAATCTTGATGCTTGCTTTAGAAACGAAGGAAAGGAAACCCAGCAAGATTCAAGGACCTGCCAGTCAGGTGAGAAAGACTCCAAGGACAGCCCGGGCTACCTTCTTCTGCCTACTCCAGACCTCTTTTGGAATTCCGCTGACCCGGATGAAGTCTTCACGAAACACCTCATATTGCTAGAAACTATTCCTCCACCTTTTAAATGGGATTAGTCTAATGAATACCTAATTTGAGGGCCACCACCATTTCTGAAGACGAGGGCTGACTTTCCCAGAGTGTTGAGCAGACTTTGTTGGGAAGAATGACATTGGAGCATGGTGGCAGGACGACTTGCACAGGCCACCAGAACTCTAGTTCATGAGTAGGAGAATACAGCTCACGAAGGGATTTCTTAAAGAGAGTCACTGTGGTCATGTGTTCTATATAGTAGAGTCCACCAGCCTACGGTCTTTTAGCATCTCCTAAACTGCTCTGTGAGAGTCAAAACCACCTGAGGAGATTTAGTTACAAGCCTGGCTTCCTTCTGTTAGGAAAGTCATAAGACTTTTGAATCCTGTGTCATTTATTATCTAGTCCCTCTTGAGTTCTTTCTTAAACCACTTTTCTTTGTTTTAATGTTTTCTTTTAAGATTTTTTAAAAAAATTTTATTAGTGAAACACCATGAGATATAGTTGTAGACTTACAAATTTTTGTGCCTGGGTTTCAGTTATACAATGATTGAGTACCCATCCCTCCACCAGTGCCCACTTCCCACCACCACGGATCCCAGCATCCCTCCCACCCTCCCCACCCCTCATCCCACCCCACCCCTGTGGCAGGGCATTCCCTTTTGTTTTCTCTCTCCTTTTAGGTGTTGTGGTTTGTAAAAGAGGCATTGAGTGGCAATCATGTTCGACTGGTCTATAGTCTACTTTTAGCATGCATCTCTCATCCTGGGAGGATCCTCCCAACACCCTTTACTTGGTGCTCCCTTCTCTATCTGAGCTGCTTTCACCCCAGCATGCTTGGCTGGCCTCCAAGCCATGGAGTGAACCTCCTGGTACTTATCTCAGCTATTCTTGGGTTACACCACTTTTCTTTTTCACAAATAAACAACGTGATTATATCATTTGATCATTGTATTTTGTGAATTAGGGGTGTACTTGATGATTTAGAAACTTTTTTTTTGATGATTGCATCTGAAATTTGTTTCAACCACTAATATCCTCAGTAGTTCCGGGGGTCACTATGGAGTTTGATTCAGAAGACACCCTGGCTCCCAGGCTTGGAAACTCTAAAAAGAAGAGAGCTGACCAGGGAATCAAAATTTGAGTTCACATCCTGAAACAGCCATGAACCCTCTGTAGTGGCTCTGGCGAGAATAGAAGAAGCTGAATGAAGTCCTCAAAAAGATCAGTCAATGTAGGGCTGGAGCAATAGCACAGCAGGTAGGGAGTTTGCCTTGCACGTGGCCAACCCAGGTTCAATTCCCAGCATCCCATATAGTCCCCTGAGCACTGCCAGGAAAGTGATTTCTGAGTGCAGAGCCAGGAGTAACCCCTGAGCATCACCAGATGTGACCCAAAAAGCAAAAAAAAAAAAAAAAGATAAGTCAATAGATAAGTCAATGTGAAAATCCTAGAAGCCTCGACTCATTAGGTCAGAAGGGTACTGATACTCCACACATTGTGAGAGGAAGTAGTTCATCCTGGACTATACAGGTGGTCCCTACATGCAATCCAGTGTATTTTAATGAGAGGCGGGGGGAGTCTTGAAACAGACATGAAGGGAGCATTGGTGTTCCCAGCCTCGGACTATGGCAACCACCAATACAGGAAGAGGAGGAAACAGTTTCTACCCCAGAGTCTTGGAGAAGGAGAGTATAAGATCATCCCCACATTTGAACTTGGGCTTCTGGCTTCCAGATTAGTAGCATCAGCCTTCACTATGGTAATTCGTTAAGAAAACACCTTGAATCTAATCCATACACTTTCCATCTGGACAAGAGTGAGAAGATCAGGATCACATAACAATACATTATTGCTATTGTCCAGATCTTTCATCTGAAGAAAGTTATTTTCCAACACTGAAAAAAAAAATTAGCTCGATCATTGTATAACTGAAACCCAAGCACAAAAATTTGTAAGTCTACAACTGTACCTCATGGTGTTTCACTAATAAAAATTTTTTAAAAAATTAAAAGCCTAAAAAAAATAGCCTAAGACAGTCACCAAGTTTACTAGTCTCACAGGACATCATTTTCTTGGGAACAACGCCTCCCCAAAGTCCTCTCAGCAAAACATAAATGATAAATGTTGTACGGCCACCCTGTTTTACCTGGAATCACTGTGTCAGAGAGCTGGATGCGAAAGTCTCCTCCTAAGGGTGGACTTGTCGTCTGCAGTCTCTGGGTTCTCACCTGAATCAGCTCAGCACCGTCCTCTGCTCCTTCACTGGGCACAGGGCTATGTTTTGTCAAAACAAAACAACACAATCCACAGTAACCACCTAGAAGAGCAACTCCGGATGAAACAAAGCTTCATCTCAAAGACCAGGTAGCCCATGTTTCCAGGTCATGAGTTTAAGCGGGCGAGTGTTGGATTTCTTTCTCCTCCGAGGGCAGAGAAGTATCTGGACCAGTTCACCAACCACCAGAGAGGCTCTCTTGTTCCCTGCACCAGTCCTGGAAGCTCAGTGGCCCAGAGTGAAGGGACAGAGAACGACAGTTCCATTGCTCAGAGTGTCTTCTGAATTATCAAGTGCAAGAACGATGCAGAATTCTCTAATCCATCTGCAGAGTTAATAGCGAGTCTTTCTACTCTAAAGATTTTTCCCGTCCCATTATCTCCAGCTTAAGCACTTGTCTCTTCCTCCAGCTAAATTCTTTCCTGAATACTAGCACACTGCCAGACTAATCTTGCTTTTATTCTAACAAGAGCAGCCAACAAATGGTGACAAATCATGAGGTAGATTACTGCCCAGCCATTTTAAAAAATATAATACTTTAGAAAAATGTTTAATGAAATGGGAGTAAAGAGTTAGTTCAGTGCTCTCTTCGGCAGCACATATACTAAAATTGGGACGATACAGAGAATATTTGCATGGCCCCTAAGCAAGGATGACATGCAAATTTGTGAAGCGTTCCATATTTTTATACTGGGACCCGTGGTGTTGGAAAATGGGCACTGGTGGAGGGTTGGGTACTTGATCATTGTATAACTGAAACCCAAGCACGAAAATTTGTAAGTCTATAACTGTACCTCATGGTGTTTCACTAATAAAAAAATAAAATAAAATAAAATAAAAACAGGGCAGAGTCTGGCAAAACAGGGCAGAGTCTGGCAAACTCCCCATGGCGTACCAAATATGCCAAATACCAGTAACAATGATGGGTCTCATTCTCCTAAAGAGCCTTGAATATAATCTCAGGGCTAGGATGAAAGAGACGTTACTGGGGCCTGCTCAAGGCAATCTACGAATAACAGAATGATGAATGAATGAATGAAAAATAAACAATAGGAGAGAGAGAACAAAAGGGAATGCCCTGCCACAGAGGCAGGGTGGGATGGGGGTTGGGGGGGTGACAGGGATACTGGGATGAGCAGTGGTGGGAAATGGGCACTGGTGGGGGGATGGGTATTTGATCATTGTATAATTGAAACCCAAGCACAAAAATTTGTAAGTCTACAACTGTACCTCATGATGTCTCACTAATAAAAATTTTTTAAAAATAAAAAAAATTAATCCAAAAAAATAGTTCATTGGTAAGAAGATTCATTGGTGAGAAGTGGTATTGTTACAACTATAGTAATTAAATATTATTCCAATTTTAGCTTTAAAATTATTATGCATAAATACTAAAATTCTTGGTGAAAAGTACTATTAAAATACAGGCCCAATTTGTTTATAGAACTTATCTCTGAGCAGAGAACTTATGAACGATTTTTTTAAGGGGGAGTCCATTCCTGGTGGTGCTCAGAGCTTACTCTTGGCTCTGCACTCGAGAATCATTCTTGGTGGGCTCAGGGGACCATATGAGGCGCTGGGGATCAAACTCAGGTTGCTATGTGCAAGGCAAGTGGCTTACCTGCTGTACCATTGCTCTGATTGTGAAAGATTTCTATCTTCCATGTATTTTTTCTGTATTTTCCAAGTTTTCAACAAGGAACACCCATGGTATGGTTTTTATCCATTATCCATTAGTACTACATGTTGATGTGAATACAAGCAACCCTACATTCACAGTCAGGCAGAATGACTTTCTCTGTGTTGTGGGGGTGTCAGGGGTTGGCAGTGGGTGGTGAACCTGTGAAAAGCCAATCCGAAGGCAGTCTGTTCTTAGAGGCTTGTGAAGGGACTTGAGGAAACTCAGGAAGAAATATGGTGAGGAAGACTCTAAGTGCAGACCTCAATTTGTCTCTATTATGTTTCTGAGTTGCAACTTCGGCATTCAGCCCAGGATGGCAGAGTGTCTGGTAGGCTATCAGAACTCTCACTTTCACTCTGTGGCATTTGCATGGAACCCGCCCACAGGACAAGGGAATATGATATTGAGGAAAGTGGAGCCTGGATTCATCTGTGTCTGCCTTTAACATACAGTCCCAAGGATGATGGAACGATGAGGACTCATTTTGTTGTTTTATCATTTTTGTTTTGCTTTTATTTATTTCAGTATTGTCTTTTAGGTTATTAGAACAAGATTAAAATTTGTAGGGTTTTTTTTTTTTTTGCTTTTTGGGTCACACCCGGCGATGCTCAGGGGTTACTCCTGGCTCATGCACTCAGGAATTGCTCCTGGCGGTGCTCGGGGGACCATATGGGATGCTGGGAATCGAACTTGTGTTGGCCATGTTGGCTGCGTGCAAGGCAAACGCCCTACCCGCTGTGCTATCGCTCCAGCCCCAAATTTGTAGGGTTGATGTATAAAATTACTGCACTCCTCTGTCACCAATGTGCCCTCCACCAGTGTCCCTTTGTCACTTCTAGTCTAATCTCCCTCCCCCTTCCCAACTTTCCTCATTGCGTGTTATCTGGTTTGCAATCCAAAATCAAGGATTTTTCATTGTTCAATAATTATCTTGGAGATAACATGATAGTGCAGCGGGTAGGGTGTTTGCCTTGCACACGGCCAACCCGGGTTTGATTCCCAGCATCCCATATGGTCCCCCAAGTACCGCCAGGAGTAATTCCTGAGTGCAGAGCCAGGAGGAACCCCTGAACATCGCCGGGTGTAACCCAAAAAGCAAAAGACAAAAAACACAGTAACAATTATCTTATTCCCTTGTTTTATCTCACTTTGGAACATCTAAGAAAAAAAGTGGAGTTTAGAAAATTAGAAAAGAAATTGTAGAGATTAAAGAAAGAGCAATAATACAGTGGGTAGGGTGCTTGTCTTGCCTGCAACTAACCTGTGTTCAATCCCCAGCACCCGATATGATCCTCTGAGCCCCACCAGAAATGACCCCTGAGCACAGAGCCAGGAGTAAGCCCTGAGCACAGCTGGGTGTAAACAGGAAAAAAAAAAAAGCAGAAGGAAGAAAGAAAGAAATTGTAAAGGATCTTAATACTTCCTATCCTTCTAGGGTTTTTGCGACAAATTCAGAGAACAAATGAGAGCATTCTTGTGGTCCAGGTGCTTGGCAGAGCCTAATCCTTAGCTCACAATTTTGTCAACTGCAGTAGCAAGGTTTTGCTAGTAAGAAGCAAAGCCATGGCACTCGGTTGCCATCTGCTGGTAAATCCCTAGGAACTGCAGGTTCTGTTCTTCAGCAGTTAGACTATTCCGTCTCACCTGGAAGGACTGCATTAATATTAATATATGTAAATATATGGGCAATGCGAAGGGTAAACAGAAAACAGTGGCCATGCGAGTCTCTTAAAAACATTAAAAAAATATAGTTTCTTTTAAACACATTCACTAAAAGAAAGTATTCTAAAACTACTTTAGTCCCCAGGCCGGTAGAATTAGTATTGCCCCGAAAGCCTAACAAAAGCCTAACAAAAGCAAATTCTTGAGACCCGCCCCAAACCTACCGAGCTGGAGTCTGTGAAGTTAGACTAAGGTGATCAAAGACCTCCGGGTAATTCTAATGCTGTATCCTCAGGACTGGAAGTGGCTAGCTCAAGCAACAACACAAACTGTTTCTAATTTAAACAAACACAACGTCTGTGTCTTCTGAGGCCAACTAGCAATCCCCCAGAGAGGTAGGGGAGCAGAGACAGCTCCTTTTTTTTTAAAGGACATTGCTTTATTTATTTATTTATTTATTCATTTATTCATTGCTTTTTGGGTCACACCCGGCAATGCACAGGGGTTACTCCTGGCTCTGCACTCAGGAGTTACTCCTGGCGGTGCTCAGGGGACCATAGGGGATGCTGGGAATCGAACCCGGGTCGGCCGCATGCAAGGCAAACGTCCTACCCGCTGTGCTATCTCTCCAGCCCCCAGAGAGAGGTCCTTACCTCGCAGTGATAAGAGGAAGTTCCTGGCCACACCCCAAGGACCAGGCTGTCACATTGTACACTGGAGGAGCTCCATCCACAGAGAGTGATTCCACCAGATTCCCACCTGGACGCGCTGTTCCCGAATCAGCCTGAAAAACTAGACACCAAGAACCCAATGACTATCAAACAGCTCATGTCAGAAGTCTCACCATATTGAATATCCCCACTGGACATGCCGAGTGACTGAACTTTCAGCACACTCAAATCAGATTCCCAGTGCTCCTCTTCATGAAGAACAACGCAAGGAGGTGGCCAAGAGATCCCTTTGCAGTTTTACAATGAATGGAAACTGCTCACTGGAGAAAGAGCTCAAAGGACTGGAGCACATGCTTTGCAAGCCGCAGCCTAGGTTAGCCCTGGCACTGCATGATGTTCCAAGCACTTCTAGTAGCATTCACCAAGTACTTGAACTGGGAGAGACTCCCTGGGCACCATCAGGTGTGGCCCACAAATTAGAAACCAGAAGAGAGAGAGAAGAGGAAGAGGAAGAGGAAGAGGAAGAGGAAGAGGGAGAGGGAGAGGGAGAGGGAGAGGGAGAGGGAGAGGGAGAGGGAGAGGAAGAAGAAAAAGAAGAAGAAGAAGAAGAAGAAGAAGAAGAAGAAGAAGAAGAAGAAGGAGAAGGAGAAGGAGAAGGAGAAGGAGAAGGAGAAGGAGAAGGAGAAGGAGAAGGAGAAGGAGAAGGAGAAGGAGAAGGAGAAGGAGAAGGAGAAGGAGAAGGAGAAGGAGAAGGAGAAGAAGAAGAGGTGGAGGAGGAGGAGGAGGAAGAGGAAGAGGAAGAGGAGGAGGAGGAAGAAGAAGAAGAAGAAGAAGAAGAAGAAGAAGAAGAAGAAGAAGAAGAGGAGGAGGAGGAGGAGGAGGAGGAGGAGGAGGAGGAAGAAGAAGAAGAAGAAGAAGAAGAAGAAGAAGAAGAAGAAGAAGAAGAAGAAGAAGAAGAAGAAGAAGAAGAAGAAGAGAGTTAAGATATCTGCCATGCATCATGCATGCAGCCGACCCAGTTTCATCACTGAGCGCATTACCACAAGCAACCCTGGAAGCTCTTAAACCACTCTCAGATGGTCCATTTAATCCACAGCACTGCAGGGCCCTAGAAGCACCTCATCCTCAGGTCCGTGCACTGAACTGTTCAGTCTATTTAACTGGGAATTCTCAGGAGGGCTCTTGGAGCACTGTTCAGGAATTCCCCAACCCCATCCACAAAAAACAAAAACCAAAGAAGGAGAAAAGACCTGATAGAATATGCAAGGTTACAGTTTAAAGAGGTTAACTCCATAGCAAAGTTCGGTAAGACCCAAGGCAGAGAAAGGTCACTCCTGAGGTCCTGGGAGACTCACAGAGATCAGCTCTTACCATGGGAACGTCCACCCTTTTCCCTTTTATTCCAAGGGCCTGGAAACTCTTGGAACGTACAGCTGAGTCCCCTTAGGAACACTGTGCACGGAGGGCTTATTCATGGGGTGGCATCTGCACATGTGTGGAAACGGTGCCAGCTGGAGCACAGCCCGTTGTTCAAGCCCTGATTTTCCACTTCTGGTGGGTAACCACTTGGCTGATCAACCCAACCCTAGTCACTCTTTCATTTGTAAAGTGGGAATCGTGACCAGTCAATCTGCACGGCAAGGGGAGTTGAGTGAAAAGGCACAGTGAGAAAAATCAACACAATGGACTTTTTTTTAAAGGTTTTTGTTTGTTTTTAATTCATATTTTGGTTTGGGGGCCACACCCAGCAGTGTTCAGGCCTTACTCTTAGCCCTGCACTCAGGAATCATTCCTGACTCTGAACTAAAGGGACTGTGTGAGTTGCTGGGATTGAATCCAGCTCATTTGGTGTGCAAAACAAAAGCCCTACCTGCTGTACTACTGATCCTGCCCCACACAAAGATATTTTAATGTCTTCTCCCCTCCTACTAAGTATTGGGTCAAGGAAGCATCTTTCCTGACTATATAGTTGAGAGAGACACTGAACAGGTTATAGGCAACATCGTTCCATCTCCTACTTTTAGCCCAGCATCTGAAACAGAGCAGGTGCTCAATAAATGTTTATTCATTCTGTGGGTACCAGGTCAAGGAAGTATTGGCTCTGGTGCCAACGCTCTCTGGGATTCAAATGTCCCTATGTCCCAGCTGGGTGTTGGGGGAAAGCTGTCCAGTACCTCTCAGTGTAGGTCTCCCCGCCTATAAAGTGGGGTTGCTAGGACCACCTGGGGGGGGGGGTTCTGAGACCTTAATTAGGAATTGTTGATATCTACAGGTAGACAACAGCTTTCAGAGAGGACGTCGGGTGAAAAAATACAGTGAAGTAGTATCAAACCGATCAGAAAAAAAAATGTCAATGAAGTAGGAATACCATGCCCTGTTGTGCAGCTTGTGTTGCCACTAAATGATCCTCAGGGGAAAGTTACAGCCAGCAGATGATCATAGAACGTAGGAGACAGATGGCGTCACCCAAAGCACCCACCGTCTTCTTTCTTTGCCTTCTCCCTTCCCACTTCACATCCACGTCCCTACATGGTTCAAGATAGTGACAAAGGTGAAGACATTTTGGTGACAGGGCTGAAGGCATATGGAAGGACTCCAGATCTTTAGTGTTGAGGTTTGGAGGCGTGGATGGCATTTAAGGGAGAGAAGAATAGGAAACCATACCTATTGTGTAGGTCTGAGCTTCCCAACCAGTGTGTTCAAACACATGAAATCTTAGGTCCCTCCACCCCACAGGAATCCAGGCAGCACGTGGAGACCTCCAAAGGTCCCAGACTATGGTCTGAGGCACCAAGAAATTGAGACAGTGACCCAGTCCCCTGTATGCATCCACATTGTCTAAGTGTCTCATAACTAGAGCAGAATTCACATCATCAATAAATAACCCAGCCTGACCCAGCAAGTCCCCAAGCTCCTAAATCAACAAAACAGATAAAAGATGGAAATCTGATGAGTGTCCAAGATGATGCCATTTCAGAGATGGGCATCCTTGCCACCCACCCTACCACCCTTGCCCCCAAATTCTCCCATCTTCAGCTCTGTTTTCAAGCATAAGATTCAAAATTGCACACTTTTCAAATATAAATGTCTTGTCTTATTTCTTTCTCCTTGGAGGGAGGGAGAAAGAAAAGGTTAAAGATGGGGGAATATGGCGGCTGCACGGGAGCCTTGTGGACAGCAGGTTTGAGCCAGGGGTGGGGGCAGCAGGGACCTCATGGAAAGGGGAGCGTTCTGGGCCGTCCTTCACGCCCAACCAAGGTCACCAGCTGCCCCCAACGAGCGGCTCTCCAGCACGGCCACGACTCCAGAGCACAGAAAACAATCTATTAACTCTCTAACTTTTAATAGAAATACTTCCAGGGTTAATAAGTAAAATAGCAGAAATCCAAAACCACGCGGCTGCTATTGCGGCCACACGACATCATTTTATTCTTAAACCCAGCGGTAGAAAGCAAATCATTTCACAACGCTGTTTCAGCATGTCTGATTGGGCGAGGGGTCATAAACTCTAAACAATAATGGTGCATCTTCTATCGAAACAATGTATTTAGTCAAAGTAGATAGAGTATTAACTAGAACTCATCTGCCTCACAGGAATTGGGAGGGGTGGGAGGTGGGGTTCTATTGGGGTTCGCAGTTAAAAATAAGTATTGGTAAAGGGAAATGTATTTGATATTTACATGACTGAGACCTAAACCCGAAAGCTCTGTAACTTTTCCCACAGTGATTCAATAAAAAAATAAATTACATATAAAAAAAAAGATGGGGGAATAGTGTTTAAAAAGAGCAAAATAACTGAAAGATAGAGAGAAAATGATGAAAGAAGAAAAGTAAGAAAAAGTTGGAATCTTGGGGTTCTGAGAGCAAACTCAGGCACCTATTCTCACCAGAGGTTTCTCTTCCCCTTCAAAAGGATCTGAAATGAGCACTTAGTGCCGAAGACACGTGGACAAAGGTAGGTGAGATCATTGTGTCAAGGCGAGGCCAACAGACCTTACGGAGAACGTGGCCTCACAGGAGCTCTGAGGGCTAGGGAAGAGGGATGCAGAAGAGCACAAAGCAGGAGAAGGTGCTTCTCAGAGAACATGCTTGTACTCCTGGCCTCCAGATATCTCTAAAAATCACATACCTGGGGCTGGAGCAATAGTACAGTGGGTAGGGAGCTTGCCTTGCTCTCGGCCGACCCGGATTCGATTCCCAGCATTCCATATGGTCCCCCGAGCACCACTAGAACTAATTCCTGAGTTCAAAGCCAGGAGTAACCCCTGAGCATCGCTGGGCATGACCCAAAAAGCAAAAATAAATAAATAAATAAATAAATAAATAAATTATATATCAGATTTTCAGCCCATTTACAAGGCCAGAAATTGCTGTGTTCTTTTCCAGTCTTTGTGTGACCAAGGTGGAGAAATCCACTGGGTTGAACAATAAACAATAATGATGGTGATACAATAATTATTAGTACTTCTTCTGGTGTTCTTACTAAGATCAGGACTTATGAGAAGTGCATTATAGCATACAATAATTTATCATCATGCGACCCCTCATTTCTCATTTGACTATCCTCACACCCATTTTATAGATATGGAAACCAAGGTTTTTTCTCCCTGAGCACATGGAAAAACTGGGGTAGCAACACAGCTACCAGAAGTCAAGGCGAGCATTGGAGGAAACACAGGAAAAGGCAGAACTAGCAGGAAAGATGCATTGGCCAAGGATGGACAATCCCAGCCCCATCTTCTTTCTAGAACCAAGGCCACAGGGCTACAATCACCTCCTCTCTCTCAGAAAAGAGAAGCAGCAGGTTGGCAGGCAAGTTTGAGGTTGGCATTTTGACCAACAGGCTTTTGGAGGAGAGTGAATTCAGCGATCACCTGTTAGGTTTCTGTCTGCAATGATAATTTCATCCACGTAGAATGTGCCTGGTCCCTGACTCAGAGGGTGGAGATCGATCCGATGAACCAAATACTCAGAGTTTGCCGACGGTATCTGAAGAGGGGTGGAACCAAGTACACAAGTTTTCCAGAGGTCAGTGCAAGTGAACCGCCACCTGAAAACCAAGGACAGAGCACATATGGGTCGCTGGTGCTGGGCACCTGAGAGGTCTCGCTCTCAGAGGTAGCCCCCAGAACCACCTACCACCTATCCCCCTTACCCAAAGTGTCATCTGAGCTGTAGGGGCAAACATCCCATCCCACACACTCAGATGAGTTTGTGGTACAACACACGTCAGTCACAATTGAAGTCAATCATTCATTCCTGCACTCAGCGTCAGCAGCGGCTTGAAATCATGTTATGACTATGTGTCTCAGGCAGATGTCTGTACTAGAAACTAACTCCAGAGAAGATTCATACTGCCGGGCTTTCCTGGGCTCCTTTAGGTTTAAAATCTTGTATAACTGGGACCCGTGGTGGTGGAAAATGGGCACTGGTGGAGGGACAGGTGTTTGATCATTGTATAATTGAAACCCAAGCACAAAAATTTGTAAATCTACAACTGTACCTCATGGTGTTTCACTAATAAAAATTTAAAAAATTTTACCTCATGGTGTTTCACTAATAATAATAAAAAAAAATGTTATTTGACCATAAAAAAATTTTAAAAATTTTAAAAAAATAAACCTGAAATTCAAAATGAAAAAATAAATAAATAAATAAATAAAATCGTGTATAAAACCCCTACTGAAAAGTGCAAGAGGCACTGGACCAAAGAATGAAAGCTTTGAGTCTCTGTTTACTTGCTGATCACATTTTGATGAATCATAAATTCTCTGGGTCATGTTTGGAAGGTTCGTGAAAGTCTCTTCCAGAGCTGCAGAGATAGTACAGCAGGTCAATCACTTGCCTCACTCACGGCTAACTCAGGTTCAATACTTCCCACCCCACCCCCCATAACCCGAACCCTATCAGGAGTAATCCCTGAGCACTGACCCAGGAAGTAAGCTCTGAGCACTGACATGCAAGGCCCAGAAGGGGGGAAAAAATAAGGTCACTGTCAAATATAGTCTATGACTGATCCCTAGGAGAAATGTAAGATTCCTGAGAAGGATTAGGTTCTTAACAATCAACCGCTCTTAAATCAAAATTTCTTTCTCAAATCCCACATGCAGGGCGGAAGCCATAGCACAGCAGGTAAGGCATTTGCCTTGCACGCAGCCGGCCCGGGTTCGATTCCCAGCATCCCATATGGTCCCCTGAGCACCACCAGGAGTAATTCCTGAGTGCGGAGCCAGGAGTAACCCGTGAGTATCACTGGGTGTAACCCCCCCAAAAAAAATCCTAATGCACAAGGCCCCGAATTAGTAGCCCAGGTCTAGACATGAAAGGCCAGTAATCCCTCAGATGAGTTACTGTTCCCCAAAGAGCCTGTGGGCCCAGAACACAGAATCCACACCACGCTTCGTACTTGCTGGGATCAGGGCGGGGGAGATGCCAGTCACAGGTGATATTCTTCCTCATGCTGCTTTGAAAGTCAGTTGTGAAGTACAGGGTCACCTTCAGGAGATCCTGTATGTGGCCCTTGAATGCCATGCACAGCTGTTAACAGCAAAGAAGAGTTTCAACTCTTGGATCACTACCCCGAGGCCCATGAGTCGTGAGGGGAGTTCAGGGTCCCCATCAGAGGCTGTGAGGGAGGGAATCGCCCAGTTCCTGACTCCCTGGGCTTCTCAGTCTAGCTGAAGAAACAAATAGCTTGTGTGGTTATTTATTCAACAAAAAGTGGCATAGAGCTACAGTGTAGGAACTCATAAAGAGATCAGAGAGTTACCGACTGCCTGGCACTATGCTTAGAAGTGAGTTACTGGCATCTGACGGAGAAAGCCCCTTTCTGACCCAGAGATCTGTGCAGTCTTGAATCGAACCTCTTTAGCTCTGTGATTCAGTTCTGAAACTCAACTCCCCGGCATGCCAGGTTTCTTTTTCTGCATTATTTGGCACGAGAACTCTTTCAAGCAGCGGCCCCAACTCTGTTGGCTTTGAATTGGGTCACTCTTTGCTAAGGGGGTGTTCGCTGCCTTGTAAGATGTTAAGCGCCCCGGAAAGTTCCTCCCCACTGACTGCCAGGACCACTTCCACAGTTGTTCCACCCCGAACGCTCTGTTTGCTGTGAGTCTTCAGAGGGGTGAAACGCACCCCCGTTGGAAGCTCTGCTATGGCATATTAAACTGTGGGACTCGACCCCAGGTGACTTCACAAACCTGAGTTTGGAGATTAGCAAAAAAAGAAAACTTTTGACATTTATTTTTAAATTACTTTTTAAAATAAACTGATGACTTACTGCCAGTAAATGTTACCTTTACAGACCTATGTTATATACCTATATTTTAGGGGTCACATAAAAAAACGTAAGGAGACTAACACCCAGGAATGGCTGAGATTAGTGCCATGAATTTTGCTCCATAACTTGGAGGCCAGCCACACGTGCTAGGGGAAAAGGAAACTCAGATAGAGAAGAGAGCACCAAATAAAGGGTGTTGTGAGGATCCTCCCAGGGTGGGAGAAGCATGCTGAAAGTAGACGATAGACCAAACATGATTGCCACTCAATGCCTCTCTTGCAAAACACAGGACCCAAAAGAAGAGAGAGAGATCAAGGGGGAATGCCCTGCCACAGAGGCAGGGTGGGATGGGAGGGATGGGGGTGGGAAGGATGTTGGGACCCATAATGGTGGAGGATGGGCGCTGGTGGAAGAATGGGTGTTTGATCATTGTATAACTGAAACCCAAGCACAAAAATTTCTAAGTCTAATGGAAAGTATCATATTAAGCGAAATGAGTCAGAAAGAAAGGGATAGACACAGAAAGATTGCATTCATCTGGGGAACATAAAGCAACAAAATAGGAGAATAACACCCAGGAATGGCCGAGATTAGTACCAAGAATTTTGCTCCATAACTTGGAGGCCAGCCACACGTGCTAGGGGAAAAGGAAGCTCAGATAGAGAAGAGAGCACCAAATAAAGGGTGTTTTGAAAATCCTCCCAGGGTAGGAGAAGCATGCTGAAAGTAGACTATAGACCAAACATGACTGCCACTCAATGCCTCTCTTGCAAAACACAGGACCCTAAAGAAGAGAGAGAGATCAAGGGGGAATGCTCTGCCACAGAGGCAGGGTGGGATGGGGGGGATGGGGGGTGGGAAGGATGCTGGGACCCATGGTGGTGGAGGATGGGCGCTGGTGGAGGGATGGGTGCTTGGTCATTGTATAACTGAAACTCAAGCACAAAAACTTGTAAGTCTACAACTGTACCTCATGGTGTTTCACTAATAAAAAAAATTTTAAAAAAAAAAAGTAAGGAACGTTTATGAAGCCCTACTACAGAAGGAAAGCTAAAGGGAAGTGAGGGTCTCCGTCTCCACCGTTTAGTCCCAGCTCCCCCGGAGCACAACTAGGGAAGGCCTGGAAGCCACGACCAGAAGCTCACATCGCCACCACAATCCCAGAGAGACATCGTATTTCACCCACTTCACAAATGAGCAAACCTAGAAAACCCCAAGGGCTTTCAGCATCTGGTGTCACAATTCAAAAGCAGAATCTCTCTCCGTTGTCTGCACTCAGACCCAAAAAGAACAAAGACGAGAGAGCATCGAGAATGTTCCACTGCTCTCACCTGGAATACAAAGGCATTTCCTCATAATGGGCTAGAGCGATAGCACAGCGGTAGGGCGTTTGCCTTGCATGCAGCCAACATGGCTGACCCAAGTTCGATTCTTCCGCCCCTCTTGGAGAGCCCAGCAAGCTACCGAGAGTATCTCGCCCACATGGCAGAGCCTGGCAGGCTACCCGTGATGTATTCGATATGCCAAACACAGTAACAACGAAGTCTCCAATGGATACGTTACTGGGCCCACTCGAGCAAATCGATGAACAACAGGAGGACAGTGACATTCCTCATAACAAGCGCTCTAAGTTCACATTTGAAACAGCAACGGAGTCCCGAACACCTTGAGCACGTCACAGAAACTATGCTCCTTTTTCTTTTATTTTTCTTTATATAATGCTTTCAGTATACATCTCCCATCCCAAGCAATCCCTCCAACCATCATTGACTTAGTGATCCCTTCTCTATCCCAGCTGCCTTCTCCCCCAGCTCATAAGGCAGGCTTCCAATGGTGGAGCAATCTTCCTGGTCTTGTCTCTATTGTCCTTGGATATTAGTCTCATGATATTTTATATTCCACAAATGATTGTAGTCCTTCTATGTCTGTCCCTCTCTTTCTGACTCATTTCACTTGGCATGATACTCTCCATGACCATCCACTTATAATCAAATTTCATGACTTCTTCCTTCCTAACAACTGCATAGTATTCCTCTGTGTAGATGTACCATAGTTTCTTCAACCAGTCATCTGTTCTCAGAGACTTAAGTTGTTTCCAGATTCTGGCTATTGTGAACAGTGCTACAACGAACATACAGGTGCAGATGTCATTTCTACTGGTGGGGGAGAAGGGATTCTCTTTTATTGTTGGTGGGAATGCTGGCTGGTCCAGCCATTTTGGATAACAATACAGGCATTCCTTACAAAACTAGAAACCGAGCTTCCATTTGACCCCACAATATCACTTCTGGGAATATATCCTGATCCTTTTTCTTTAATCTCACACCCAGACAATAGGGGCGCCTCCCTCCCATCCTGTTTAGAAGCAGGAGACCTTTCCTACTTACCTGTGAATACTGATGGAGCCAGTAGCCCTGGGGGGCAGTCAGGGGAATCAAGACAAGATGTCGAGGCTGGGAGAGGCTATATCTTCCACAGAAGGGCTCTGTCCTACTGGTGAGCTGCCCATCAGAGCTGGAAACGTCTAGGCCTGGATGTAGTTTGGATAAAATGGGAAGATTGGCATTGATGTTAAACAAAACGAAGCTTTCTCATCCCTGTGCAGGAAGTGGTTTGGGGACCTGCGTTATAGCCTCTGCAGTTCCGAAGCAAGCCAGGTAGGGATAAGAGGTGGAGGGGTAAAGGGGGGTATAAGGTGGTGTAAGGGGCTCGATTGGCACATTCCTCCCAACTGTGAAAAGGTCCAGCTAGAGAAACTTGTGTAGTGCTTCAGAGCATCAAACACTGATTATCCTTTTCCTTGTGGACCATGAAAAAAAAAAACCTATTGATAAGCAAAATTGCATAATGGCATACCAAGATTAATTTAATAAACCTGAGCAGATTACTAAAAAAATCTACCCTTGTGGGGCAAGGGGTTAAAAACATTAAGATACACCCTTATATTTTAAGCACTGGGTAAGATGACCCTCTTTTGTCATAAGTCCTTTATTTGAAATGCAATTTGACTTAAATAAGATACATACTTAGGAATTCATTCAAGTTCTATTTCTCTCTCGACATCCCCATATCATTTGTCCCATCTCCCACTCAGGGGATGAGTAGTACTTTGCTCCAACTAATGGCCTAGGGTACCTCTCCACCCTTTATCTTCCTCTAATGCCCACGTCGAACAGTGCCCTCCTGGGCCTGGAGATAAAGTCATAGTCACTCGGTGTTCAAACCCGATTTCTATTGCTTCATCTGACTTGGGGAGCACCTTGGAGAGGAAATTAAAGACAATTCCTGGACTGGAGCTCTAGCACAGCAGGTAGGGCATTTGCCTTGCACTTGGTCGATCAGAGTTCAATTCTGAGCATCCCATCTGGTCCCCCAAGCACCGCCAGGAGTAATTCCTGAGTGCAAAGCCAGGAGTAACCCCTGTGTATTGCCGATGTGACCCAAAAAGAAAAATGAATAAATGAATGAATGAATAAATAAATAGCACAGCGGGTAGGGCGTTCGCCTTACAAGCGGCCAACATGGCTGACCCGAGTTCGATTCCTCCACCCCTCTCGGAGAGCCCGGCAAGCTACCGAGAGTATTCGATATGCCAGACACAGTAACAAATAAATACAATTCCCATTTTACAAAGAAAGCAAAAAGAAATAATGACCAAGGTCTGATTTGTTGTCCATTCAGATGCAGTACCTTGTTCGAATCCGAGTCGGAGGAGGGTGTTTGCCGAAAGGGGTTCCAATTGACATTTGACTGCAAGTAACTCCTCAATGGCTGTTTGAATCTATTAAGGAAACCAATAGAGGTGAGTATGATGGACACGTCGACCTCCCCTCTCCTTCCCGCCACTCTTCAGTTGAAGAAGCTTCCCACCTGGTGGGCTGTGGCATTGGCAACCATTGGCTGACTAGAGACATTGTCCCATATCAGGAGAAAATGCCCATTTCCAGTCACTGTCAGCATCTACAAAGTCAAGGGTGACAGGAATAAATGACATTCTCATTAAAAGCCAGAGAGTCCATCCAAGTCATCCATTGGTTTAATGCTATTTTTCATACTGTAAAAAAATCAAACATTTTATTATTGTCTGTCTCATGATCATTTAGACATTCCTGGAGAACACAAGTGTAATTGCCACATGAACATTTTCCTTGAAATACACACACAACTATCTCCTATTGATCCACGTTTTTCTTTTTGATATAAGGCTTACATTTTGCCACTGATAGCTCACTTTCAGGGACTCTCTCCTGGGGTGAGCTGGCAGCCCTGTGGCATCAGGCCCTCAAAAGCTTAGCCAGGGCTGAGAGATTGTAGAGAAAGTAAGGTGCCTGTCTTGCATTATAATGATACTGGTTCTATCCCGGACACCATATTTGGTCTCCCCAGAACTACCAGAGGTGTCTTCTAAGCAGAAAGCCAGAAATAGTTCCCAAGAAACACAGGGTGTGATTCTCCCCCCCTCCACAAAAAAAAAAAAAATGAAGATGAGGGACCAAAGAGATAGTACAGAGGACAGGGCACTTGCCTTACATACAGTTGACCCACGATCAATCCCAGTCATCCCATTTGGTCCCTGAAATACCACCAGGAGTGATTCCTGAGGGCAGAGTCAGGAGTAAACTCCTAAGCATTGCCAGGTGTGGCCCAAAAACCAAAACAAAAAAAAAAACTAAAAGAAGAGAAAGAGAAGAAAGGAGGAGGGGAGGGAAGGAGAGGAAAAGGAGTAAGAAAGAGATATGTAGTCTCTCCTTCATTTCCAACAGACTGCTCCACTAATTATAGTTTTGCTCTGCAAGAAAATCTAGGTAACTGAATTCCTTTTTTTCCTATTGTTTTCTACTTTGTTCTATGGCACCTGTATACCTATTTATATTAAACTGCAAAACATTGAGAGCAGTGTCCATGTTGATTTATCTTTGTTTACCTTCAAAAAACGACTAAAAGTCATCTCTATCAATATTGTTCAAAAAAATATGGGGCACAATAGAGAAAATCATGCTTGGTATTAACAAGTTGACTTAGGAGAAAAAAAAAACAGCCTATGTCAAAACAGGACCTGACCAGACCCGGATCCAAGAAGCTGCAAATTCTGCTACATAAACATACACGTGCATGTGTGCGTAGGTGCGTTCGTGTATGTATTTGTGTGTGTGTGTGTGTGTGTGTCTGTGTGTGTGTAAGACCTTAGCTCTACCTTGGGGGCTAGGTTTTCAAAAGAAGATTTATCAGAACTTAATTTTACAAAACCAATTTTACAGAACCAATTCCATGAGATGAGTAAGATCATATCCATAATAAGACTTTGGACTTTTCAATGAACTCACAGTCCTTTGGAGAGAGCACCTATTTCTCTGACAGCAGAGTTGGCATCATAACCTAGGTCTCCAGGCTTCAGCCAATTGACCTTCCCCATAGGCAAGATTATATTCCTTCCAGAATTTAGTCCCTGAATCAAACCCCATGGTAGTAGGATAGGAGTCACAGACCTGGATTTCTGGAAGCCTCTTGGCATGGACTCTGATCTGATGCTTCTCTCGAAGGTAAGTGTTGATCACCTCGGGGTTCAGCCAGGTGTTGTGGATCTGCACGCCAATTCTCATCCCCCTGCTGGGGGCTTTCCCATTCTGCTCCGCTTCCAAGTAGTACCTGGCTCCATGGGACAGCTCCAACTTGGGAGTCTTCTGTTGCCAAATCCCTTCATTCTCATTCTGCTCCCAAGAGTCAAACCAGTCAGCAATGCCCTCCCTGATAGATGCCACTTTCACCTGTGTCCGAATAAACATATTGTCATCAATGACATGTGTGGGACACTTCTAGGCATCTCTCACTCAGTGGCTGAACAGCAACCAACAAGCAATTTTAGGACTGCTCTGATTTTTCCAAGAAGTTAACCCAATCACTCTAGTTCTTAATTCTCCCTCTGTCATCTCTCTCTCTTACACGGATCCCTCTCTTCCTTCCCTTTACACCTGTTCTCTGACTCCCTATCTCCGTGTCCCTCCTCTGAGCAGTAATCAGATGAGACTCTGGGGACATATTTAAACCAACTTAAACCCTCGATTGACTGTGCTCATAGCTTTATAAAGCCCAGCTCCCGGAAGAGAACAGCGCAGAGTCTCCTGCCCCTGCGCCTGGCTGTCCTCGCCGGAGCCCCTTGGAGGGGAACGGGTCGAGCTTTCCTCCCCGCCCCGACCAGGGCTCCGGCAGCCAAAGACCTCCAGAACCAGCCACCACCATGCTGAGACCACTCTTCGCACACATGAAGGTACTGGCAGAGGAACAAAGGCACGCGGATCCCAGGGCCGGCCGAGATCTCCAAGCCTACTCGGATAGGGGCTGAGCATCCTCCACCCAGATCCTCCAAATTCCAATAGGCAGGGGTCACACCCACCAACTGGCCCCCTGGAGCCATGTAATCCCATCAGCGGCCAAGACTCAGAGACTGTAAAATCCAGCTCCCAGAAGTGCGCAGCCACATTCGCGGCCGCGGGACATCTTGTCATCTCATTCCTACTTTGGACAAACTGGCAGGCTACCGAATGTAACCTGCCCACATGGCAGAGTCTGGCAAACTTCCCGTGGCGTACCCAATATGCCAAATACCAGTAACAATGATGGGTCTCATTCTCCTAATTCTGAAAGAGCCTTGAATATGGCACTTTTTAAAAAAATCTCAGGGCTAGGATGAAGGAGACCTTACTGGGGCCTGCTCGAGGCAATCGACGAATAACAGGATGGTTGTGATTGATTGTGATTGTGCTCATAGCGGTATTAAGCAAACTGAGACACCTCGGATGACTTGATTCCATACATATATCTTTAGTCTATTGGCAAAGCAATTTCACAAAGGCATAAGAATAATTTGAGGGGGGCAGGGAGAGAGATATGTCATTCTTTGTCAATGGTACTGGTGAGGTTTGGAATTTGTTGAAAATTTTCCATTCTTATCTTCAAAGAAAATATAATATTCCTGCATAAGACTGGCTAGAAGTCTACTCAAAATTAGCGGGGTAAACAAATAAGATTTGTAGTAGGACAAATCTATGTTTAAGTCTTATACAGTGGTCCAGTGGTCCTGGATCAGACATGCAGTCTTGCTTAAGTCTTAATTTCCTGGATCTGGAAAATTAGAGATAAAGATATATAGCCCACATAGATGCTTTAAAAATTATATATCTAAGGTCTAGAGCAGTAGTATAGTGGGTACAGCATTTTCCTTGCATACAGGTGTCCTGGGTTCAATAGGATTGATCCCTGAGTATAGGCCAGGGGTAAGCCCTGAGCTTGGCCAGGTATGGCCAAAAAACAAACAAATGAAAATTTAAAGATTTATCTTAGATGTATCATGTCTCACTACTCACTAAATGGAAGGCAAATTCTTTTCAACAATTCAAAAGCCTTGATTAAAATAGTCTAAATAAAAACCACTACCCTTACCAAAACAAACAAACAAACAAACAAAAATTTCTTGATTACTGGGCTGGAGCAATAGCACAGCGGGTAGGGCGTTTGCCTTGCATGCGACCGACCCGGGTTCGATTCCCAGCAGCCATATGGTCCCCTGAGCACAGCCAGGGGTAATTCCTGAGCTCAGAGCCAGGAGTAGTCCCTGTGCATCGCCGGGTGTAACCCAAAAAGAAAAAAAAAATTCTTGGTTACTTAATAGCTTAGTAAAAATTCTTGGTTACTTATCTGTAGAACACATGAGCTTTATTTTGATTCTTTTCTAAGTTTTGTTTTCAGAAGGAATGGCAACAATCACGAATCATGACCATCCTGTTATTCGTCAATTGCTCGAGCAGGCCCCAGTAACGTCTCCTTCATTCTAGCCCTGAGATTTTTAAGAAAGTGCTATATTCAAGGCTCTTTAGGAGAATGAGACCCATCATTGTTACTGGTATTTGGCATATTTGGTACGTCACGGGGAGTTTGCCAGACTCTGCCCTGTGGGCAGTTTACATGCGGTAGCCTGCCAGTTTGTCCAAAATAGGAATGAGATAATAAGATGTCATAATAAGATGTCTGCACTGTTCTCTTCCAGGAGCTGGGTTTTATAGTCTCTGAGTCTTGGCCGTTGATGGGATTACACGGTGCCAGAGGACCAGTTGGTGGGTGTGACCCCCGCCTACTGGAATTCGGAGGATCTGGGTGGAGGATGCTCAGCCCCGACCTGAGTAGGCTTGGAGATCTCAGCCCCGGGACCCGCTTGCCTTTGTTCCTCTGCTGGTACCTTCAGGTGTGCGGAGAGTGGTCTCAGCATGGTGGTGGCTGGTCCTGGAGGTCTTCTGCTGCCGGAGCCCTGGTCGGGACAGGGAGGAAAGCTCAACCTGCTCCCCTCCAAGGGGCCCCAGCGAGGACAGCCGGGCGCGGGGGCAGGAGACTGCACTGTTCTTTTCCGGGAGCTGGTTTTTATATTCTCTGAGTCTTGGCCGTTGATGGGATTACAAAGGAAAAATAAAAGAAAGGAAGTACCTTGGCCCTTGGATCCTCTGATTGACTGAAGTAGAGGGAAGCTGGGCTGTCTGCCTGAATCCAGAACGTGTAATTGTTTGTCTCTGGGGCCATGAAGAACCCACGGAGCCGTGCTCTGAAAGGCAGAGGAGCACAGCTTTATGAGGGCAACAGAGTTCTGAATCTCCCAACCAGCACACGGTTGCCTCTTACGCATTATTTGCTTGCATGACAAGAAGGAACAGTTACCTGAATCTGTACCAAGCAGATGATCTGAGTTCTCCAGTTATATCCTCCCCCCCTCAACCCCTGCCCACTTCAAAAGTTCCTTCTATGTCACTCCACTTTCAGAAGAGATCTATTGCCTGTTTTCATTAACCCAGTGAAACTCAGATATCCCCCTGCCATCACCAGCCATTGTGGCAATATTCCACACAAAATGGCTGTTTCCCTTTGGTACATTTACACAATGGAGTACTATGTAAAGGTAAAAAGGTAGGTAAAGGCCCTCCCGTTGATCATTGATTTGCTCGAGGGGGCCCAGTAACGTCTCCATTGGAGACTTTGTTGTTACTGTGTTTGGCATATCGAATACGTCATGGGGAGCTTGCCAGGCTCTGCCGTGCAGGCGAGATACTCTCGGTAGCTTGCCGGGCTCTCCGAGAGGGGCGGAGGAATCGAACTCGGGTCGGCCATGTTGGCTGCATGCAAGGCAAACGCCCTACCGCTGTGCTATCGCTCCAGCCCTATACATAGCCCAGTACTATGTAGCTGTTAGAAAAAAATGAAGTCATGAAACTTACATACAAGTGGTACTACATGGAAAGTATCATGTTAAGTGAAATGAGTCTAAAAGAGTGGGATAGACACAGAAAGATTGCGTTCATCAGGGGAGCATAAAGTAACAAAATAGGAAACTAACACCCAAGAATGGCTGAGATTAGTATCAGGAATTTTGACCCATGGCTTGGAGGCCATCCACACATGCTAGGGGGGAAAGGGAGCTCAGATAGAGAAGGGAGCACCAAATAAAGGGTGTTGGGAGGATCCTCCCAGGATGGGAGAAGCATGCTGAAAGTAGACTCTAGACCAAACATGATTGCCACTCAATGCCTCTCTTGCAAACCACAGGACCCAAAAGGAGAGAGAGAGAACAAAAGGGAATACCCTGACACAGTGGCAGGGTGGGATGTGGGGGGGTGGGGGGTGGGAGAGATACTGGGATCCTTGGTGGTGGGAAATAGGCACTGGTGGAGGGATGGGTATTCTATCATTGTATAACTGAAACCCAAGCACAAAAATTTGTAAGTCTACAACTGTACCTCATGGTGTTTCACTAATAAAAATCTAAAGGTAAGCTAAGGTAAGGCCCTCCCGTTGATCATCGATTTGCTCGAGCGGGCCCAGTAACGTCTCCATTGGAGACTTTGTTGTTACTGTGTCTGGCATATCGAATACGTCACGGGCAGCTTGCCAGGCTCTGCTGTGCGGGCGAGATACTCTCGGTAGCTTGCCGGGCTCTCCGAGAGGGGTGGAGGAATCGAACTCGGGTCGGCCATGTTCCAAAAGTACATGAGTGGTTGCAAGGTCAACCTAAAGTCAACCTGCAGCAAAAATTTAAAAATAAAATAAATAAATAAATAAATAAAATGTAAAAGAAAAACCAAAATGGCTGTTTCCAAATTTGTTCCTTAGCCTCTGCACCCTCAAACTCCAAGGAAAATGTTTTCAACTTTCCTTGACATACGGCAAATGTTCATTCAGCATCTCAACCATGTGTCTGCAGCTATGTGCTAGTATCTACCAAATTCTCTGGCCTGCTCAGCCCAGTGTTGCAATTAATAAAGATTACATGGTGAAACTATGTATAAGGTAGAAAATATCAATGTTGCATCACAAATCACAATCACAAATCATCCTGTTAATTGTCAATTGCCTCGAGCAGGCCCCAGTAATGTCTCCTTCATCCTAGCCCTGAGATTATATTCAAGGCTCTTTAGGAGAATGAGACCCATCATTGTTACTGGTATTTGGCATATTGGGTACGCCACGGGGAGTTTGCCAGACTCTGCCATGATCAATGTTACATGTTGCTCAAAATTTAGCATACACCTTATAAGGGAAGGGTCTGTGCTAAGCGTTGGATCAAAGATCAAACAAAGATCAAACCTGTTGCCGTCGAATTAGAGACTATTATAAATTCTCCTCTGAAAACCTCGTTTATGATAATAAAGATGGTTTTGATGCTGGGAAATGTACACGGGTGGAGGGATGAGAGTTGGAACACTGTGTGACTGAAACCCAATTATGAATAACTTTGTAATGGTCGATCTCACAATGATTCAATAAAAAAATATATTTTTAAATTTTTTTATTTTTTATTAGTGAAACACTATGAGGTACAGTTGTAGACTTACAGATTTTTGTGCTTGGGTTTCAGTTATATAATGATCAAATACCCATCCCTCCACCAGTGCCCATTTCCCACCACCACGGATCCCAGTATCCCTCCCACACCCATCCCCCCACCCCACCCTGCCTCTGTGGCAGGGCATTCCCTTTTGTTCTCTCTCTCCTTTTGGGTGTTGTGGTTTGCAAAAGAGGCAATGGGTGACAATCATGTTTAGTCTATAGTCTACTTTCCGCATGCTTCTCCCATCCTGGGAGGATCCTCCCAAAACCCTTTATTTGGTGCTCCCTTCTCTATCTGAGCCAAAAATAGCCGAGATCAGTACCAGGAGGATTACTCCATGGCTTAGAGGCCAGCCGGGCATTCTAGGGGAAAAAAATATTTTTAAAGATGATTTGGATATTTATTTCCACTTTTTTTCCAAAACACACCTGAAAGGTTGTCCTTCGTTTGACCAAAATCCAAATGGAGAACTGGCGTTAGGTACAATTTGCCAGCTGTATCCAGAAGTGGTCTCAGTCAGGCCTGCATCCTCTTCAGCATCTCCAACTTCAAAAAGGAGCCCTCGATTGCCTAAAAGACATCCAAACTTGGTCAACAACAGAAGAAATCTTCTCTTACTTGGGAAACCACTTTCCTTCGGGGTACAGCATCAAAGATGATCTAGGAATTCTCTGAAGAGATGAGTCAGCTGGGACCTAGAAGGGCTGGCCATATCCAGACATCTATATAACTGGGCAGGTGTTCAGGAAAGCAGAAAATATGTACAGGGCATAGCCCCTTTGAAAGAGAATTGAAAAGAAACCATAAAAGTGATATTTTCAGAGAACCAGAGACGACTAGGAAACCCCTTTGTAATGCAAATTCTGAAGAAGAGAACAAATTCCTGGAGAAAAAAAATATGGAAGAGGAAAAAAATGTTACAGTTGAATAAAAGGAGGAACATGTGAATGAGTCGTTTAATGATTCCTAAACCCAGAACTAGATTTTACTATTCTTTAAGGACCAGTTCAGCCTAGACATTTTTTTAAAGCCCCTTTCCCTAAAAATATTGGCAATTCTTAATTTTTTCACCTGCTCTTGAGTCCATTTTTAGTTCCACGCACAAAACAAATTACATGGTGTACTGCTCATACTTGCTAGACAATGTCAATTGTCTCTGATGTATTTATTGCATCGTACTTTATAAGAAAATTCTGAGACAGTATACACAGGGGCCATTGATAGGGGATACTAACCTGACTTCAAATTTCTGGATTCAAAGCAGAGTGACAGACACAGAATTATCTCTCATGTGAAATATAAAGAAACAGTAAGGGAATAACAAATGCTTGAAGCAACAGAAACTGAGAACTGGTCCTTAGTAGGAAGCTTACCATGATGGGGTGTTGGGGAGGAATAGGACAGTGGGAACGACACGGGGATAATGATGGAGAGAACTGGACCACTGGTTGGAAGGACACTGGGATAATGATGGAGGGGAGTGGACATGCTGATAGGGGTGTGATGCTGGAATGTTTTATTCATGAAACTCCAAACTCCACCATTTGTATTGTTAAGTCAAAGTGCCTAAAATAAAATAAATCTGAGCAAACCATGCTCTGGGTTCAGATTTCAACTTCACGATTTCCTCGATGTATTGCTTTAATCCAATTGCTTAATGACTTCATTTCCTCATGCAACAAAACGGGATTTAAAATGACATACTAAAAATTAACAACATTTGAGTTACATGTCAATCATGTACCAATAATACTAGGTAAAATAGATAATTTAGTAATTCAGGGAAGGTGGTTAAAGAGACTTGAGATATTAACAAAGATCCTGAAATATAGTAATGACTTAATAAGGGATATTTGTGGTACCGGATATTGCATCATTTTGAACTATTACTTTTGCTTCTTATCAAATTTGAAAAGGGAAAACTTGCTAGAAAAAAAGTGGGGAAAATAGTTTATTTTAAAGAATATTATTTTTAAACCTGTTTATTAGTACAGCAGGCTCTCACCTCCATCACTTTCACTGCATTTGGTCCTCCAAATCCTACCAACAGTGATCCCTGAATGCAGAGCCAGGATTAAGTCCTGAACAACCACAAGGATTAAATCCAAGTCTCCAAACCAAAGAAATAAAGTGAAATAAAATAAACCAGTTTCTCAGCTTCAGCACCACTAATATTTGGAACTAAATAATTCTACCCAGTCTGTATATAAACAAATGTTTAGCTATACCCCTGACCTCTGCATTTTAGAGGTCAAGAACCCCACCACCCCCACTCACTGTAACCAGACATTGCTAAATGTCCTCGGAGACCACTGAGAACTTTCCATAACAATTTGCCCTACTTCCAAGCTACTTTCAGAAGCTCTTCATAAGAAACACTGTTAACTCTCAGGAACAGCTGCTGTCATGAAATTATCCCATAAAGACCCAAGAAGCTAAAGCAAGGAGCCTCTCCAAGAGGGAAGGGCTGCTTCCTCGCTGACACAGGAAATACAAATTCTCTCCCATCACTTGCTTCAGTTGTTTTGTTTCCGTGGATGGCAGTTTTCTCTGAGCCAAAATGGCAGGTCTGGGACCTAGAGAATGCCCAAGTCAAAGATTTGCATGCATTTTCATACCCACATGGCTTTTCTGGAGAAAGGTTTCTCACCTACTGGGCAACTTTCCATGAAAGTGTATGTGTCTCTTGAGAGAAACCCACTGTCTATAGTTTAACCGTAAAGCCAGCCCCTTGTGGGGCAGATAAAGATCTAGCCTGTGGTTGCAGGCTACTTAACATACTGACTGCCCTTAATCCCTAACTACACTTCAGATTTCAGTTCTAACGCTCACCACAAGCGTCCCAATGGCCCAAGGATGCCGGACTGCCAGGGACCCCAGTATCCATGATTACGAGGCCACCGAATGGTGCTTGAGTGCCTTCGGGACCCCTTGGGGAACCAGGCAGTGCTGGATGGAGATGGAACCTGGCATCAGCCCCAGGCAAAGCACAGTCCCTAACCCCTGTGCTATCTCATACTACCTCTCCAGCCCAGGTGGAAGCATTTCTTTTAATATTCAAAGTTATTTATTATTTTGTTTCCACAGCAGTGCATATGAGAGTTTCAGTTGCTCAACGCTAGTACTAACAACATCACCTAATTAAAAAAAAAAATTTATTGAAGGGGCTGGAGTGAAAGCACAGCGGGTAGGGCGTTTGCCTTGCACGCGGCCGACCCGGGTTCTATTCCCAGCATCCCATATGGTCCCCCAAGCACAGCCAGGAGTAATTCCTGAGTGCATGAACCAGGAGTAACCCCTGTGCATCGCTGGGTGTGACCCAAAAAGAAAAAAAAAGTTTATTGAATCACGGTGAGGTACACAGTAACAAAGTTGTTCTTGATTGGGTTTCAGTCAACAATGACAAATAGAAGCTTTAAGGAGAGAGCAGGTAGAATCCTCCGTTTTAGGCAAAGAATGTGATGGCCATCACACAATTAATTTTACTTTTCACTTTTCCCATAGCAGACAGCTACCTGTACTGAAGCACTGTAGCACTGTCCTCCCGTTGTTCAGTGATTTGCTCGAGCGGGCACCAGTAACGTCTCACAACAAACTGTGAGACTTGTTGTTACTGTTTTGGGCATATTGAAAAAGTCACGGGTAGCTTGCCAGGCTTTGCCATGTAGGCGAGATACTCTTGGTAGCTTGTCAGCCTCTCCGAGAGGGGTGGAGGAATCAAACCCGGGTCAGCCCTGTGCAAGGCAAACACCCTACCTGCTGTGCTATCATCGCTCCAGCCCAGATAATTAACATGATAATCTGTTAATTATCATAGGAAACAAATGATAGCAGGTTCCTGAAATAATGAGTATATGTGACTTACCTTTTCACCATTCTATTGTTTAACTGGCAAAAGTTTCAGTCATATAATGTTTCAAGGACCAAAAAAAAAAAACCTTTTCAAATGCAAGTTTCGCACACTTTCTTTTGACATTGTCTTAAGATCATCGCAGACTCTATTTTCATAATCCCATTTTCTTAAAATACGAGCATGCAACCAACCCTGACTGTGGAGGGAGGCCATGCATGGAGGAGTTGATTTCCTCCAGTGCTATAGCATTATCTTTTTTTTTTTAATTTTATTCGTGAAACAGCATGAGGTGCAGTTGTAGACATTCAAATTTTTGTGCTTGGGTTTCAGTTATGCAATGATTGAGTACCCATCCCTTCACCGGTGCCTATTCCCCACCTCCAATGCTCCCAGCATTCCTCCCATCCCCCATCACCCCCATCCCACCCTGCCTCTGTGGCAGGGCATTCCCGTTTATTCTCTCTCTCCTTTTGGGTGCTGTGGTTTGCAAAAGATGCATTGAGTGTCTATCATGTTCTTTGGTGCATTGGTGTTTCCTGGATACAGTCTTAAGCTGATCCAAGATCATTCATTCTTCTAGCTGGGGCTAGAGCGAAGAACCTCTCTAAGAGAGAAGAAAAGTGCCTGCCATAAAGGTGAGGGGGTGGGCAGTGGAAACTGAGGGCAGGAGTGAAACTGGGGACATTGGTGGTGGAAAATGTACACTGGTGAGGGGACCGGTGTTGGAACATTATATGACTGAAAGTCAAACTTTGTAACTGTGTATCTCACTGTGATTCAATTAAAAAATAATTAAATTTTGAGATGTTCTTTAAAAAAAAGAAAAACCGTCTGAATGGAAAGCACCAAATATGGCACTACTGACCCTGGGTCACTGAGTGAACCATCCTAACTTTGAGATAGAATACAAACACCTCCATGTCTGCTCGCCAGCTCTCAGTGGTCCAAACATGCAACCAGAAGGAGAGGGAGAAAGAAAGGGAATGCCCTGTCGCAGAGGCAGGGTGGGATGGGGGGATGGGGAGTGAGAGGGATACTGGGATCAGTGGTGGTGGAGTATGGGCACTGGTGGAGGGATGGGTACTTGATCATTGTATAACTGAAACCCACTGTCCCTGTCACTGCCACTGTCCTCCCTTTGTTCATCGATTTGCTTAAGCGGGCCCAGTAACATCTCCATTGTGAGACTTTTTGTTACTGTGTTTGGCCTATCGAATACTCTCAGTAGCTTGCCAGGCTGTCCGAGAGGGGCGGAGGAATCGAACCCGGCTCGGCCGGGCTGGCTGAGCACAAGGCAAATGCCCTACTACTGTGCTATCACTGAAACCCAAGCACAAAAATTTGTAAGTCTACAACTGTACTTCATGATGTTTCACTAATAAAATTTAAAAAAAAAATACAAAAGAAACAGAGAAAAAAATGCAACCAGAGGTCCCTGAGCAGTGTTGATGAAAATCTCACCTGGCTGAGGAGCCTCTAGCCTCGCCCCATTTCCTGGAGCCCTGGTGGTGCACACAATCTTTCGGGGGGACACGTGTCTGATAGCACATGGAAGACCTGAGGAGAAATGCTTCATTAGATAGATGCCAGTGATAGAGATCTTGAGTACAGAAATCCTGTCCTAGACTTAGAGCTGAGATGGTGAATCACAGGACCTTGCAAACGTAGGTGAGGCAAAGAACTGGCCATGGGCAGTCCAAGCAACTGAGAAAGCATCCCTCCTGACAGGGTGACACATTGCAAAAAGCTATCACCAAAGTGTAAGCCAGACCATTCAACACTTGCACTGAAGACCACAACACCCTAAAGGAGAAAGAGAATCAAAAGGAATGCACCTGCCACTGAGGCGAATTAGGGGAGGGGAAGGGGGAATTGGGGGCAGGGATGGGAGGGATACTGGGAACATTGGTGTTGGAGAATGGGCACTGGTGGAGGGATGGGTACTGGATCATTGCATGATTGAAACGTAAGCACGAAAGTTTGCAAGTCTGTAACTGCACCTCATGGTGATTTATTAAAAAATTATTTTTTTAAAAAAGTGTATGCCAGGTGGGCATGTTAGAAGCAGCTCAGTGGCAAGAGTTTGTCTTCCAACGCTTATCCAGAGAGAAGACCGCAGGGAAGCACTGGGGTGGGGGAAAGGCTGCCTTTTGAGAGAATGGACTTTTGTGAAGAGAAAACTCCACTGTTGTTGACTTTTGTGAAGAGAAAACTCCACTGTTGAAAACTCCACTCCAAGGTGTGGGATTCTGGAAGAACTTCCAAAAACCAATGAGGTTCTCTACAGGGCATCCAATTTCTGCCACACCTTTGCCGAGTTGTGAGGCCATAATTGGTTTTAACCAGACACAGGTCAGGGACATTAGAACCGATGGCATGATGAGTAGTGAGAGGCAGATTGTTTTTCACCCCCTGTCCATGCCATAGGAGATGTCCAACCCCCTACAGCATTTTATAGACACGAACTGTTTCTTCCGCCACGTCAACTTAGTTACCTGCAATGGTAACCTGGGCGGGACTGTCAAAGAAGTTTCCCGTAATTGTGATATCTGTTCTTCCGCCAAGGCTCCCACTTTCTGGAAACACAGAGAGCAGTTCTATAAGAGAAGCAAAATACACAGAAAAGAAGATGAATCAGAAAATAATACACAATAGAAGTCATTAATAATTTCTTTAGTTTTCTAAGACCATGGGCTGGAGCGATAGCACAGCGGGTAGGGCGTCTGCCTTGCACGCAGCCAACATGGCCGACCCTAGTTCGATTCCTCCTCCCTTCTCGGAGAGCCCGGCAAGCTACCGAGAGTATTCGATATGCCAGACACAGTAACAACAAAGTCTCCAATGGAGACATTACTGGGCCCGCTCGAGCAAATCGACGATCAACGGGAGGGCCTTTCCCTTTACCTTTACCTTTCTAAGACCATGAAGAGTAAAGAAGCTTCTCTCTACCTCCCCCCCACCCCCAGGGCCAGAGAGATAGTACAGCAGATAAGATCCTTGCCTTAACATATGGTCATTCCAGGTGTGAGAACCCTGGCACTGCCTATGGTCCTCCAAACCCCACCAAGAGTGATCCCCGAGCACAGAGCCAGGAGAAAGACTTAAGACTTTCTAGACATAGCACAAACAACACAAAAAGTTTTTTTCTGGGGGGTCTGGTGCCGCCAGCAGGTCTACCTGTACTTGCGGGGTGAGTGCGTCGGCAGCCTGATGGTGTCTTGAGATTTTCAGATACCCCAAAATTGCTGCTGTGCCTTTAGCCAGACCCCAACAGCTTGGGACCAAGTTTATCCAAAAATTAAATGGCCAAAAGTTAGGTATGTGGGAACCACACTCACAAGCCACCTCTGGTTCAGTTATGTAAGCTCATGTATTTGCCTTATTTCAAAGATCCATAGATCTCGAGAGAGATCAAAAGACACAACTAGGGCTGGTAGCGCAGAGGTAAGCCCATGACTGAGATCTCTAAGCCTGCTTGAATTGGGACTGGGCCTCCTCCCTCCAGGTGCCGAGTTTTCCAATAGCTTGGCAGTCACACCCACAAACTGACCCTGACGCCATGTAATCTCATCAACAGCCAAAACCCAGAGACCATAAACTAAAGTTCCCAGAATAGAATGACACAGAATTTCCTGGACATTATATTCTATCCATAACGAGCAATACAAAACAAATCGTCTAGCATTGCCTTTTCGTCAGTTTTGAGTGTTGGTGAGACTGGTGTGAAAATGTTGAATTGTAACCAAAGTAGAGAGAGTATGGGAGAAATTGTCTGCCACACAGGCAGGGGAAAGGTTGGAATGGGCTGGGGGTGGGGGGGAATGCTGGGAATTTTGATGGTGGAAAATGTGCACTGGTGAAGGAATGGGTGTTTGATGATTGTATGACAGAAGCTCAAACATGAAAGCTTTGTAACTGTATCTCAAGGTATGTCAATAAAAAGGGGGGGAAATAATAAAATAAAATTAACATTCTGCATAAAAAAGGTAAAGTGGAAAAAAGTTTTTTTTCTGTAACAGCAATGTAAATGTAAATCATTTTAAAATTCATATAATAAAAGAATTGCCACATAATTATATGCATAATATAGAGAATACAGGATACTTATTTGAAAGGGAAAGGAAATGCATCCACACACATAGTATAGACTGTGATCTAGTGCAGTGCATTGAAGACACTGAATGACAACTGGAGAAACCACCCCCTGCATGGTCTCCCTCTGCGCTCTGGGTCAGTCAACGGCCATAGTCTAAGCAAATGGGATCATAATGTTCTATGCTCATAAGACAAGGCCAAAGGATGGAGGGCAAGGGGACACGGTTCAATATGGTTTCATTTTCCTTCCTGGCAGCTGTCTGCTATGTGAAAAGTAGAAATGGATTGTGAAGGAGGTTGAGAGTGTGGTGGAATAAAAATCTAGCACTGTCTAGAACTATCCTCCCGTTGTTCATCGGTTTGCTCGAGCAGGCCCAGTAACGTCTCCATCGTGAGACTTGTTACTGTGTTTGGTGTATCAAATACATCACGAGTAGCTTGCCAGGCTTCACCGTGCAGGCAATATACTCTTGGTAGCTTGCCGGGCTCTCCAAGAGGGGCCGAGGAATCGAACTCAGGTCGACCGTGTGGGCCTCGTGCAAGACAAACGCCCAACCTGCTGTGCTATCACTCCAGGAATAAAAATCAGTTTCTTGAATTGGCATCTAAACGAAATCTTAAAGGGCAAGGTAGAACTGAATGATAGGGGCAAGAAAGATAAGAATGAAGCCTTAAAAATAAGTGTTTGCCTGAGTCCAGAGAGTGGCAGGAAATTGCACAGTATTAATCTGTTGTCCAAATTTATAAGCAAGGGGTGAAGCTGAAGGAGCAGGCAAGGAGGAGCTCAGAAGCTGGTACCATTTCCCTCAGAGGGTACGAAGTTGTCAGAGATTGCTGAGTAGGAGAGAGACACCAGAAGTGAACTAGTGGGAAGACGGGTGGTGGCTATGAAAAGAATAAATCGACAGCAGAGAAGTGGTAGCCAAGTCCTCTCAGACACCACTGCAACATAAGCCTGGTGTTGTAAGAGGTGCTGGGTCCAAAAGTAGGTAGCAGTTGTTGAGATTGATTAAATGTTTCAAGTCTAAGAAATAAATGGGAGGTTGGGAATATATCCAAGAGAGGCAAAAAAGTATAGTCGAAGTGACATCTGCACTTGTTTGTTTACTGCAGCACTCTTTACAATAGCCAGAATCAGGAAAAAACCTGAGTGCCCGAGAACAGATGACTGGATAAAGAAACTTTGGTACATTTACACAATGGAATACTATGCAGCTGTTAGAAAAGATGAAGTCATGAAATTTACATACAAGTGATACTACATGGAAAGCATCATGCTAAGTGAAATGAGTCAGAAAGAGAGGGATAGACATAGAAAGATTGCATTCATCTGGGGGATATAAAGTAACAAAATATGAGATTAATACCCAAGAATAGCTGAGATCAGCACCAGGAGGATTACTCCATAGCTTAGTGGCCAGTCAGGCATTCTAGAGGAAAGGACAGCTCAGATAGAGAAGGGAGCACCAAATAAAGGGTGTTTGGAGGATCCTCCCAGGAGGGGAGATGCATGTTGAAAGTAGACTATGGACTGAACATGTTTGCCACTCAAGGCCTCTTTTGCAGACCACAACACCCAAAAGGAGAGAGAGAACAAAAGGGAATACCCACCACAGAGGCGAGGTGGGATGGGGGGGATGGGGGTGCGAGGGATACTGGAATCCATGGTGGTGGGAAATGGGCACTGGTGGATGGATGGGTATTTGATCATTGTATAATCGAAACTCAAGCACAAAATTTTTAAGTCTACAGCTGTACCTCGGCAAGCTACCGAGAGTATTCGATATGCCAGACACAGTAACAACAAAGTCTCCAATGGAGACGTTACTGGGCCCGCTCGAGCAAATCGACGATCAACGGGAGGGCCTTTACCTTTACCTTACAACTGTACCTCATGGTGTCTCACTAATAAAAAAAATTAAATAAATAAATAAATAAAAATAAGGACTTACAAGTTAATAAATGATATCTGCCTCCCCCTGAAAAAAAAAGAAATTGTACCACTAAGGATTTCTGTAATGCTCACACATCTGTCATGGTGAACTTGTCCATTCTTGGTCAAAGTCCTCACACATCTTTAGTGGAGCTCACCAGAAGTCATAGACTTGACTATCTGTGGAGCGCCAGAGAACACACACTCTGCTAGGGCACCAGGGGTCTCAAGCAGCAGAATCACCAGAATTACTTGGCACATGTGAACAGCACTGGGATTGGATTCAGGACCTCACTCTTACAAAGCAGATACCATTTTCCACTAAGTCAAGTGCTGGTCCATCAGTTGTCACTTCTTTTCTGCTATTTTTCAGAACATAAAAAGATGACTCCCCCTTTTGTATGTATTCAGTCCCTACAGACTTGGTAGAGAAGTCTAAACTTAAGTTGTGGCATCTGTACCAAAATGAAATACTATGCAGCCATAAAGAAAGATGAAATCTGACAGCTGCAAGTTGGATGGGACTGGAAGTGAAATAAGTTAGAGGGAGGACAAGTGTCAGATGATCTCACTCATCTGTGGTACAGAGAAACCAACCAGGGAGACAGACCATATGTAATGATGACAAACCCTTGGTCTTACAAAACCGAGGCTACCAAGTGAGTGAGGGGAGGAAAAGGGGGATTAGAAGTTCCCAAAGGACAATTTTGGGGGGTCTTGGTGACTTTGGTGGTGGTGAAGGGGCAGTAACTTTGTATATCAAAACCACAAAAGTTAACACTATTATAGTCATGTCACCCAGATGGCAATAAATTTAAAATAATTATAATTACTATAATATAGTTGACACTCAAACAAGCAACTTTTTTTCATCCACAATGAAAGGAGTATCCATTAGTGTAGAGATAGCTTCACATATTAATGGCCAGAGGGAATTACCCGGAGAAAAAGGAAGAAGGACCCAGAGTTTGACATGGAGGGAGAGACAGGAACACAAGGTGAAGAGCCGTAATACCTGAATGTGTCTGGTAGAGGAAAAGGTCCTGCTTAGCACTAATCAGCCATGCCGCCTTATCAACCAGTGACCTTCAACAAAAAAAAAAGCATCAGAGTTTGTTTTGGATGAAAATAACATCTGGGCTTGCATCTCTTCCAAGAGAGGCAGGACTGTTTTCACTTCCTCCCTGGTAAGGAAACTCATGAAATTGTCTGTTGTGAGTTTTGTCACAAAAGTTTAGATATCACTCTCTCCTTTTGGGTGCTGAAACCCAAGCACAAAAATGTGTAAGCCTACAACTGTACCCCATGGTGTTTCACTAATAGACATTTAAATAAATACATAAATAAATGATTTTTTTAGAAGTTGAGATGTCAGTTCCCCCTGAGAAGACTGCAAGAAGAGGCTAGCAATGGGTCAGTTTGAATTTTAATTGAGAAAAGTATTCTCTGGAAATCATACGCACTTAAAAGAATGTCACAGCATGAAATAACATGAAAAATGTGACTACAGCTACCATTGAGTTGGACTATGGTAGATACTCAATAGGTAAGACTCTTATTTCTTCCCCCAATAGAAAGGAGAGAAGGCAATTACCTCCACGCATGGAGATGATGGCTTTGTGGCAGCATAATTGTCAGTAGTGTGTCACTATCATCATAATGAAATGAATACCAGCCAGACAACGCACTCTTAAGGAAACTAGCTTAGGAAACATAGACTTTTAAAAATGAGGAGAGGCAAAAAATAAATAAATAAATGAAAAATAAAAATAAGTAAATAAAAATAAAAATGAGGAGAGGCATACAGAAACCCAGAAGATTAATTTTGTGTCTCCACAGGTCAATAATGTTTGGGCCCTTTCTATCATAAAAAAGGCATTTCCTGGAATTGTACAATGTAATCACACTATATATTATTTTAAGTTTACAGTCATATTATAAGATTGCTTCAGGGCTGGAGCAATAGCACAGCGGGTAGGGCATTTGCCTTGCATGCGGCCAACTTGGGTTCGATTCCCAGAATCCCACATCCCATATGGTCCCAGAGCATCGACAGGAGTAATTCCTGACTGCAGAGTCAGGAGTAACCCCTGTGCATCACTGGGTGTGACCCCCCAAAAAAATAAAACATTGCTTCAGAATCACCACATTGAAGCATTTACACTGCTTCAAGATGTGAGGGAAAGACATCATTGTATTCACCCTCCTAATGCATCATTATCCTGAAATTCCCCATTCGATATTTTTCATTATCAGAGTATAGAGAAGGTAAGATGAGAGAAAAAGACAATCTAAGGTGAAGATAAATTTGCTTTCTCTCTACTACTTACTTTCCTTTGTTAAATACTGAGAAACTTACATTCTGGGAGCCTGTAACAGAAAGAAACAGACATTACTAGTGAACCCTGTATGTCTAACTTTGGCAAGCATGAGACCATACATCAGAGGATTTCACACATCCCCATCACCACCCACATCTGTGATTTTCTTGATGGTGTTCAAACAGACATCACCCAGACCTGCGACATCAGCAACACGGCCTCCCAACAGTGAAAGAGCAAATGCTCTTTCACAAAATGAAGTTTGGAGTTAGATTGAACATAATAAATCCTACTCCATAGGTTACTGGATTCAATGTTGTCACCTCCCGTTGTTCATCGATTTGTTCGAGCGGGTCCAGTAACGTCTCCATCGTGAGACTTGTTGTTACTGTGTTTGGCATATCGAATACGTCACGGGTAGCTTGCCAGGTTTTGCCATATGGGCGAGATACTCTCAGTAGCATGCTGGGCTCTCCGAGAGGGGCGGAAGAATTGAACTCGACTCGGCCGCATGGGCCGCGTGTAAGGCAAATGCCTACCCGCTGTGCTATCACTAATGTTGTCACCAGTAGAGCAAAATAAATTTACCAAACTTACAGGTTTACTGTATGAATAAAATTAGTTTTTACTTTAGGGGCTTCAGATTGTATTTTTTAGGACGTTCTCAAGAAACGCTAGTTAGTATTATCATCCTCTTGAGAATGAACTCTTAGACTTAACAGCTCTATTTATGTTTTTGTAGGGTGGTTGCCTTGCACGCAGCTGACCCGGGTTCGATTCCTCTGTCCCTCTCAGAGAGCTCGGCAAGCTACTGAGAATATCCGCCCTCACTGCAGAGCCTGGCAAGCTCCCCGCGGCTTATTCGATATGCCAAAAACAGTAACAACAAGTCTCACAATGGAGACATTACTGATGCCCGCTCAAGTAAGTTGATGAACAACGGGAGGACAGGGCTACAGTGCAGGGCTACAATCATAGAAAAGGAAATGGAATAGTCTCAAGGTTATGCTAATTGTTAGTTTCAAAAGTGGTAGAGCACATGCCTGGCATATGTAAGGCCCTGGGTTCAATTCCCAGCACTGCGTGAACCCCAGGGACACAAGGTATGTCCCTGAAGATCCCTGAAGAGTGCCAGGGTGATGCTAGTGGTCCCCGTAACTAGAGAACTAGAGCAATGTCATGTCATCAAGGTCTCATGTTGAAACTTTTAGCCCAGTTCAACCCAAGTTGGCCCAGTTGAAATGGTTCCCGAGTCCCCGGCACATTGTTTTCTGAGAATGTCCCAACCCTCAAAAAAACCCTTGTTGTTTCTTGGGACTGGAGCGATAGCACAGCGGGTAGGGCGTTTGCCTTGGACGCGGCAGACCAGGGTTCGATTCCCAGCATCCCATATGGTCCCCTGAGCACCGCCAGGAGTAACTCCTGAGTGCATGAGCCAGGAGTAACCCCTGTGCATCACCGGGTGTGACCCAAAAAGCAAATAAATAAATAATTTTTTTTTAAAAAGCCTTGTTATTTCTCAAGCAGACCTATGTAGTTGCCTTCCACGCGGCACTGCAGAGTTCCAAGACCATGGTATTCCTGAATAGGGTAACTAGAGAAAAAACAAAAACTGAAAGTGAGAATCCCAAGACAATGCAGGTCAGAAGTTTCATGTTTTTATACAGGAGAATAAAAATGATAACAAGAATGCAATAAAATGAAAACTATCCAGAGAAAATTGGTAGAAGATAAACATATAATGAGATCATGGTACAAATAATTAGGATGGTACTGACTAAAGTTGCCATCAAAACATGTACCAGCAGTCTAACCCATGGTGTGAGACACAAGTGCTAACCCCCTTCACTCCTTTCTTTCCAATATCCGTTTTATGAGAAGGATAGCAACATGCTTATGGAGACGTTACTGGGCCCGCTCGAGCAAATCAATGATCAACGGGAGGGCCTTTACTTACTTTACTTTACTAAACTTCCCATAAAGGGCAATCCCAAGCAAGCAGACTGAAGCCACTAGGAAGGAACCATATTATAAAACTTGGCTTGGTGCACGCTCACTCCCAAAATTCAAAGTCATATAAAATTCTCAAGATAGGCCCAAAGGAAGGTTGTCAGTGCTGAGTGATCTGAAATTCAACAACGTTTTTTTATCTGAACTGTGAGCAAGTAGATACTCAGACACAATGTCTAATTGCATAAATCATAATTAATTTGAAAAACAAAAACCAAGCAAGGAGATAGATGTTATAAAATGATAATAAACTGATTTAATATGGTCATGGAACTTACAATAATACCAAACAGGAGTATAGTAGTGGAATCAAGGCTGCAAATAGTACCCAGAGCATACCCAGGGGTGCCCAGGGGTGACCTCTGAGCACAGAGCCAGAAGTAAGCCCTGAACACTTGAACCAGAATTTAGATCTTTTCCAGTAAGATAAATATAAAGCAGCCAACAGTTACAGGTGAATCATATTTTCAAAACAGGCGTGTGAGAGCACATGTCTGTACATTACACTTTAGTGGCAGAAGCTAAAATCACATGTGTTGGCAAGAATGACACTCACCTACTTCCTGTCTTCCTGTTTATATACGAGCATGGAGTGACCCATTCATCTCCTTGGGCTTCCAGAATCAATGGGCTGAATTTTTAAAAAAATAAATAAATAAAAGAGAAGAAGAAAACAAAGATACAAGACAATTCTGCACTATTCCCAGCAAATATTTTGATACTCAGAGTTGCTCCATTTCCTACAAACATCGCAACACCAATATTTTTCTTAGTGTTCTCTCTCCCTGGCATTGATGATTGAGTAGGAACTACTCTCCAGTGGTAAAAGTCTCCCGTGAAAAAAAAGTTATGTTGACCATCTGAATCATTCCAGTGAACATTAGAAACTTTAATGACTTTCCTGTACCTTTCCTCACATTTTTCTCCAGTCATACCAATAGAACTTATAAGTGTACAAATGGATAACAAACAAACCAGGAAGTTATAAAGGTCTCTCTCTGGGATGCAATTTTATAAATAATTTATTGCAGCCTGAGAAACAAGGGGGAGAAGAGAAAGAATCGAAAAAGGAAAAACCACAGATGCAATTACAGTACAATTCACACTGAGCCCAGAGTGACTAGTTGTCAGTAAATAAATGGACCGACTTAATCGACCAGTTGCAATTACATTAACAAAGTTTGCTGAAGCCCAGCTCACCAGGGACTATAAACTGCAAAGAGGAAAAGAGAGATTCTGTGCCAACTGCTTACAATTTATTGCTATTGGGAGGCTAGACCCAGGAAGCAATCCAGAGTATTTGTAACTCATTCCACACAGCGAGAAAATCCATGCTTACCTATCAATGTACTCAGCATCCAAATCAAAACTTTCCAATCTTCCTGTCATAATCCGGCCATACACATGTATGATTTTTCCTGTTTTGGAAGAGTTCAATAGTTTTTAACATACACAGGTCAGGTGATAGTACAGTGAGTAGGTACTTGCTTTGCACACAACCTATCAGAGTTCAATCCCCTGCATCTCATAGGATCCCTTGATCCCCACCAGGAGTGATCATCGAGCACAGAACCAGGAGGAATGCATGACTACTGCAAGGTGTGGCTCAAAAACACACAAAATGCTTCAATATACAGTTGTATCCCTGATTTCCAATTTTTTTTTACATCATTTCACTTTTATGAAGGACCTATATCAAGTACCTATTTTCATTAACTCAAAGAAATCTAGACAGGATTAGCAATTTAACAACAAAATTCAAAATACAAAACCAGCATTGAGCATATTTCACAAATAGCTATTTTACTTTTTGTTAATTTCTTTTTCATTGAATCACCGTGAGCAACACTTACAAAGCTTTCATATTTGAGTTTCAGTCATACAATGATCGAACACCCATCCCTCCACCAGTGTACGATTTTCCACCACCAACGTCCCCAGTATCCCCCCCATCCCTACCCTTGTCTCTATGACAGAAAATTTCCCCCATACTCTCTCTCTACTTTGGGGCATTATGGTTTGCAGTACAGATACTGAGAGGCTATCACGTTTAATCCTTCATCTACTTTCAGCACATATCTCCATCCCGAAAGATTCCTCCAACCATCATTGGCTTACTGATCCCTTCCCTATTCCATCTGCCTCTCTTCCAACTCATGAGGCAGGCTGGCAACTATGGAGCAATATTCCTGGCCCTGTCTCTACTGTCCTTGAGTGTCATGTTTGAATTTCAGTCATACAATGAAATAGTCTCCTATTATGTTATTTTCTATTCCACAAATGAGTGCAGTCATTCTATGTATGCCCCTCTCTTTCATTTTGCTCATCAAGATACTCTCCATAACCATTCAATTATAAGCAAATTTCATGACTTCATCTTTCCTAACAGCTGCATAGTATTCCAGTGTGTAGATATACCAAAGTATTTTTTAACCAGTCATTTGTTCTCGGGCATTTGGATTGTTTCCAGAATCTGGCTACAATAGTATTTTAGAGATAGCATGCACTACAAACAGTAAGAATGGAACCCCTAAGTGATTACTCCATAGCTAAGAGGCCAGCCGGGTATTCTAGGGGAAAGGACAGTTCAGATAGAGAAGGGAGCACCAAATGGAGGGTGTTTGGAGGATCCTACCAGGAGGGGAGATGCAGGTTGAAAGTAGACTGGACTGAACATGTTTGCCACTCAATGCCTCTTTTACTGATCACAACACCCAAAAGGAGAGAGAAAACAAAAGGAAATGCCCTGCCACAGTGGCAAGGGGGGATGGGGGGAATGGGGGGGGGAGGGATATTAGCCTTGGTGGTGGAAAATGGGCACTGGTGGAGGGATGGGTATTCGATCATGGTATAACCGAAATCCAAGCACAAAAATTTGTAAGTCTACAACTGTACCTCATGATGTTTCACTAATAAAAATTAAAAAAAAATTTACTCCAAATTTATATGACTTAGGTATTTAACATATTTCTGCAAATCAATGCTATTTTATGTATTGTGTGTCATTTGGTATGATCTAGATGGTTATATTTTAGGGTATGGGAATGCTCAAAATTTTTTCAATATAAATTCATAATTGCTTCTGTGACTTTCTCCATTTCTTGAACACTCTACATGAGAATCGTGTAGTTAGCTCAAACCTTATTATTTTTATTTATTTTTCGGATTTTGGACATACTCCATGGTGCTCAAGGATCAGTCCCTGTGGGCTCAGGGGACCGTATGGGATGGCAGGGATAGAACCCAGGTTGGCTACATGGAAGCCCTACCCATTATTAACCATCTTTATGGCCTCCTATAGGCTCACACCTTAAGCGTAAAACATAACTGTATTTTTAGTTACATCAGTTCAAGATAGTCAAACCTGTCATTATTCAGACTATTGGCTGCTTTTTATAAACTGCTCATAAGGGAAGAATAACAAGTATGATCCATCCAGGAATCAATATAACATATACCAACAATTAAATAACCAATTAGTGCATCATAAATGAAATCAGCTATATATGGAACAAAGAGGAATTAATGGGTCTTCCTCACATTCCAGAAAATAAGAGGATTTCAAGGGGGAGAAATTGATTTCCACAAAGCCTGTTCTACTCTCAGCGTTGTTCAGTCCATTAAGTGTGGAATTGAACGTGCCTTGGGGTGCTCTCTGTTTCAGGAAACTTTCCTCAGGATACTTCCTAATGTGAATATATGAGGAGGCTCAGGTTGTCTGATCTCTATGGGTATTCAGGGACACTAAATATTTTCCATATAGGAGCATACAAAAGGTAAATGTCATGGGTCATTGAAATGGACAGGATATAAGCAAGCAGTAGCAGCTTAGTTAATGGTTTAAAAGATGGACAACTAATATTCCATTCACTCAACAAAATGCTCATATTAAGACCCCCAAAAATTAATTATCAGAGAATAGTTGGCATTTGCTGACTCCCCTGATAAATGGCTGAATTCTTGACTAAGCCTCTTCCATTTGACTTTCAGGGATTTCCAATGAGTAGCAAGTTTTTTTTTCTTAATTGCCTTTAGCTTGAGTAGAATGAGGGTGCAATCATCAGAAATTCCTTTCCAGCAATGTCTCAAATGTCTCAAATCTAATCCCAACCCTCTCTGCTCTAGTTAGAAAAGAAAACCAACCAGATTTCTCTGAAAGAGTTTGGCCACCTTATTTAGATTCTACCTGAGCTGCTTTTCCTCAGAGTTGAAAAAGATCTAAATTCAGTCTAAGTAACTGCATGAGATGAAATATTAAGCAAGCACAGCACAGGAAGATGATGTAGTCAAAGTTCAGCACACAACCTCCAACCTGGAAATATGTCTTCCAAACAATCAAACAACAGTGCTGGAATCTTCCAGCCTTGCCAATTCTGCTGAACAGTGAGAGAGGTCTTAGCTAATGAGGAAAAACCTGCACCTAGAAAAAGGGCACCTCTGGGGTTCATGAGGTCACTGTGTTTAGGTGACAGCGAATCTCTCTCTGGCTGTATGTGAGACCATGAATGCACATTACCCAGAAAGGCTTCCCTTCAATCTGTGCCTGCGTTTGAGCAGTATAAAGTGACTCATCTTCACCAGACAGCAGAAACTTTCAGGAATTATCACACCCACTTTACAGGCCAGTAGGTAAAAATAGAGAAAACCCACCGGAGTGGGGAAAGCTTTTTCCCACCTAGCGCCATTTAAGTCGTTATAATATCATTCCTGGGCTATACAACACAGGTCAGTGCAGGCAGCCAACAAGAATATGTGTCCGTCTCATCACATATCAGGGTCAGACTATACGTTTTCTCGTCTTATTTGATAATGAAGGTCATTAGATTGGAGAGAATCATGAGTCTAAAGCTTTCTACTACTGCGGAACTCTGAAAAAAATAATTTCCTTTTCTTTCTAGAAGACTGAACCATCAACCTCCTGACTTGGGTAAGACGACATCTAGCACCAATGAACATAAATTTTTAAAACCAATAGTAAGTTATAGACAATGCACAGTGGAAGGGCATTTGCCTTGCATGTGGCCGGCCCGGCCGAGCAGGGTTCGATTCCTCTGCCCCTCTCGGAGAGCCCAGCAAGCTACCGAGAGTATCTCGCCCACATGGCAAAGCTGGCATGACGTATTCAATATGCCAAACACAGTAACAAGAAGCCACACAATGGAGGCGCTACTGGGCCTGCTCAAGCAAATCGATGAACAACGGGAGGGCAGTACTACAGTGGTACAGTAAGATATAGAAATGGGTAATTGTTGAGTTTCTCAACAAAGAGGCTTAGAAACTGCTAAAGCAGACAAGGTTGGACAGAGGGTTTGGGGGGAGGGAGGAGGAGGAATCCTGTATCACAATAAAGGATTGGAAATCACCTTTCAACATTCAACTGCTCTCAATGTCCTCTCTCCTTTCCCCACACACCTCCCATATCCAGTCTGCTGCTTTAGGCAGGCTTCTCCAATAAACTCAGTGTAATAATCTGGAAAGTGATTACAAAGATACAGCTGTATGGACCCTGCCCAGAAGGACCACTCCATCCAGACCAGCCACCAGTCATTCCTTCCAGAGGGTGGAGAACTCAGACGTGGTCAGAGAACCAGATGTGACAAATCTGTGTGCCATCCTATTCCACATCTCAGCTGCTGCCTCCTTCCTCACCTCTTGCCCTAACAAGACGCTGCCATCTAAAAGAAACCTCTTAATACCAGAGCACCAGGGAAAGTTCAATCACTACGGGTGAGAAACTCAAGCTGGATCCATATCTTACACCTCACATAAAAGTCAATTCAAAGTGGATCAAAGCCCTTGAAATCTGACTGGAAACTATAAAGCACATTGAAGAAAATAGAGGCAGAGCACTTGAAGATTTGAACCTCAAAGGTGCCTTCAATGATCTGATTACCATCAGCAAAGGCAACAAAATCAAAAATAAACAAATGGGACTACATAGAGTTCAAGAGCTTCTGTATGGCAAAAAGAAAAAAGAAAAAACCCATGGGCTAAAACTAAGAATTATTAACTGAATGGGGAAAAAAATTATATCTATCTATATATATATATATATATTTGCACTCAACACATCAGATAAAGATTTGATATCCAGTCCAGGATATATATAGTACAAACAAAGATCAACCAAAATAAATAAAATTCAAAAACTTTACCAACAAATGGGAAGAGGAAATGAATAGAGACTTCTCAACGAAAGATAGCTAGGTCATCAGTAGACACACAGAAAAATGCTCCACATTGCTTATCAGAGAAACCCAAAACAAGATAAACCCAAATCAATGAAATAGCATCTCACATTACTGAGAATGGCACATACCAGTTACCCCAGTGATGAGTGAGGGGTATAACCAGAGATCGAAGACACAGATTCAACAGAACTGAAAACATCAGATCTAAGCTGCAACCAATGAAACTTTGTAATGTGCTTGTCAAGTTGACAAGGGATGGGGTGGGAGTTGGGGTGGGGAGGGGTGGGGTGGCAAAGGGAAGCTGACACTGGTGGAGGGATTGGTGTTAAACTATTATCTGCCTAAAACTCAACAATCAGGAATTTTATAAATTATAGCTCTTTAGTAAACAAAACAAAAAACACTGTCCTCCCGTTGTTCATCAATTTTGCTCGAGCGGGCCCAGTAACGTCTCCATTTTGAGACTTGTTGTTACTGTCTACAGCCGAAGACCTCCAGGACCAGCCACCACCATGCTGAGACCACTCTTTGCACACATGAAGGTACCGGCAGAGGAACAAAGGCACGCAGAGCCCGGGGCCGAGATCTCCAAGCCTACTCAGGTCGGGTCTGAGCATCCTCCACCCAGATCCTCCGAATTCCAGTAGGCGGGGGTCACACCCACCAATTGGCCCCCTGGCGCTGTGTAATCCCATCAACGGCCAAGACTCAGAGACTATAAAAACCAGCTCCCGGAAGAGAACAGTGCAGACATCTTATTATGACATCTTATTATCTCATTCCTACTTTGGACAAACTGGCAGGCTACGGAATGTAGCCTGCCCACATGGCAGAGTCTGGCAAACTCCCCATGGCGTACCCAATATGCCAAATACCAGTAACAATGATGGGTCTCATTCTCCTAAAGAGCCTTGAATATAGCACTTTCTTTAAAATCTCAGGGCTAGGATGAAGGAAACGTTACTGGGGCCTGCTCGAGGCAATCGACGAATAACAGGATGGTCGTGATTCGTGATTCGTGTTTGGCATATCGAATACATCACGGGGAGCTTGCCAGGTTTTGCCGTGCAGGCGAGATACTCTCGGTAGCTTGCCGGGCTCTCCGAGAGGGACAGAGGAATTGAACTTGGCTCAGCCGGGCTGGCTGCATGCAAGGCAAACGCCCTACCGCTGTGCTATCGCTCCAGCCCCTCTTTAATAAACATTTAAAAAATTAAATTTAAAAATACCAGAGCACCAAGGACTCTGATTTCTACGTGCAATTTTTCACAGGCCACATCTCTTTTTAATAAAAAAAAATGCTCCTGTCTCGATTCTTCAGAGCACAAGAAATTGAGACCAGGTCTGTGAATAACCCACACTAATAAGATCATGTCATATTATATTCCTTTGGATATAAGTGATTCACATGCACATAAAATCTTTGTCCCACACCCAAATGGACACTTTCCAATAACGTAGATATTTGTTTTGACATTTGTGGGCTGTCATATCATTCTCAACAACTAGGTCAGTTTATGCATTTAGACACAACTGACCACACATAAAAATTTAGCAACACATGTTCCCATACATACACTGTTCTGGAAATCCTGAACAAATGGAAAACACGAAAGAGATAGAGGCATTTGCCAAGAACCCGGCAGCGATAATCCTCACTCTGTTTACTGCTTAGTTTTAATATAGACTTAGCAGTTCCTGAATCTATTTCTTAAATCTAATCCCTTCTCCTTTCATGTAAATCCCACGGCTTTCTCTGCTAGTCTCCTAGCCTTTTCATATCTGTGTGCACTCAAACAACCTCCTAGGATAAAGATCAGGAGGCGCAGCCTTCCAAGTGGGTCCAGTACTGTTCAACACAGAACCAAATGTCAGACAAGTGGGCCCTTCTAACTGCCGGGTTTAAATCTCGGTTCTTCCATTGTTAGTAATATGAGAAGGCAAGTAAATGCATTATTCAACTTTTGGTATTTTCTTTCTTTGTCTACAACATGAAAATAACATAACACTGGTTCTCGTGTGTGTGTGTGTGTGTGTGTGTGTGTGTGTGTGTTTGAGGATTCCGACAGGATAATGCATGTCAAAACCTGAGAACTGTCATTCAGAATCTGAATGACAGTGAGATTCAGTGAAGGTTTGTTTCTGTGGAGTTGAGTGTAAAGCTAAGAGCCAAGAGTATTTCTCTTTTTTTGGTTTTTTGACAGCACCTGGCCTCTTTTCCTTTTCATGTTTAAATTCCATTTGCTATCAGCAAGGTAATAGAACAAAAGTGCCCAGAGGGGAAAACAAACCAGGTCAGAAAGGAACCAGAGGTGGACACTTGCTTCCAAAATAGTAATCATTTATATTTAATGCAATTTATATATAAATTTAATATAAAATCACGATCACGATCATCCTGTTGTTCATCGATTTCCTCCAGCAGGCGCCAGTAACGTCTCCTTCTTCCTAGCCCTGAGATTTTAAAAGAGCCATTTCAATGCTCTCTCAGGCTTAGGAGAATGAGACCCGTCATTGTTACTGGTATTTGGCATATTGAGTACGACACGTGAAGTTTGCCAGGTTCTGCCATGCGGGCAGGGTACTTTCGGTAGCCTGCCAGGTTCTCCAGAGGAAAAATAAGATAATAAGAATAATAAATTTATAAATATATAAATTTCCCATTTGTAATGACCGTCCACCTGTATAGAAGGGTTTTCAGTACTTTGACCAAGGGATGCTGAATTATTCCAGTGTTGATAGATCCCTTACCTGGAACTCCACTTGATGGACTCACTTGGTGAACAATGGGAGTCTGTGCCCTGGAAAACTTTAAAAATATGATCACAAGTGAGAATTTCATCATGAGAATTTCACACAAACATGAGAAGTGCAAGCCATGGGAGCTGGCCATTTGCCATGCACATGGTGACCCAGGTTTGATTCCTGATCTACAGGATCCTGCATGGTGACCCAAACCCGCCAGGAGTGGATAATTCATAACTGTATTTCCTCAAATCTCCCTTGCATCCATTTCTTTTTATTTTCATCATATTTCTGTGAAGCCTGGATGATGGATATCACTAAGTTCTTCTATAGTGGATGTAAAGGGAACTCAACCAAGACCATGCAAATCACTCTGTCATGTACCACCTCAGAGTCCACACCTTTACCAGCCTGTTTCTGTCTATCCATCTGTCATTCCTAAAGCAAAAAAGGTATGTTTAGCTTTAGGATGCCAACTTATTATTCCATTATTATATCTTGTTTCATGACACTGTATCATGCGGATTTTATCTTCTAGGCAATAATTCGCTTGTTTTGATGTAAAGGGTTGTAATTTAAATTGTTATCAGCCCATGCTTTGGTTTGGATTAGCAAGCAACAAAAAGTTGGAAGATGGATGTTTCTCAGAAATATGGACGGTATCTGTTGGGAGACAAATATTCTGATGATTCCAGGAATCAGAAACATCTCCTTGTCCATTTTTTGGGAAGGAAATAGCATTGATGCTTTCAGGTGTGGTGAGAACCTACAAAAGTCTGATAATGGTACTGTGAGTAGAGTGTTTTTCTGGCACATGTCCAACATGGGTTAGACCCCCAACATTTCATGTGGTCCCCTGGGATTGCCAGGAATTATCCCCAACTGCAAAGTCAGGAGTAAACCTGAACACCTCCATGTATGGCCCCCAAACTAAAAATAAATAAATAAATAAATAGATAGATAGATAAGTCTGATAACAGCACTCCAAAATCATCTTGCAATGCCTGCTATCCATTTACATCATCTGCTAACTATCTGTTCCAGAAAAGTGGGGACAGTGCATAACTTGATCATTATTGGGTCCTTGTGCATAACCTGATGTAAAGATATTCACATTTTTGAGAATAATATCCCATCTACAAAGACTGATACACCACATAACAGCAGAGGGGAGACAAAGACAGTCTGAGAACTCGATCACCCCTATAGATATCTGGGTTAGTCTGAGATTAATGTGCTTTACAGTCAGGGCCCAGAAGAATCATGGTGTGACCCAGGAACTAAAGACTCAATAAAAGACCTATTAGCCTCTCCTCCTACTTCTCCTTCCTGCAGTCTCCTTTAGATGCCTGAACATTTTATCCCCACCACTTAACACAGTTTCCCATTTGCAAAACTAAGGATGGTGAATTGGATTTTGTTTTCTGGTTTTTGTTTGTTTGGGTGCAGGGTTCTTTTGGTTTGAGGGAGTGTATGTGGTGCGTTGGGGGTGGGGGAGGGAGCAGGGGCATTATTATTTATGATCATTTTAACTTGGTCTGCTTCCAGCACCCTAGGACACAACCTTCCCAGGGAGCATATCATCAAAGCCCTCATTAATCAACAGCCCTTATCAGACCTGGAGAATCAATTGACATTTCAACAAAGTTAATGGCAACTTGGCAAGTGGAGGCTTTGAAGTATTGATCCACAGGGCAGTGCTGTCTGCCAATAAGACTAGTTTTCTTCCTCTACAAAGGAAAGAGTTAGAAAACAGTTCACATTTAAAAAAAAAAAAAGCCCACACAGTCAAAGGGTTCACCATAAGAATGCTGTGACTTCACTAGCTCAGTAAGGTGTGATCTCACCAAAAGATGCAGATTACTACATTTCACGAACACTTGCCAAGCATACTGGCCTCCCATCACCCAGGGCCCAAGACCTTCCTTTGCCCTTATTTATGCCATAGTCATTCCCACTGACACTTCATTTTCAGAGTCAAATGAAGTAGAGAGAACTTTGAGTACCATCCCTTCTCCCAGATGTTTAGAAATGGTAACGGATGTGATCAAGTCCAAATCAAAGGAGTGTGTCAATTTCCAATATGAACTATCAGATCTACCACTCAGTGTGCGATCCTTCTACCAAAGCTCTGGGGTGAGGAGGGCGACTCTTTCATCACTCTATCCTAAATCATCAGTGATGGGGGAGCTGGCTCAGAGTTCAACCTCACAAAAAGAACTTCTCTCGGAGTGATTCTCTCAGAGTTCACACAACATTAAAAAAAAAAAAAGAAAAAAATTGTAACTTTCTAAGAGAAACAGGAAGGTGGTCACCCACCAAGGCTGAGATGCGACAAAGTGAAAAATTAATGAGCTTCCAAATCAAGCTTCCCACCTGCTGATCCCCGAGCCCCGGTGGGGTCAGTGGTAGCAAGATGAGGGTGAGAAGATTTGAGGGAGAAAGTTAGATTTGAGGGAGAAAGTCACCGCCACCAGCTGTTTGATAAACCTGTGGGTTGCTCAAACTTGTCAATGCCTGCAGCAGATGCTTTGGAGTGGACTGGCGGGATGGAATTAAATTTTAATACCCATGGTTCCCCAGTCCCCAAACAAAGACACACAGAGTTTTATTTAGCTTGGAATGTCTCTCATTAACTGCAACCCCTGGTGATTTTTCATCAACTCACCAAGCCAGTTGGACCACTGAAGGACTTGTTTTCTTTAATGTGCAATTTGGGGACATGTTTTTTTTTCTCTTCTAAAGCCCCTTGCTTTACTTTCCCACCTTTAATAAGTAGGAAAACCACTCTCTGGGGTGAAAGGAACATCAAAACCAAAAAGCTGTTTGGTGATTAGGAAGCCTCCTCGGTCTTGTCTCTTCTGTTATATTCAGTGAGACAGTATAGAGGTTGGAGGTGCAGGTACTAACAAGAAGGAATGCTTTTTCATTTCCCCTTTTTGCTTCATACGTGCAGAAGCAAAATTCCAGGAAATGAGACTCAGACTGAGAAGCAAGTTTGCTCAGTCTAAGTGGACAGCAAATTTCAAAATTGAAAATGACATTGCCTATGGAAATGGTGGGTTATGTCTGAGAAGAGTGAAAATGAAGTTTTCCTCTGAGCAGCACTAATTGGGCTCTGATGAGAATCTCTGATGGGAAGACAGTGGGTAGTGCCACCAGGTCATGGGGTCACAGCCAAATCTGCCTTCTAGGAAGTCTTACAGTTTCAGGGAACATTTTCTGGAAAAATAAATCGAAAATGAGCAGTGGACCAAAGCAAACATAAAATTGAGCTATTGTATGCATATTGGTTTTTAAAAATAAGGGGCTGGAGTGATAGCACAGCAGGTAGGGCGTTTGCCTTGCACGTGGTCAACCCGGGTTCGATTCCCAGCATTCCATATGGTCCCCCAAACACAGCCAGGAGTAATTCCTGAGTGCATGAACCAGGAGTAACCCCTGTGCATCGCTGGGTGTGATCCAAAAAAGCAATAATAATAATAATAATAAGTTGGACAAACTGGCAGACTACTGAATGTAACCTGCCCACACAGCAGAGTCTGGCAAACTCCCCGTGGCGTACCCAATATGCCAAATATCAGTAACAATGATGGGTCTCATTCTCCTAACCCTGAAAGAGCCTTGAATATGGTACGTTTTTAAAAATCTCAGGGCTAGGACGAAGGAGACGTTACTGGGGCCTGCTCGAGGCAATTGACGAACAACAGGATGGTCGTGATCATGATCGTGAATAATAAGTCAACCATTGGTTTATGAACACACATACACATTCTCTCTCTCTCCACTCTTTTCACCTCCCCCTCCCTCCTTCCTTTGTTTTTTCTTTTGCCCTATCTGAACTTGAAGAACTCATCAATTCCCTTTTAATCTGAGATAGGAAATCATCCACGAAGCAGAGGGCCAAGTGAAAAGTAGGTGTCCAAGAGCTTCACCAGCTAAGAGTTAGGATCTTCTTAGCGATCAATAATGCAATATTGTATTCTACCCAGAAGCCATCTATATGAACCTTCTGGGAGCTTCGGTTTAGATAAGGACTTAAGAGTCAGATGCAAGCTCTAGGAAAATTATTTCATCTCCATCAGTCTCAGCTTGCTAATCTATAAAAACAGAATTATGGGGCTGGATCGATAGTACAGCCGGTAAGGCATTTGCCTTACATGTGGCTGACCCGGGTTTGATTCCCAGCATCCTATATGGTCCCCTGAGCACCGTCAGGAGTAATTCCTGCATGCAAAAGCCAGGAGTAACGCCTGTGGAATGCAGATATGACCCAAAAAGCAAAAACAAACAAACAAACAAACAAACAAAGAATAATGAGAACCAACCCCATAAACTAACCCCATTAATTATTAATGTTCATAAAGCCCTTAGCTAGAGACTAACATACATGTTCTCATCTTCCATTGGTTGAGATTCCCCACCCAAGTTTTCTTTTACCCTATCAAACCAAGATTCTGGCTGTTTTGCTAGATGAAGTTGCCTTATTTAGCAACTTTAATGCTAAGTTCCTTCCTTGCCAATGGACCAGACTAGCAGACCAGCCTCAGCACTCACCTGGAAAGTACAGCTGTCCTGTGGTCCTGAGCCTTCACTGCCTATCACCTGTCCCCCAGAGCTCACTTCCAGGTAGTACAGACCCTCATGTGCACCAGAGGGCAGAGATCTGAGGACAGAAATGGAAAATTCCAATGAGTCATAAGCCATGAACGGCCTAAACTAACGATCCTATGTGGCCGTTTCCAATTCCTTCTCTGTACTTAGGAAACAGAACATGTCAAGGATTTCTGTATTTCAGTAATTACCTTCTAGATTCACTCATCCATGAAACTTTAACATTGGATTTCAGCAAAAGAAGTGGTGGTGTTTTTCACTGAAAGTCACTGAAGTTTAAAATCTTTTATCCTGTTTCTCATAATCCTAAATGTGTAGGACACTAAGATTATAAAAGAAAGACAAATACCAGATGATCTCATTCAGTGTTAATTCACTGTCACTGTCACTGTCCTCCCGTTGTTCATTGATTTGCTCGAGCAGGTCCCGTAACGTCTCCATTTTGAGACTTGTTGTTACTGTGTTTGGCATATTGAATACGTCACAAGTAGCTTTCCAGACTTTGCCGTGTGGGTTAGATACTCTCGGTAGCTTGCCAGGCTATCTGAGAGGGGCGGAGGAATCAAACCCGGCTCCGCCAGGCTGGCTGCACGCAAGGCGAACGCCCTACCGCTGTGCTATTGCTCCAGCCCAAAAACATAAATAAAATGCCAAGTTAGTTCAATAATTATGATTTCAATAATTATGATTGATAATTATTATTTCAATAATTACTATTGTTTCAACATTGTTTTATTTAGAATTTTATTTCAATAATAATAACCATGTTATTCCAATAACCATGTTATGCCAAACACAGTAACAACAAGTCTCAAAATGGAGACGTTACTGGGCCCGCTTGAGCAAATCAATGTGAAAGAATCCATATTAGGGCATCAAATTTTTGCGTGCTTCAGCTAACTTGCAACATTGCTTTCTGTAAAACTGCATGGCTGCTTTGCACCTGGGGGAGAGGGGACTTGGAAAGTGAACAGGGCATAACTTCTTTCTAAACCAAGTGTGACAGGATTCAGGTGTATTTACTGTTCCTGAAATGTATTGTCTCAGTAAAGCACCCTGCAGACTTGGCTAAAGGATAACTCAGGATGCGGTGGTTGGGGGAAATTGCCCTTTCCTGGAGTGTATTGTCTCACTAAAGCACCCTGCAGACTTGGGTAACTCAAAATGTGGATGGTCAAGGGAGATTACTTAAGGCTTAATGATTCGGGCTATAACCTTGCTTGTGCTGACAATCGATGTATGTAAATGCTGATCTTTGAATCTATAGGCTAAGGAGTGAGGTACTTTTAAATGGATTGGTTAAGAAAGCATATGTTGTTACAAATCTATTGGCTATGAAATGTGTGGGCCTTGCTGTAACGGCCAGTGAAGGCCTATATAAGATCCCCTTTGAAGAAGCTCGGGGCTCTCAGCCACTGCCCACTCTGGGGTATGCTGTGGAGCCCCAGCATGCTGGTCTAAATAAACCCCATTTTTACTCCTGCAGGAATTGTGTCTATCTTGTCTCTCCGTGCCTCCCAGGGCTAGGGAACTCCCGATCCCAACAGATGAACAACAGGAGGACAGTGAAATAATAACCATGTTATTCCAATAACCATGTTATGCCAAACACAGTAACAACAAGTCTCAAAATGGAGACGTCACTGGGCCCACTCAAGCAAATCGATGAACAACAGGACAGTGACAGTTTTAGCAGCTGGCATAGAGAAGGGATCACTAAGTCAATGATGGTTAGAAGGATCGTTTGGAATGGGAGATGTGTGCTGAAAGTAGATAAAGGACCAAATGTGATAGCCTCTCAGCATCTATATTGCAAACCATAATATCCAAAAGTAGAGAGAATATGGGGGAAATTGTCTACCATAGAGGCAGGGGGAGGATTGGGATGGGGAGGGGGGGAGGATACTGGGGACATTGGTGGTGGAAAATGTGCACTGGTGGAAGGATGGGTGTTCAATCATTGTATGACTGAAACTCAAACATGAAAGCTTTATAACTGTATCTCAAGGTGACTCAGTTAAAAAATAAGAAATAAAAATAGTTTAATCTATCTGAAAAAAATAATAACTTTTAAAGGTAAAGGTAAAGGCCCTCCCGTTGATCGTCGATTTGCTCGAGCGGGCCCAGTAACGTCTCCATTGGAGACTTTGTTGTTACTGTGTCTGGCATATCGGATACTCTCGGTAGCTTGCCGGGCTCTCCGAGAGGGGCAGAGGAATCGAACTCGGGTCAGCCATGTTGGCCGCGTGCAAGGTAAATGCCCTACCCGCTGTGCTATCGCTCCATTTAAAAAGTTATTTTAAAATAACTTTTAAAATGAAACTTAAACCGAAATCTTAAATCTTAAACCTACTGGTTTAAGTCGGTAAAGAAATAAACATAATAACCTTTCAGTACCTGTATTGCAAACCACAATGCCCAAAAGAAGAGAGAGAGAGAGAGAGAGAGAGAGAGAGAGAGAGAGAGAGAGGTGCCTGTCATAGAGGCAGGCTGGTGGGGGAAGGGTGGAGTGTTGGAAGGGAAACTGGGGACATTGCTAGTGGGAAATAAAACACTAGTGGAAGGACGGGTGATGGAACATTGTATGACTGAAACCCAACCAGGAACAGCTTTGCAACTGTGTGTCTCATGGTGATTCAATAAAAATTAATGAATAGTTAAAAATAAATAAAATATGATGAATCTTTAAAAAAAAAGAAAGTGTTGGAAAGCACTTTAATAGATAATCTAATCCTAGATTCCTTTGAAACAAAATGACAGTTCCAGATAAAGACTTAGTATATGTCAACACCACAAGATAAGGGCATGGTAAGGCTGGAATCTCACTTATAATCTTAGGAATTGTATGATATTCTCATCCTGCAAAAAATAGAAAAGTTCTTAACTTTGCAGTCATCCAAGCAGCCCACAAACACTTCACATACCTATCAAGGGAATCTTATACTTTTCCCCATTTTTTTTAAATATTCAGAAACTTGTCTCTTTGAGTTTGCTATTCATGTTGATTTTTTTTTGTAAGTACAGGAATATCATGACTAAGAAGCTAGATTTAAGATTACCTCACCTCATACTTTCTCACTTAAAATATTATCCACCACAGTAGGTTTCATTTTGCACTGCAGCGTCTTCTGTGCTAAACAGTAACACTCCGCAGTTATTGGCAGTTAAAATTTGGTTAGTTACATTTAAAATATAAGCCTGCTTGGGAGGGATACTGGGATCAGTGGTGGTGGATAATGGGCACTGGTGGAGGGATGGGTCCTCAATCATTGTATAACTGAAACCCGAGCACAAAAATCTGTAAGTCTACAACTGTACCTCATGGTGTTTCACTAATTTAAAAAAAAAAGGGAATAAATAAATAAATAAATAAATAAATAAAAAATAAAATAAAATATAAGCCCGCTAATACACTTACTAGAATTTCAAGGTTTGCTATGCAAAGATATAAAATATTTCATTAATAATTTGTAAACTGAATACATAGATTAAATATTAAAACAATGTTAAATACATTGTGTTAAACTTGTGAAAATTAATCTCCCTTGTTTCTATTTTTTAATGTTATTGCTAGAAGAATTTAAACTATATTTGTATTTTTATTTATATTTTTATTGAGCAGTGGTAATTGTTATGCTACAGTGGCTGTTTTGGCAAAAACTCATACGCCTTTATGTGGTAAATTTGCCATTCATTGATAGGACCATGCACTTATTCCATATTTGAATGTTAATTGAATTTAATATTCATATTCCAGACAATGATTACATTTATGAAGGTAGTATTTCTTTTTCTTTAAAAAGATGATAGATGGGGCTGGAATGATAGCACAGCAGGTAGGGCATTTGCCTTGCATGCGGCTGGGTTCAATTCCCAACATCCCATATGGTCCCCTAAGCACTGCCAGGAGTAATTCCTGAGTGCATGAACCAGGAGTAACCTCTATGCAATGCCGGGTGTGGTCCAAAAAGCAAAAAATAAAATAAAATAAAAAGATGAAAGAGGATCAGTTATATGACTCAGTGGCAATATGTATACCTTACATGCATGAACCCTGAGTTTGATCTTCAGCAGCAAAAAAACTTTTTTTGTTTTAATTAAAAAATTAAAAGGTGATAGAAAAATCAAAGGCACCATATGTTGGCACTGAGCACAACAGAATATTACATTTTCGGCATTTTGAGTTATTCCATAGCAAGTTCTTATAGGACGATGCCTACATAAACTACATAACTTTAGGAAAACATGGAGCCCAGTTGTTAATCCAAGAACAGAACTATAAGGAGGTTCCGTTTCAGCAAGTAACTATTGAGTATGTGCTAAGTACGATAGGATGCCCAGGGTAGGTTAAGTCTATCTTTCACCTTCAAAGCACTTAATTTATAAGAAGACTCTGACAAATGGGCAACTGATGGAGACTGATAAGAGGAAGCGCAAGGTTGAAAATAGAGATATTAAAGCTACTTGTGTTATTGCAAACCATGTCAGTATAAGTTACAAAAAGACCCTTCCTTAGTAGGATGAACTGCACAAAAAACTGAGAAGGATAACTCCATGGATGGGTGTGTTCTGTGCATGTGTCCACGCACATGAATTGCTAAAAGGAGGTTTTCAAAGAAGTGTTACAACCCGAATTTCATTTTGTACTTGCCCCATTTAAAGGAAAAAGAATTACACTTATTTGGATATTTGGGGCTGGAGCGTTAGCACAGTGGTAGGGCATTTGCCTTGAGCACAGCCAGCCCGGCCAAGCCGGGTTCAATTCCTCCGCCCCTCTCGGAGAGCCCGGCAAGCTACCGAGAGTATCTCACCCACAAGGCAAAGCCTGGCAAGCTCCCCGTGAGGTATTCAACATGCCAAACACAGTAACAACAAGTCTCAAAATGGAGACGTTACTGGGCCTGCTCGAGCAAATCGATGAACAATGGGAGGACAGCGTTTGTTTGGATATTTGAGGAAAAGATGGTATTTGCAATAGATATGTTTAGTTAGGATTTCAATCCACAGGGATTGAAGAGGGGAACATCTTCATCAAAGAAAAAGCAAAAAATAAAGGAAGTATCTTTTTTTTTTTTTAGCTGAAGACTTCCTATTAAGTAGCAACTCTAAAATGCAAGTTGGAACTGGACAGACAGCTAGTACAGGAGATAAGGTGTTTTTTTGTTTTGTTTGCAGCCATCCCAAGCTTTATCTTGGCATCACATGGTCATCTGGGGGGTGAGTCAGAGCACAGAGCCAGGAATAGCCCCTGTGCACTACCAGGCATGGCCCCAAAACCAGAGAAATAAATAAAACACAAACCACAACACATAAACTTCATAAATCAACAATTTTTCAATCTTATAATCCTGTAAAAATCGTATCGAATGCAGCAAACACACTGAGAACTAAAGAAAACGTCTTTCAATTTGCTTTTTAGTTTTTACACAATTAAGGCAGTTACATCTATTCCAAAATCTGAGCATTTTTAGTGACAAAATGTCATCACTTACTGAAATCTTAATAGCCATAGAACTCCTTTTTAAAATAAAAGCAACACATGCTAATCCCTCCTTACAAACATCTCAAAATCGTTATCCTTCCTAAAGCCCTTGAACCCCGATAAGAAATTTTTAAGAAGCATATTCTGATGCTACATTTTTTTATATTAAAAAATTTTTAATAGTGAGACATCATGAGGTACAGTTGCAGACTTACACATTTTTGTGCTTGGGTTTCAATTATACAATGATCAAATACCCATCCCTCCACCAGTGCCCATTTCCCATCACCACGGATCCCAGTATCCCTCCCACCCCCCCTCTCCCCCATCCCACCTTGCCTCTGTGGCAGGGCATTCCCTTTTGTGATGCTACATTTTTTAAACTGAAGATATTGAATTGCAGGCACAGCAGAACTTGCTCTCACTTGTGTTCCAAAACTCCTGAGAGAAATAAAACCCTCATCCTGTCTGTTCTCATTCCCCATGAGTATACCTGGTCTTACACATCACGACTGGCAAATCCAAGAAGATAGGAGTGATATCACAGGGGATGCTCAGGGATGCAGGTTTAAACACATTGACCAAGTTTATCTCCAGCTGAGAGCCATTGGCAGGATAAAGAAAATCGGATTCCAGACCTACACACAGAGAAATCTCAGGTTTACAAGAGTTGTAATCCACAAAGACATTATAAAAATCATGGCCACATGGGGGCAATGTGAGACACTGAATCTGCTTGAGGATTCAATTAATATCTTTCACTTCCAAAGCCATTTATTTCTTTTATGGTGTCTCATTTTTTTAACCATATATATGGGTATTCTCATTTATGAGTTTATTAAAAATAATTTTCTAATCAAGGCCCATTTATGTAAATCTGGGATGGGAGGAAATCAGTTCTCAAAGTGACTGTACCAGGTAGGCATAGCTATCAGCATAAATCATAGCCTCAAAGGTCCTGTTATGTAGACTTATACACAAGGAAAACCACCAAGATTCTTTAGGAAACATAACTAGTACAAAGTTATACACTTTCATGTCATCTCATTTCGGTTCCCATCGTTCCCTAACAACTTGGGATAGCACCCACACGAGTAACATGCCTTACTTCTGTGACATCAAGTGAGCGTCTGATGATAAAAAAAGAAAGACAGATTGATCTCTATTTGTGTTTCATCTCTGTAGGATAACACTGTTCTGTCCTTCCTGCATAGTCTCAGGTAGTTCAGGTTTATTGGGTTGCTCCCATCACAGTGTTCCCATTCCTCTGTGTTTATTTGTAACTTCTTTCTTTGTGCTCTGTTGACTTGTAAATATTGTTTTTCTCTTCTCCCTAAAGTCCTTTGCGCAGTTTATTCAGAGCAATGTCCTTTTTGTATGGACACAAGAAGACAGTATGCTGTTTTGTTATGTGACTCTCAGTGACATTTCCCTCCTGGGCATCTGTTCTCTCACCTAAGCCTCAGCTGCCTTTACTTCCTAATGCCCCCAAAATCAGGGTCCCAAAGAGAGACTGGATGGAACTAGTCCATCCAGTAAGCTATGAGCTACCCTGGCATTGAGATGGGCCTGGCCAAAGCGCCATAATGCTTAACTGTAAGTGAAGAGCTTGGTCATGGACAAATGCAGTCATGATCCAAACGTAATAACTAGATTTGGACCCTGCTAGGGTTAGGAAAGATTAATCTGGCCTGAGCGCTGTAGTCTGAGTCTGTGGCAAGATGTTCCCAGGGGAGTTGCCCTACAAGTCTCAATGTTATCTCTTACTGTGTCCATACAAAAATAGCTGGTATTGATATGTTGATAGTTATTGGAAAGAGAAAAACACCTTAGGAGGTATTTTGCCCTTGGGCAGTCTGGAAGGGCTTTAGTATACCTTTTAGGTGGGCCCTCAGGAAGGGCTTTCTTATGTTGATTTGACTATCTGACTGGGGGTAGTGTCAGCCCAGACTTCTAGGGAGTTGGAGAGAGGAGAGAGCAGGGTTGCAAGATGGACCACAGAGAGACTAGCAAGGAGAACGTGTGCTTGAGAGAACCTAGGCCCTCAATAACATAAATTTCTTCTATGAGATAAACTTCCTGTAATAAACTGCTACTAAGACCAACCGGCCTGGCCCTGGTCTCTTCCTTCGTCTGCCCTTGGCCAACAGCCGTCCCCATCCAGGCCACACACAGTGGCTCAAGAGCACCGAAGGCAGGGGGTGAGACAGTGCCGTCCAGAGAACCCGCGAACACACAACCTTCAGCGTGTTTAGTTTTTTACACATCTCCTCTCAGCCCCTATTTTACACTAGTACTTAGTCAAGGCAGAAAGTCAATGATTCATACTTTTTGGTTGTAAAACACTTTTTAGAGAAATAGGGAGAAGGAAAGAGAGAAAGAGTTACCTATTTAACAGAGAAGAACTTCTCCAGAGTGGAGAGAACAGAGTATGTATCTCAGGTTGTGATGTGAGTGATTCCTCAACATAGAGCATAGCCAAAGATTCACACTCCTTAGAATTCTTTTTATCAACAAACATGTAACTTGTAAGACCCCAAACCCACCGTCAAAAATTACTGTGATCCAAGTTCCTCCTGCAAGGCTGCCCTCTTCAGGTACAATGAGGAAACAGGTGCATGACACTACAAATAAGGAAAGATTGGTTTCAAAGGGAAGTTTCAATCTATAGTTTCTCCAATACTAAGGTAAAGGCCCTCCCATTGATCGTCGATTTGCTCGAGCGGGCCCAGTAACATCTCCATTGGAGACTTTGTTGTTACTGTGTCTGGCATATCGAATACTCTCGGTAGCTTCTCCAATACTACTGAAACAAAAGTTCGCATTAATCAGAATCTTCAAAAGAGCTTAGCAAAGAGCCAATTTCTGGGTACCATTATCAGTTTCTGATCCTGTCCGTCTGGGGACGGCCCTAGAATTTACATTTCTTATGAGGGGCTACTGAACAGAAAACCCACAACCTCAATGCTCCTGTTTTAAGGAAAGTTCTAACTGGACCTTCCTCCTAGGCATCCAAATTCCAGTGTTTATCAGGATAATTTTGGATGTCTGTCTACTTCCTTTTGGAAGGGTCCTACAAATACATTTAGCCCCCATTTGAATCCCTAATATCTCTTTTTTACCACTCTTTAATCAGGTGGTTATATTTAATTGTAAAACCACCACTTATTTTTTTGTATTTCCACTCCACCCAAAAAATAAACCTCTAGAACTTTGTTTCAGTCCTGTTCAGTATACATTCTTCAAATTTCCCCCTTTTAGAAGACATAATTAGAAAGACTTCCCAAATAAATATAAAATTCTCAAGAGTTTTGGGGCTGGACAATAGCACAGCAGGTGGGAAGGTTGCCTTGCACGTGGCCGACCCGGGTTCGATTCCTGAGCACCACCAGGAGTGATCCCTGAGTACAAACCCAGGAGTGATCCCTGAGCATCACCGGGTATGACCCAAAAAATCTAAAAAAAAAAAAAAAATTCTCAAGATTTTTTTAATTTACCTTATTAGAGAAGAATTGAAACATGGGAAGAAGGAAGTGCTAGAACATTTTTTTTAAATAATAGTATAGATTTCACAAGGTAAACTAGATTGGGTTCTCCATTAGACCCCAACAGTCAAGTGTGACCTTATTCAGTCTCCATTTTTGCAGAAACCTCGGGTCATGCTTTGGTCAAAGAATAGCCAATTAAAGAAGGCATTGTCTGCCATTAATTGTTAAAATAAGCTACTCCTTGGGGGAAAACAAAGTTTAAAAAGAATTATAAAATATGTTCAGAAAGGAATTCCTTTTGATGAAGGTTAGAAGTAACAGCTGAGCAAGGAAAAAAAAAGATTAAACTAAAAACAATATATCTCAAAAAATAAACCTCACCACTTCCTCCCAAAACAATAATTTAAGCATCAATAAACTCGTTCTTAAGGGAATCTGTTGTATTCTCTCTTTGATTCCTTAAAAACACACCGCACTTACCAGTCATAAGCAGTATTTCAACACTTATCATCGAGATCAGACAGGCAGACATCATATCCACTTAAATCAATTGTCACAACACTGCTTTGGCATCTTCAGTTTTGATTAGAGCAACATATCACTGGTGCTTAATTTAAAAAATAAAAATGTACAATGTATTATTATATTTTGGTTCATCTTCTAGTACTTCTCCATGTTTAAACTTGTGATACTGGGGCTGGAGCGATAGCACAGCAGGTAAGGCATTTGCCTTGCACGCAGCCAACATGGCCAACACAGGTTCGATTCCCAGCATCCCATATGGTCCCCCGAGCACGGCCAGGAGTGATTCCTGAGTGTATGAGCCAGGAGTAACCCCTGAGCATCGCCAGGTGTGACCCCAAAAAAAAAAAAAAACCCAAAAACTTGTGATACTAAGGAAGCAATACCAATACAACCCTCAAGTTTCCAAAGGGACTTGTCATCTTTTTAAACTGGTGGGAAAAGAATAATCTAAAACTGTCATCCCGTTGTCCATCAATTTGCTCGAGCAGGCACCAGTAACGTCTCCATTGTGAAACTTATTGTTACTGATTTTTTGTTTGTTTGTTTGTTTTAGCATATTGAATACGCCACAGGTAGTTTGCCAGGCTCTGTCGTATGGGCGGGAGACTCTCGGTAGCTTACCAGGCTCTCCAAGAGTGACAGAGGAATCGAACCCAGGTCAGCTGCATGCAAGGCAAATGCCCTACCCACTGTGCTATCATTCCAGTCCCATGTACGTAAAATCATCACTACTGAGTCGACCTTGTCTCATAGACTAATTTTGACTGTGTTTAAGCTGGGTAAAACATAGGAACCTTTTCCATTAAATCATTGTTTAACAAAAGTTAAATTTTTTTTTAATTTAAGACACCAAAATATTAGTTATTTTCAGTTGGGAAGGCAGAAAATGGGAAATAAGGAGTTAGAGATTGCTGTCTTCTGTTTTATTCTGGATGATGTAAGTTCTCCAAGTACTAATAAAAGATAGATGATAGATAGATAGATAGATAGATAGATAGATAGATAGATAGATAGGTACCATATGCTGTTGAGTTAATAAAGAATACTAAAGAGAATTTGGGGGAAATTTTTTGTGCTCAGAGCAAAGCGGAAAAGGAGAAAAGTAACAAAAAAAAAAAGAAATCTGAACCTTCCAAAAGGCTTCTCTAACCCTACACTGGTGAAGGGATGGGTATTTGAACATTTTATGACTGAAACCCAATCATGAACAACTTTGTAACTGTTCAACCCCACCCCCAACCCCAAAGATTTTTCAAGATTTTTCTGTCCCATGTTTGTCATTGAAGGCGGATCCTTTGCCAATTGTTAAATGATAAAAAGGAACTTGTTAAGATTGTTACCTACTAGGGTGGGGAAGACTCCTGGCTCTCTCGAGGTGGGTGTGATGTACTCAAGCTGCAAATACAAGACAACAGTGTTGGTATGCTGGTAAAAATCAATGAATAAATAACTATTTTAATTTATTTAGTTTTAATCGAAACACTGTGAGACACAGTTACAAAGTTGTTCATGATTGATTTCCAGTCATATAATGTTCCGACACCCATCCCTTCACCAGTGTACATATCTCACCATCAATGTCCCCATCAATGCCCACCCCCCCCCCGGCTTCCCAGCCTGCCTCTATGGTGTGAACTTCTCTCTCTCTCTCTCTCTCTCTCTCTCTCTCTCTCTCTCTCTCTCTCTCTCCCTTTACCTACTTTCAACATTCAGTTCCTGTCCAAAGTGATCATTTCCAACTATTATTGTCATATTGTCATACTGAATGATTAGTTTTTTTTTTCTTTTGGGTCACACTGGGCGATGCACAGGAATTCCTCCTGGCTCTGCACTCAGGAATTACTTCTGGCGGTGCTCAGGGGACCATATGGGACGCTGGGAATTGAACCCGGATTGGCTGCATGCAAGGCAAATGCCCTACCCTCTGTGCTATCACTCTAGCCCCTGAATGATTAGTTTTAAAAGATTTTTTCAACTTTCACTGGGGTGACAAATGCAGATGCAAAGAGATAAAAGTTGTAGATATAGATTTAGACATAGAGATAGCTCTATATAGAGTTATATTCTGAGATACAATAAGTATACAGATAGGGTTGTAGGTTGTAGGTGCAGAGGTAGACAGACATAGAATGAGAGAGAAAGAGAGAGAGGGAGGGAGAGAGAGAGAGAGAGAGAGAGAGAGAGAGAGAGAGAGAGAGAGAGAGAGAGAGAGAGAGAAACTAACCTAGGGCCTAACCCAATGGTGGCGACTCACAAAAGTTACCCTTCCTTTCCCTATTATTTCAAAACAGAAAACCTCCTCTCTGACTTTTCACTCTTGCCACTCTCCACTCCTCTGCTCCCAGTGCCTCCCCAGCCTTTCCTCTCTTCCTCTCCACCCCAAGGCTTTCCTGCAAGCTTCCTGCAGTCACCATCTCCTCCCCAACAGCCCGCAGCCTCTGCCTGAACCCTGCTGCTGAATTCCTCAACCTTCCTCAACCCCAATGCTTGCCTTCCACGAGGCCACCAGGGCTCGATCCTCGGCACCCCATATGGTCCCCTGAGCAATGCCAGGAGTAATTCCTGAGTGGAGAACCACGAGTAATCCCTGAGCATTGCAGGTCGATTGCCTCGAGCAGGCCCCAGTAACGTCTCTTTCATCCTAGCCCTGAGATTATATTCAAGGCTTTTTAGGAGAATAGGAGCATTGCAGGTGTGACCCAGAAAGCCAAAATAAATAAATAAATAAATAAATAAATAAGTTAAAGAATTAAATACATATGTATATATGTAAAAAATTACACATAATTTCTATTTTAAGGAAACAAAAAATAGTAAAAGCAATGATACTATTGCAGAAAATATACAAAGCACAATAAACTCAAGGATGGGGAATCAAAGACTCTCTGGACCCAGGGGGATAGCTCCCTGGGTTGGAGCACAGAAGATCTAGGTTAGATCACCCCCCAACCCCTACCCCCAGCCCACCCCTCACCACATGCTTCCCCTAGCACCGCCGGGAACAACCTGAGTGAAAATACACCCTTAGCACTGCTGGGTATGCTCCCATCCCCCCAAAAGAGAATATCTGAAAAAGACTTTGAATAAACTCGTAAGTAGGTCTAGATTAACATACTCCAGTATATAAAGTTATCTATATTTAATTCTACTCCACAAACATTGCCACCTGCCTTATAGACACTGACACTAGTCTCAGAAGTCAGGAAGCAAATCATCTGTTTCTCTGCCCTCGGGTCCCAGCAGATGGGGAGGGGTTTGAGGCTACTTGAATTTATAAAAGAAGAGTTAAAATTTCCAAGTGATTTCAACAAATGTCCCATTAAGTTACAAAATCCCCTGCATTTTTTTTCCACATCTGTCTGCAATAGAATTAGATTTTAAGGCATTCAATTTTTAGAACTACATCTCCTGCAAAGAGAAAGAGACCCAGGGGTATTCGCTCCTTAGTTTAAGAGCACAGGATCTGACTTGCTTGTTACAACCCAGAGACTATCTTCCATACGGAGAGGCAATTTTTCAATCCAGCTGGATAATTTCACCATTTTCTTTCAGTCCTTACATTCAAGTTCAGCCCAATGGAAGTAATTATTCACACACTGTTTTTTTTTTAAATCCATGTTCAGAACTGCATTTTATTTTCTTAAAAACAGAGGAATCAATGCAACAATAAATGTGAATTAATTTTTCTAAGTATGATGAATCCAGTTATTCTTCCTAAGGATAAACTCAGCTTTCAATTAATTATGCTTGGTAGAGAATGTTCAACAGGAGATGAGTGTACATTTGGTCATCTCTCTTGTTTCTCTTTCCACTCCTGTCTTCTCTTTTCTCCTTGTTACCATCCTCCACTCTTGTCTGCCTTCCTGAGGGTCTTTAAAGATAGAGTTGAAAGGGACCACAGCGTTAGTATAGAGAGTAGGGCACTTTCCTTGCTTGTGGTCAAGCTGAGTTTAATCCCATGTGGTCCCCCAAGCATAGCCAGGAGTAATTCCTGAGTACAGAGCCAGGAGTAACTCCTGGGCAGCACCGGGTGTGGTCCCAAAACAAAACAGAAATGCAAAGATAGAAATGCAAGACTCACCCATTTCCTCTGACTTACCAGGACCTGGGCATCACGTACAATGCCTAGAAAACAGAAATCGAAGACATATTTGAATCAAACAATACCTTTATCTGTTCTGTTCTCATGGTGACTCAGGAGAGAAATTCTCTCTCTTTCCTCAACTCCCTTATTCCTCACTGCTGAGAAGCCATGACTGTGTTAGAGTCCAGCCCGAAGCAACAGGCCAGGTACCTCACTCATGCTAGATTCTAACTCACCTAACTTGTTTGCACACTGCCCAAAGGTGTGCCAAGGAAAAGTTCAGAGCTGACCACAGGGCAGGTTTAATGATTAACTCCAGTTATTTCGACTAGTTCCTAAGGGTCTTACATTTTTCTCTATTGACCACATGTGAACCAGACAAGAATTCTAAGTTCACCCAGTGAGATAAACAGGCTCTCAATATTCAAAAGAATTTGCCAGTAACTCAGTGACCAAACACGGGGAGCAGGGCAAAGGGTTACTAGACGGTTGATTCTCATTCACGAGCTTCTCTGACTTTTCACTAAGAGGAATGTGTCCTATTATAGCTGATATTCACCCCTCAAAGAAAGGAACTGTTTTGCCCAAAGTCTTATTAAGAAAAGGTCAACTAGTCTTTTTGGTTTTTCCTTGTCTTTCCCCTTCATCATGACCTTTCTTTTTTGTTTTTGTTTTGGGGTCACACCCAACCAGGCTCAGGGTTTTTTTTTTTCTAGGTTGGTGCCCAGAGATCATCCCTGGGCAATGTTCAGGGAAAAATACATTATGTCAAGGATCAAACTTGGGCCCCTGCTTGCAAAACACAAATTCAGCCCATTGAATTTTTGTTTGGTTGGTTGGTTTTTGTCCACAGCAGGTAGTTCTTAGGGCTCACTCTGGGCTCTAGCTCTGAACTTACTTTCTTGACCAAGTGGAATTCACTA